GCCCCCCCCCCCCCCCCCCCCCCCCCCCCCCCCCCCCCCCCCCCCCCCCCCCCCCCCCCCCCCCCCCCCCCCCCCCGCTCTTATCAAGCCCGTCTTCAGTTGAAAAAGTCACAGCTCTGCGAAGAAACCCTTATCGTCAGCATGGTAAACTACACTGCTTGGCCGCAGTATTTGCTATAGTCACGAGGCGTAATGGTTGGAACAGGCAATAACAACCGGCAAGGCAGAGAGTTCCTGGATAGCTTGCAAGGTCACTTGCCAGCTCACCATGATGCCCGGCCATGGAACGATCCTTCATGTCAAGTTCCCAATCCGGGATATATATTAATGTCTATATGCACCTGCGCCGTGACTCCCCGAGTCATGCACCGTTACCATGCAGCTGTCTTGCAATACCACAAAAAAAGCCCTGTGCAGTTCAGGCCAGCATCTTGGTGTCTCCTGCCGTGAAGGACCAGGGATACGATGCAGAGCCGTTTTATGTTATCTTCCGTGCCTTAGATGAGATGGTCATGTTGTGTCGTCAACCTTAGGCCGTCCCAGTTCGTATATTCTGAACTGAACGAAGATGATGCAATCCTCGACTATCGTCCCCAAGGACCCCAACAGCCATGGCACTGTCCTGACCAGGTAGTCGCCTTTCTGAGAGTAGGCTAACAGACTTGCGCCGTACGTGAAATTCCCGGTGAGAGAGAATAGGAAGAACAACAGAGAAAGACCTTCGCATGATTTCTCGCGGTAGTTCTTAATGATCTGGGGGACTCGGGCACTGAAGAGGTCGGACTAAGTCAGCCAAACATTCTGCTGGACCATCACCAACCACGGTCTTGCCCCAACACAACACCAACACCACCCGCTATCCCCAACTCAATAAAGGGGGGGACATACCAAAGATACAACAGCGCGCTCAAATACCCCAACACCATACCGACAACGGCCGTCGGCTCCAGGGCGTCGCCCGGATCGGGGAGTCCGGGATTGGCCTCCCAGGCGCCCATCCGCCAGCTGACGAACCAGCCGGCCGCGCCCACCAGGTACACGGCGGCGAGGCTGAGCGCGTTGTTCAGCCACTGCCGCCCGCGGCTCCGGCCGGCCGGATCCTCACCGGTGAGGATGCGGGTCAGCGTGTCCTCGGAGGGCCGCGAGCTGTGACGGCGGCGGTAGTTGTTGTTGTGGTGGTGGTGGTGGGGGTGGTGGGGTGGCTCGGAATTCCCGGCGCTGTCGCTGACAGCGCTCTGTCGCCGCGACGACGAAGGGAGGAGGGGCGATTCCTCGTCGGCCACCGCGATCCCTTCCGGAGCTGTTGACGAGGACTGCTTGTGGGCCCCGCCGTGCGAGTTTGTGTGCTGCTGCGCTTGCCGCTGCCGCCGCCGGGCGTTGAGGGTGTTATAGTATGTGCATTGGGCGATTAGCACCAAGTCCGCTATGCAGAAATAGACGGCAAGGGCAATGGCTGTTGGGGCGAGGTTGGTGAAAAGGGCGCCTGCGTGGATATCGCTATTAGTAAGGCCGCCACGGCTTATGCGATGGGATCTTCAAGATGGCACTCACCAGAGAGATTTGCGATGTCACCGAATAGCCATACGAACAAGAAGGCCATGGACAATCCGTCTGCGCTCTGAGCCTTGAAGTTCGTTATGAGTTGCGGAAGCTGCGATCCCATGTTAGTCCAGCCCAGTGTCAACCAACTCCGGTCGGAATTTTAGGAGCCCACCAGAAGGCATATCCACGCCGTCAGGCTTATGCTTCCGAACACCCCAGATAAGGCCTCCCCCACGGCCGGGGACGACGGTGGCGACGCCGTCGGCATGATGGCGGAGAGGAGGAGGCTCGCCATGCTGATGTCTCAATTGAAATCAAAGAGGCGAGCAGAATGGCGAAAGGGTAAGAGGAGCAGGTGAGGGAGAGCTGTCGAGCTCGTAGATATACAACCAATAGTTAAAAGGGGGTCAGGCGGATGGCAAGCTACCTATCGACCGAGTTTATCTTCACACCAAGTCACACGGCCTTATCATCAGAGGCGGGGAGATAAAGACCTTGCTAGGTCCCACTTTTCTGTAGCCAATTATTGAATTGGCAAAGCTAATTGACCTTTGGGGTTGATGATGTAATGCAGCTGCATCAGCCTGGTCCCTGCATGTGTACGGTAGACCCTAGGAGGTGGAGATGGTGAGATAACGGTAGGTTAACGGATGAACTTTGGCATTTACCAGCGCGCTGAGTCTCGTCCTATCAATGTTATTGAGACGAGGCTTGTCCGAAGCAGCAGGCCTGGCCTCATGGCCTATTTTGAGACAGAACCGGCTGTGAATGTCAGGTATCACCTATTAATGGATATTCTGACCACCTGCGCGGTGTGGCGTTTCACGTGGTTGCTGCAGGATGACACCCATTCGCTGAGCTGTGTTCCTCTGGCAACGCTCGAATGAAGGCCGCAGAGCCAGCCAGCCATCGTTTCACGAAGGTGGTTGTCAACGTTTTTATTTCATGGCTCCCTAACCCTCATCACTCACTACCTACGCAAGTGAGTTTTTGTTGTTTGTAGCGCGTCTGTCAATTCATCAATTTCATCAACTGCCGGACGATGCAGTTCTCATCCTTGGCTATGGGTTTCGCAGCCCTCCAGGGCACCTTTGCGTGGGGTGGTATGACAATCCAAATCCAATCTCGGCCCCATGTCCTATGCCAGCGTGTAATAGTGCCGTAGCACGGTGTTGTATTGCTTTCTAAAGCCGACTTGTGAACAGGATTCGGGCACATCACCATCGCATTCATCGCCAGCGACTTTGTCTCCAACCAGACGGCCGAGTACCTGCACTCGCTCCTGGGCAACGACACGGCCGAGTACCTCGCAGGGGTGGCGACGTGGGCGGACTCGGTCCGCTACACCAAATGGGGCCGCTTCACGGCGCCCTTCCACTTCATTGACGCCAAGGACGACCCGCCGCGCTCGTGTGGCATCGACCTCGCCCGCGATTGCAAGGCCGAGGGCTGCGTCGTCACGGCGCTGGCCAACTACACGGCGCGCCTCGCGGACCCGGCGCTACCGGCATACGAGCGCCGCATCGCCGCAAAGTTCGTCGTGCACCTCGTCGGCGACGCCCACCAGCCCCTGCACGACGAAGACGTCGCCCGCGGCGGCAACGGCATCCGCGTCCGCTTCGACGGCGCCGACCTGAACCTCCACCACGTCTGGGACACCAGCATCCCCGAGAAGATGGTCGGCGGCGTGCGCAGGCGGCCCTACGCCGAGGCCCGCCGCTGGGCCGACGAGCTGGGTCGGGGCATCGTGGACGGCAAGTTCAAGGCCGCCAGGGACGGTTGGTTGGTCGGCATGGACCTGGCGAAGATGGAGGACACGGCTCTGGCCTGGGTGAGGCAGGGGAATGCCTACGTCTGTTCGACCGGTGAGTGCTTTTCGCCTGAATCTGCCACTCTGCTTGTATCTGCTGCTCTCGCTTGCGCAACAACAAATGAGATAGTACATGAGTAAACCGCTAATGTGACATCTCGTTTGCCTCGGCAGTCTTCCCAGACGGCCCCGATGCCATCGCCGGCCAAGAGCTTGGTTCGGATTACTACGAAAAAGCCGCTCCGGTTGTGGAAGTCCAGGTAGCCAGGGCGGGTTACCGCTTGGCAGCCCTGCTAGACTTGATTGTCTCCCGTATCGTGAACCTGGAGTCAGGAGCCAACGATGACCTATAGAACGCAGGTGACTGTGCTCCAAAGAAACGGCCCCGAGTCTGATTTATTTAGAGCCGTATCCTTCGGGGATTGGTGTCGCAAGTGGTTCTGTATGTACAATAGAGCTGCTATGTTGAACTCAGACCTGGACCTACCATAGTGCCATCACGGCCATGTCCATGAAGAGGACAGAGGATTCCCTTATAGTTGCAGTTTGCCATGTTTTCCCTAACGTGATCCGCCATGGGTGAAACAATCAACGATGCACAGCTATTGCGGTGGTGCATCACGTTCAGAAAACCTTTCTCGGTATCCCTACCTGTTGTGATGGCGCAAGGCGCCAAGGGCTTCCTAGGAATCCTCGTTGTTTCGTTCTGGCGATCCTTCGGGGCGAACTGACGGGAGGCGTGGGTGGGCGATCGCGGGATGGGCGGGAGTCCCAAAAGCCAGAGGGTTAATGGTGCCGATGTTGCCGCCTTGGGAGTTGGGGGAAGTTGCAATGTATCTAGATTTTGTCTCAATTCCTGGTCCCAGTCGTCAAGACAGCAGGCCACTGGAACCGCGAAGGTTTCACAAATCCATGCTTCTGCTCCTGGCACATGCACGTGACCGGGCGGTTTTCTCAACTTTAGTTGAAACCTACTTAACAGGTTGTTTCATCTCGATTTCGGCACTGGCCTCAGACCCCTTCACCCTGTCAGCAAACGTCGCAAAAGACGCGCTACGGCCCTTGGGACCCTGAAGAAGAAGAATCCTCGGAGCTGGTCGGGCAATCGGCACCATTTTGTCGATTGTTCCCTATCTCGGCTTCGTCCTATCGGGTCCTGTTTGGGGCTGCGTTTGCGTGCGGCTTTCAGGAAACGGCTCTACTGGCTGGCGTGTGCTCTGTCGTTGAGACGTTGAGGGCCGGCGGCTCGAGGGCGACTTCTCTCCAATGCGTACCACAGTACGGATTAATAAGACTTTGCTGCAATAAGCTTCCCTGCTGTCTCGAGACGAGATGACTAGGTACCTAACTAAGCACATGGGGTCTGGATATCGCGGATGCTGGGCGGCACAGGGTTCATCAGTCTGGTTGCATTCCACGTCTCTGGGACTGCACTAGAGTCTCAACTCGCAAGCAATTCAAGGCTGAGGAGATGAAAGGGGGTCCATTCTGCTTCCTTCTTGCTAACTCTTTTCCGTCAGACATATTTTCTGGGTTGGGATATCGGAACTCGGCTCCAGCCTCGGTGGCTGTGGGCCAGCCCAACCACACTTAGTTTCCTGCTGCGGTCAATTGATCCCCCACTGAGCGAAAATCTCGAGAATCACTGCATAACTATGAACGAAGATTTCTCGGTCTTTGGGAATGGATCGCCGCATTGAATTCAGGCACTGAATTAAGTACCAGTTCCTGGCGCTACAGCAATACAGCACTGCCTTGGACCGCTGGAACCGCCGTGGTTCGTGAAGTAACTGGGATCTCTACCTAGGTATCCGTAATATCCAGTTAATGGACAATGAGGGAGTTGAGGAGAGTGTCTATGAACTGCACTAAAGGTATTATCTAACTCTCGGTTCGCTTCAGCCCGAAACCCTATTTGCTTGATCTGCTTGGTTGTGAGCGCCACCATTGGCTGCATGTCGGGCGGACAGGGGTTTCAACAGGGGTCTGATGGGAACCTGTTACATTTCAAGCCTCATCAACGTCGAACCCCAGGCCAGGCCCACGGCAGGACCACGGCAGGCCCCGGCATTTTGCACTGCATCTTGGTCAACCCCATCGCTGGTTGGGAACTCGGAGACCGGCATGGCAGCCGCCTCAGGTACTCCAGATGGCGGATGAAGGTACTTGGCTGTCGACGTACCGGTACAAGCCGACTTCAGCGCTCCACCCGCAAATGTCTCCTGTGATCGCCATATTGCGGGCATCTTTTACCCATGCGCCACCTCAAAGTCCGGTACCGAGTGGTACAGGTAACCAAGACGTGGTGGTGCTCCAAGTCAAAGGCTCGAGTGAACTCCAGTGCGAAGCTATCCCAACCCTTGTCCCCCTTGCCCTCCCCTCATCTCCTTCCACCACGTTTTGGGATCATAGCGACAGCCTCCTTAGCGGCTGACCACCCTTGCGGCCGCTCCCTGGTTGCAGGACGCTTGGCAAATGCCTCTCTTTGCTAACCAGGGGATTTCGCCAAGCCAGGATATAAGAAAGAGTTTCTTGGCCGAACTATTTCAGAAGCTCTCCCACTTCCTTACCCTCATACCAAGCTTCTTCTGTTCCCGTGTTTCTTGCTTCGTGCGCAGGTTGTGTGGCATTACATTCATTCGTTCCTTTTTTGACAAACAGATTGTATTTGTCTTCTCCCGTCGAGCTCAACTGTCAGTGACCATTCCTTACGACACCGACACCGACGTTTCGATAACCGGTCTGGAACCACTTTTGCACCTTTTCACTTCACTACTTCTCTTAACCGTTATCTCGGGGGAGACCGTGACCAATATTCCGAGGAAATTCAACTTCAAGGACTACGAGAACTCGACGAATCAAGATGTTGGTGAAATCTACGATGGTGGCCCTGCTGGGTCTTGCTGTGGCAGCCGAGGCCTCGAATATCCACCGAGCCCCCATTGGGCTCACCCGAAGGCAGTTTGGTGGCGCCGGAAGAAACGGCGGCGGCAACAACAACAACAATAACAACAACGGGGGCAACAATGGCGGCAATAACGGAGGCAACAACGGCGGCAACAATGGAGGCAACAACAACAATGGTGCCACTGAGACATGTCTGGCCGCCAACGCCGTTCAAACTGGCTCTGCACAGACAGGGCAAGACGGTGAAATTGCTGCTGGCCAGGTCGAATCCGCGACGTATGTCCCTCCTAATCTACTCCTGTACGAAGTGCGGCGTGCTAATCCTGATCACAGTGACAATGCCAACTTCATCAACTTCTGCTCAGGCCAGACCTTGACCAACGGTCTTCAGGTTACGGGAGGGTCTTGCAACGGCATTCGTAAGTGGCATCAGGTATCCCCATCCTCGGCCACCTACTGACACCCAGACAAGCAATGGGGAAGATCCCGGCGACGAACAGGATGGTGTCTACAGTAATCACTAACCCCAAGAACCTGGACACCATTCCCGAGAAGACGACGTTCAACATCGAAGTGCAGATTGCGAACATGGCTCTTGGTGCCTTCACCAACGCTCAGAGCACCTACTACTCCGCGCCTCAAGACCTCGACGGCCAGGGAAGGGTTATCGGCCACACTCACGTCACCGTCCAGGATGTCGGCGACTCCCTCAACCCCACCCAACCCCTTGACGCTACTCAGTTTGCCTTCTTCAAGGGCATCAACGACGCAGGAAATGGCCAGGGCTCTCTCTCCACAGAAGTTACCGGAGGTCTTCCGGCCGGTAATTACCGAATCTGCACCATTTCCGGCTCCGCCAATCATCAACCTGTTCTCATGCCTGTTGCCCAGCGTGGTGCCCAAGAGGACTGCCGCTACTTTACCGTCGCCGCTGCCGGAGCCGGTAACAACAACAATAACAACGCTGGAAACCAAGGTGGCCAGGGCAACCAAGGTGGCAACCAGGGCGGCAACCAAGGTGGCAACCAGGGCGGCAACCAAGGTGGCCAGGGTGGCAACCAAGGTGGTGCCCAGGCCGGCGACCAAGGTGGTGCTCAGGCCGGCGACCAAGGTGGTGCCCAGGCCGGTGACCAAGCTGGCGGTCAAACCCAAAACCAAGCTGGTGGACAGGCTGGTAACGCTGGTAACCAGACTGGCCAGAACGGCGGCAACCGCGGAGGCAACAAGGGAGGCAACAAGGGCGGTAACCAGGCAGGTCAGGGTGGTGCCCAGGGTGGTGCTCAAGGCGGTGCCCAGGGTGGTGCTCAAGGCGGTGCCCAGGGTGGTGCTCAAGGCGGCGCCCAGGGTGGTGCTCAAGGCGGCGCCCAGGGTGGTGCTCAAGGCGGCGCCCAGGGTGGTGCTCAAGGCGGTGCCCAGGGTGGTGCTCAAGGCGGTGCCCAGGGTGGTGCTCAAGGTGGTGCCCAAGGTACGTTTCAATGATAGCTCCCCTTCAACCGGCGATGAAAGCTCAGCCTCCTTCTCAGGGGGATTCCAGGGCGGATTCCGCGGCGGTTTCCCGGGGGGTTTCCCAGGCGGTTTCCCAGGCGGTCGCAAGGGCAACAACTAACGGGAACTCGATAGCTCTCGGAGATATCGCGGCCCCGGCGGTCACGGACACGGGCAACGCAGACCGGCCCTTTGGGGTGAACGGAGACACCTTCGCCAACAAGGCGGCTGCCGTCCAGCGCGCATGTGCCATCCAGAACAACAAGTGCGCCAATGCGGTCAATTCCGGGCAGATGCAGGGCTCCGTCGCCGACTGCAATGCCCAGGAACAGGCCTGCAACGCCGCGGCTTAAACCATACCGCCCTTCCTTGACTACCTACCTCCGAGCAACATCTCTCCACATCCTGCTTTTGATACCGGGTGACGGGCACGGCACATTGGACATTATGATACCCTCCTTTTTCGTCTCATTTGCGGCCCGCTACGCAGCAAGCAGCGTCGACAACACGGATCTGATTTGCTGAGGAGAGGGGCAGGAATGTGTGTATAGTTACCTGGACTTTTCTACCTTTTTTCTCGTCTAACGAAGCTTCTTACCGTTCTAATTTGGGGTGCTGGATTGAATGTACAACGTGGAAATCGCGGGGATGATGCGCGAGTCTGCACAACATGCCCAATTTTGGGGAGACATCTAGCAGGCCTATACAATAAAACCAAAATATGCAAAAATTCTCCCCGGATACCTCGATCGCATCCTATTGTTGAGGTTTTCATGATCTAGTCGACTCCCAACCCCGATGATAGGATCTCCCGCCGCTGTTTGACTGGATCATCAAGATAGGGGCAATCATCGATAGGTGAGCCGCGGAGATGCGGACAGAACCGGGCTCGACCAGAGGCGGGAAGGACGGGGGGCGGGCTATCCCCCCTGTGTCTCATACCCCTGAGGCAAATCTTTATGCTACAACGCTCAGGACCTCAGGGTCGGGCTCCGCTGAAACTGCTGGCCAAGACGACTTTGTCCTGATAATTTCCAACAGTCAAGGACGGGATGTTGAAAGAAAAGACCAAGTGAGGAAGGGGGGATGCACAGTAACTAAATATTTGTCTTATTTCTGAAAATACGTGGTGACGAGGAACTGAAAAGGCCCAATGGGTGAAGTGAAGAAGCAGCGCTGCATCCAGCCAACTGACCCGGAAAAACACTTGACCAACAGGTAACCTCTCAGAGGTTCGCAGCACAATCATCACCGATATAGTCGATCTGCCCATCACTACATCTCTGAAAATAGCACCAAATCGAGCTCTCCATCTCCTCCTGCGCGCTCCCAACTCGGGCGGTGGCCAGTGGGTGGGTGGCCAGTGGGTGGGTGGCCAGTGGGTGGGTGGCCAGTGGGTGGGTGGCCAGTGGGTGGGTGGCCCGGGTCAAAACGAGCCAAGAAACAAAACTGTGTTTTGAAACCACAAGCCTCCGCAATGGCCCTCAGCGCTTCGATTTGTCCAACCCGCCTGTCAATCATGCATTGGTGATCGCTCCCTTTACTTCTTTCTCACTCTTCTTCTGACTGGCTTGTCTCTTCTACTTCAACTTGGTGTATTTGCCGTCTCTATCCTAGTTCTTGTCATAACCTGTCTTACCTCCCTATACGTTGACCCTCCCACTGTTTCTCCTACTTGGTTTCATCTTGCCCTCACCCGGCGATGATATATCTTTCTATCTTAGCTTATAGTTTTAGCTACACCTAAATATAAGAGAGTATGATGATGCTAGAGTGGCTAGCATGGGGTTATGCTAAAATGGGGGGTGGCATTGGTGTATGATAGATATGCCGAGACAGCTCTTAAGGTAACGATTAGAAAATAAAGTAAGCGTGAAACTACTTATGAAGAGAGTTGTGGGAGAATTGACAGACATAAATACCTAAGACTAGGGAAAGTGTTTGTTTTGTATGTGACCTGTCAAGGCCTCTTGGTCAGGTTCTTGTCGATAAGCAGGCTAATTCCAACATCTAGGCCGAGTAGTTTAATGTCATCAGCCCAGGCTACTAGGCTGATATGAATCTGACGCTGGCCTGGCGCACCTGTGATCTTGCTCTAGAGACGAAGTTGACGAGAATATGATCACTGTCTGACCTGACGTCCAGGGACTTGATACACTCATGTCAATTCCGACTGCGAAACCATGACCTTTTCTGGCTTGAGCTTGCCACAGTCGTCCCTCCAAGGGAACGTATAATAGTCTATGAAAGTGCCCAGCATTATTAATAGGGCAGAATAGCTACGTTTGACTTCCCCCTCTCACTGTTTGGGTGCCAAATACGTGTAGACCCTTACGATTTCTATTCTAACGTCCCTCCCCATCCTCGACCATACCATGCAGGCCTGTATATCGCGATAGAAACCCTCCTCACCACCGTTAGCCAGATGCAAGCCAGTCCGCCCCTGGGTATCCCAGGTTGCGCATCAACTCCTTCCTACCGAATGCCAGCCTGAGCCTCTCACCGTCCACTTAACCACTACTTAGCCCAACCGAAAGGACAATGAGAGAGAGATGTATATATAAATGAATCAAAAGCACCCTCCTCCACGCGATTGAATACTTTCCCCGCACAATCAAACCGACCCCTCAGACAACCCAGCATCTACAGGGCCATACACCCCATCCTTCCACTCAAGAACCCCGCTCCGTCCCCCCCCGGCGACGAACTTATCGAGTGCACCATTCCGCCTCAGCAACCACGACGATCCAGCAGCGGCCCCCGACCCAAGTCGCACCAACACACGCGCCTCCGCCCTCGGCGCCTTATGGGACCTCCGTACCTCCTCCTCCTGGTCCTGGTCCTCACCCACGACGACCACCTGGCTCCGCGCACCGAGCCGCGCCGCCACGACGCCCGACAGCAGGCTGACGAAGAGCCAGGGGTACTGCAGCATCTCGACCTCGAACGCGTTGATGGTCTCGCGCGCGAAGCCCGCGTACCGGGCGTCCCCGAGCAGCGCCCCGAGCCGGAACAGGTTCGACGCCGACACCCCGTTGGTCGACGGCTGCGCCGTGTCCATGCCGTCCTTGAGCCGTAGGATCGTGTGCCCCGCCGACGCCTCCGTCGAGTAGAAGCCACCGGCGCCGCCGGCCCCGGATGACGCGCGCTGGGCGGGGGCCTTGCTCGGCTCCTCGCCGCCGCTGCTGGTGTTGGTGGTCGGGGAGGGGGCGTCGTAGAATAGGTCGATTTGGATCTCTACGCAGCCGCAACTTGTCAGTATACCCTGCCTTCTCGGGGACCAGAGCGAATGGTACGCGTGGAAACCTACTTTGCAACTCATCTGCCCATTCCACCCACTTTTCCTCACCCGTGGCTTCGAAGAGCTCCAGGAGGCCCTCGATCATGAAGGCATAGTCGTCCGCAAACCCCCTGGTCTCGCTCCTGAACTCGTAGAACGACCTGAAGAGCACCTTCTTCTCGGCATCCCACAGCTTCTCCCGGACGAACTCGGCCGCCCCCGCAGCCGCGGTCAGGTACCTAGCCGACCTGTCGGCGTCCACCTCGCGGACGGCCGCTGCCGTCCTCGCCAATGCCGCGATCACCATGCCGTTGTAGCTCGCGACGACCTTCCCGTCCGTGTCGGGCCGGACGCGCTCCCGCTCGCGGTGCGCGAGGAGCCTCTCCTTCGCCGACGCGACGATGCCCTTCACCTCGTCGACGGAAATAAAGAACTGCCCGCTCAGCTCCGCCGTGCTCTTGGCGACGCTGAGCACGTTCTGGTTGAGGAACTCGTCGTGCGGATCGTGGTGCCTCGGCACGTTGCCGTGCTCGAGCACGTTCCAGTGCGCCGCCGCGACCGAACTCGCGTGCTGCCCGGCATCCTTTCCTGCAGCTCCTCCTACGCCTCCGCCTCCTCCTCCTCCCCCTCCTCCGCCGACGACGGCGTCAAACTCCCGCCGCGTCCACACGTAGTAAGCACCCTCCCGCATATGCCGGTCCCCCCTGCGGTAGAACGAGTCTGCCGCCTCGCTCGATGCAAACCCACCGCCCTCCTTCCCAAGAATTGGCGGGCTCGTCAGGTAGTCAGCCAGCTCGAGGACGACGTCCGCAAACTCGTCCTCCTTCTTCAGGCCCCCGCTCGCTGCCGCCTGCCCCAGCCACGCATCAAGGTAGACGCCCAGCAGCAGCGCATTATCCGGCACCATCTTCTCAAAGTGCGGCAAAGCCCAGTCGGCCGTGATGCTGTACCGAGCGAACCCGGCCCCGACGTGGTCCCTGAGCCCGCCGTCGCGCATGTGCCGGAGCGTGTGCAGCGCGATCAGCGTCGCGTGCCGGACCTCCTCGCCGCCGACGACGTCGGCGACCGCGGCGGGGAACCGCGCCAGCCGGAGCAGGAACGACAGCCGCGCCGGCGTCGGGAACTTGGGCTCCGCCCCGAACCCGCCGTTGACCGCGTCGAAGGCCCCCGCGATGTGCGTGAACGCCTCCTCCAGCTGGTCCAGGTCCAGGTCTAGGTCCAGGTCCAGAGGGGGTGCGCCGGCAGAGGCGGGGGCCCGGCTCGCGCCGAGGTTCGTCATCGTCGCGGAAACCCCAGCAGCGGTCGCAGCCGCGCTGGATGTTCCCGTGGGAGTTGTCGGGGTGCTGATACCCGGGGTGCCGGTGCCGGGGGTGGCGATTCCCGGGGCGCCGATGCCGGGGGGGCCGATGCCCCTGGCACCCAGAGTCCCCTCAGCAGCGAACACGCGCAGCTGATCGAGAATCTCCTGAGCCTCCTTCCGGCAGCGCGTTTCCTGCTCCTGCCATACCTTTTCCATCTTCTGGAGGATGACTAAGAAGTCGAGGGAGCCCTCGTCCGTGTTGTCCTCGCCGCCGCGCTCCGTCCCCGGGCCGGGCCAGTACGTGCCGCCGAACACAGGTTCGAGCTCCGGGGTCAAGAACACGTTGATGGGCCACCCGCCCACCCCGTTCACCGCCTGGATGTAGTTCATGTAGATGGTGTCAATATCGGGCCTCTCTTCGCGGTCGACGATAACCGGGATGAAGGCCTCGTTCAGGAGGGACGCGACGGACGGGTGGGAAAACGACTCTTCGGTCGTCAGGGAGCAGTCTGTTTGTCGTACCGCCCGTTAGTGGCAAGACCAGGCTCGAACAGCAAGGTAGCTACTCACAATGACAAGCGCGGAAGCCAACATTCAGAAACACCAGCTTGTTCTCCCTCTTTGCCCGCTCTATCGCCTCATCATCAAGCAGCTGCCACTTGACCGGCGAGCCGGCATGGGCTCGAATATAGGGGCTATTGCTCTTATTTGCGCGATTCACAAGCGGGACGGGGGCCTGATTCCCACTGTCACTTTCTGACTGTTGCTCCGCTGCCGGGTGCTGCGCGACTCCGGATGCTTGTCCGGCAGCTGTGTTGGCCGCAAAGGGGGACGCAGAGGGTGGAGCCGCTCCGGGCTGCTGTAGCTGTGCGGACATCATCGAAGCTTGTGGCGACGTAGACTAAGGCAGCCTGGGTTAGGTCTGACGTGTTCCGTACTGCGAAAGATGTCCGGAATCCCAAAACTTGATCAGAGATTCTGTTCGCCTTTGCTCTCGAGTCGCGGGTAGCTAGCTGAGGCAGAACAATGGGTTATTTCAAGAGCCGCAGGCGGTCACCGTTTATGCGCAAGATATTGTACATTGGAAGAGGAAGCTGGAAGGGCGGCCGAGGAAGTGACCACCTCCACACACTAGTGTCACCTCATGCTGCATGCGTAGGTGACTTGGGATAGCATCCCCGCCTGACGTACACTACCGACTCAACTACCCCACCACCTGAGCACCCCGCACCGGTTCTGACCAATCACTCGGGCCTTCCTTACCCTAAGGAAGGTAGGTTCGCAGTCTGGGCTTGATGAATGCTAGCAACACCACGGCTTCTAACGTCAATTAACTTAGCAGTTGTCTCTAGCAAGGTGAGCAGTAACGTTTGTATCGATAGGGAACTATCTATGGTAACCGAGGAGAAGTAATGAAGGTAGCATCTGATGCATCAACGAGGAGGCGAAATACAGCAAGGGCAGACCTGGTCCTCCCACCATCACGGTCGCATACAGTCGAGGTAAGAGAGACCCGGTTCGTTCCTCCGCCTGCCCTGGTCCAAGCACGCAGTTATCCAGCACATACTGGCGTCCGTCAGACTATCTTGAGCGGGATTCCTAACCTGACACTGTCCAGCTATTGTGGATGTTTAGAAGCCCCGTGAGTAGGCCATCCCCCGAACGGGTATCCGTGGACCGTCCACGTCTCGCTGTGATGGGACTTTGTGGTAGTAGTAGTCGTCGTGGGCTGTGTCTCCGTTGATGTGAGAGAAGAGGTGGGAGAAGAGGTGGGAGAAGAGGTGGGAGAAGAGGTGGGAGAAGAGGTGGGAGAAGAGGTAGGGGAAGAGGTAGGAATAGAGGAAGTCGGGGAGGTCCATGACGGTGAGGTGGTTGGGGTGACGGTAACCGTGACGGTAGTCGTGGGCTTCAGGGTGCTCGTGACCGTGGTGGTGAGAGTTGGCTCCGAGGTGCCCGTCACGGTCGGCGTCGGCCAGGTGAGAGTCGGCGTCCAGGTGCCCGTCACACTCGGAACCGGCCAGGGGAAGGTCAGCGTCCAGGAGTCTATGACCGTGGTGGTGGTAGTTGACTGCGAGGGGCTGGTCACAGTCGGCGTCCCGCTGCTTATGGTCGTGCTGGTGGGAGTTGGCTCCGAGGCGTCCGACGATGTGGTGGAGGAAGTCGGCGTCCAGGTGGTGGGAGCAGACTGCGAGGTGCTCGTCACCGTTGTGGAGGGAGACGTTGTCGAGGTAGGAGACGGCGTCCCGGTGGTGGGAGCAGGCTCCGGGGTGCTCGTCACCGTGGCAGAGGGGGTGGGCTGCTGGGTGCTTGTCACCGTGGTGGTCTTGTGGTACACCGGTTGAATCAACACTACTCCCTCCAAGGAAAGTGGTGACGGAATCGGCTCTGCGTCAAAGATATGGACCGTGTGGACTGGGTCAGGAGCGGCCACGTCGGTCGACTGCGCCACTACTATCACGGCGTTGACCGCTTGCTTCGCCGGAATTGGTGCCGCGGCCGCAGTGCCGGCCAGGAGGACACCGGCGGCGGCGAGGATAGTGCTGATTTGCATAGTGGGCAGATTGCTCAACGTCGGTTAACGAGATGACAAGTCGTTAGACGAGAGGGATCACGAAGCCGATGGTTTCTCAGAGTCCAAGTAGCTGTGAGCAAGAAGACGACCAGGCGGTCTGCGACGTGAATAAAAAATAGATAGCTAAGTAAGTACAAGACCTAGTGGTGTTGGGGCATGGATTGGGCATAGGCGAGAATAGCATCGTGACGGCTTATATCCTGCTTGGAGGGATGCTGCCCTGCGTCGGAACTGCCTCCACGAAGACTCGACGCGCAAGATTATTCACCCCCGCGACTTCCCTTTGTGGCTTGAAAATATCCCGATTTAACATGCCACCGGACGGAAAGCCATCTGGGGAAGGAACCTATGGGTTCGGCCGAGCTGGAACTTGTTGGGCAAGCAAAGGCCATGGGGGGAAAGTATGATCGACAAGACACAGATCCATTCTCTCCGCGGTTCCTACCGCCCAAGAAGAGGGTCGTTCTTGACCGCAGCCCCAGTGCTGTATCCAGGTTCGGGTTTCTGAACAAGGTAACGTTGACCACCGACCTTAGGGAGAGGTCATATGTGAGCGAATCCGGTTTGCGTGGTGCATGTGAGGGTTGACAAACGCCGCTTCCAAAATATGTACTGACGGCCTAGCCCACCTGCCCGTTTCAACACGCATCTTCACCAGGTGTCGAAAGTAAGGAATTGGGAATTGGGAAGGCGGGCAGTCCCTGTCTGCCATCTTGCTCATAGCCATCTGCAAAGCCAAAGAACTTGAACCCCGAGGCGAAACGGATAAGACGGATAAGCTGTGAGTCTGCGTGCTATCAGTCGTACCTTCCATATAGCAAGCAGCTTACCTAGGTACCTAGCTGGGAGGACCAAGCAAAAGGCGGCAACCTTATGCCAGTCCCCCAGTTGCCCTTCCCGGTTTGGTTCACTTCAAGAGGTCTTGGGACATGATTGCTCAGTTTGAATTTCTTCACCAACATAGGTACCTACTCATACAGTGTCATGATGAACCAGCAAGAACAAGGCATTGCCTCGAATGGAAATTGCAAAAAGAAACTTAGACCCACAGGGTTTCCTCCGACCGACCCTTCCCATCGCATTTGAGGGGAAGGTAAAACCCGCCAAACAAAGAAACGAAGTTGGTTAGGTACAGTACAACAAGAGATCCCCATGCTCCAAGGAAAAGGGGGGTGGCGGCGAGAACCGTTGCCGATGGTATTCAACCGCCGTGAGGTGACGGAGATTGAGCGAAACACCAGCACCGGAACTGCCAATCCTAAAGAAGTGAAATGCAAACGTCCCAGGGCTTTTCTTTTTATCTTTTGTAAACTTCCATTTTGATTGATTGATGATATCATGCCGTCGTCAGGTTGATGGAGGCAAAGCGCCGCAAACGCATGCAGAATTGCCCAAGATGTTGACGACTTGATCTAGACGACGCTGTTCGATATAGATATCTCGCCGCGTCCAAGCGCCGGGAAAGGGGGGTTGAAGAAGATGAGCCGTGCAGAGATCCATGCAAGAGCTCATACACTCGGCAAGGTAAAAATGAATTGAAATGGAAGAATAAGCGAACACCTTCGTCCAGCAAGTGTTTCCTTCATCTTCGGCGCGAAACAGCTGCCTCGGGAGAGGCACAACCATTTGTGTAGCCGAATTAGGCCCTCACAGTGGCTTCACCGAGCGGCGGATGGAGGTTCTTGGCATAAGCACCGCCCATGTTGCCTGCCATGATTGATTAGCATCAGCACTTATCGTTCTCTTCTGGCATATGCTGGATGGTACTTACCGGCTGGGTAGTAGTTGCAGACGGTGAACCAAGCATCCATTGAGGCGTACAGGGTGCCAGCGGGGCAGAGCTGGGAGTGGCAGCCAACCTGCTGAGTGCCGGCCCAGACCACCTGGGAGTAGTGACCCCAGCTTGAAAAGTCGCCCATGTCGGGGCTGCTCTTGCCATACTCGCTGGATGGGAATTTGTTCAGCTCCCCATTGTACCACATGTTGGTGATTCCCTGGGCCAAAACTTTGTTCGCCCCCAAGCTCTGAACATCACCGGACGAGCCATACATGGCGAGGTTCTGGCCGTAGCCGCCACCGCCAGGAGAACTAGAGACGAGTTAGCAAGATGAACTAACGCTAGAAAATGAAGTCACTTACAGGTCATGTGCAAAGACGCACTTGCTAGCAGTCTGAGCAGCGTAGCTGGCATGAGCGTCACTCCAGGACAAGGCCGGGGCAGAGTGGTTGGCTCGGTGGATATTGTGCTGGTAAACACCAGTGCTGGCATAGTCGGTAGGGGGGCTCGCGGCCGGTGCCTGCGTATTTTCCGCGGCCTGTGCCTGAACCTGCTTGGTGGTTTTCGGCGCCTTGGCCTTGGTAGCTGGTGCATGGACAACAGGCGGCGGTTGAGACTCGATAACAACCGGAGCAGGCGGAGGCGGAGGCGGGGGGGGAGGTGGAGGCGCAACAGTTGGCTCAGGTGCCACAGTTGGTTCCGGGGTCGGGGTGGGAGTGGGAGTCTCCTCTACCGGAGGGGTGGGATGGATGTGTGCTCCAGGAGCGAACATGGTCGCCGCAGGCACTCCATCGGTGACGTAAACCGTCGTCCATTCAGTAACGAACTTGGTCTCGTACGCGCGCTTTTCAAGTGCGAGAGGAGAAGCCATGGCAAGCAGAGCGCCGGAAACGGCGAGAAGCATGGATGACTTCATTTTGTTGTTTTGTTAGGGAACTGATCTGCCAGTGTTAGTATGGCAAACTAAGTCTCGGAATCCGGGAGTGTTGGAGAGGCGAAAGGAGGTGACCAGCTGTGGTTAGGTGCTGGTTGAAGACGACGGAAGGCGTCCAGTGGGATTTAACAGAGTGAATGAGGTGGCTTCGTCGCCCAGTGAATCGCAACTTGGGCCACTGCGCATCGTATAGAGTATTTACAGGAAATCGAGGTATGCCACTGGACCGTTTCCTTCGCTCCGATTTGTACTCTCGAGAAACAAGATGGAGCCTCCTTGTTGTACGCCGGCGCATTGTTGACTCGATATATATAGATAGGGGGGACAAAGGAACAATAGGGAACATCATAGCGTACCTTATTCTCTTCTTTAGCAACACAGAGGGTGTCTTTGCGAGGTCAACCGAGGGCAAGGATGGTGGTCCTTTACACAAGTCTTTCTCAGAGCCAGCTGGCAGCAGCACTGCTGTTCCTGGGATCCTTCAAGGATGCCTTGGATGATATCTTGTCTGAGAAAGAAAAAGAGTCGGAGGATCGAGGTGGTGTTGCTGGCAATGGCTTTCTGGTGAAGAACAGCCGGTCAAAGGAGTGACAAGAAGGGAGAACAAGCAAGGAGCCTTATGCAAGGGTCTTGACCGAGTTATCGTCGTGAAGGCTGGAAAGGAGCGTCAGGTAGGTATTTGAAGGAGTGAATGTGTCAGATAGACACCGGGTCTTGAAGACCAAAGGACTGGAATGAAGGGCTGGAGGAGAAGTAAAGAATGAGGGGCTGGTCGGTCGAAGTGGCCGTCGAGGGGGAGAAGTAAGAGGTGAGGAAGGACCGTAGGGAATGGGAGCCAGTGAGGCGGCGAGTGGCGGGTACTAAAAGGACTGAACAAGAGTTGGTCTGGGCTTCTCTGCAGGCAATGAAGGGCCAGAGGCGCCAGGTTTCACAAGGGAGGGAGGGAAGGACTGTTGGGCTAGCCTGGTAGGGAGAAAAGGCAGGGAGGGCAGGGAGAAGGAAAGTGAGGACAAACAGGAAATGGAAATTTGGGTCCTCTGCCAATGTTCTGGACCACCCAGAGGGGAGGATAATCCTGCCCACATCACATCCCCCTCATTCCTCCTTTCCCTGCTTCGTGGACATGCCCGAATCGTCTTCTGCACGAAGGATGGAGTAGCTTATAATTTCGCTTGCCAGGGGGGCCCCTGCCAACACGGGAGTGGATTTAGAGCGATGGAGCCAATTTGGCTGGCGCATTTGGTGCGAAAAACCCTCGAGCTTGGTCCACCACTGTCTGATGTTTTCCCCACGGGGGCGTCAATACATCAACCAAACAAATCTCATTTGCAGCGACCAGGTTTGTTTCTCCCTGACAATCCCCCCCCCTCCTTTTCAGGATCTACGGATCCGTACATACCAGGTTAATTACTACCTAGGTAGGTGGCACGCTTCAAGGTCCATTCCACAAACCTCCCATAACCCGGGATCAAAATAAACAGACTTCTTCCAATGTTTTAGAGTATCTACCCAACAGCCTCAGGGTGGAATGTTCGGCTGTCGTGACTGCCCTCTACAGGAATGGCAGAGGAATTCCTGAACGGATGGATACGTGGCTCCCTGGGGGTAGGTGGGTCAATTTGGTGGCGGACCCCTGGACATCTCATCTCTTCATCACCATCCAATCTGCAGTCAGCACGGGTCAAGTTCCGGTACCTTGCAGATTTGCGCGTGTGTGGGCACATCTGATTGGGCGTTTTCTGCAGGGGTCGACAACCCCATTCATTGTTTATTCCAGGGACTGGGCTCCGATCCTGAAACAACACTAATTTGGTGGCTCACCGTAGGAACTCGACCGGGGCAATCGGCGCTCATACTGTATTGGTCTCTCTGATGTTTCCATGTCAGTGATCACTGAATCGGTTTCCAGGGTTCGTTCCCAGGGCAAAAATAGCTGTTTCCAGCCCAATTTAATAATGCTGGGTTGATCAAATGCTGCTGCGGATCACCCGGATGATGCTCAGCGCCCCCCGCAGGCGCGTCTGCAACTTTATTTCGAGGTCAACAATATTATGCCTTGCGCCGATGCACATCTTCCTGCTGGCACGCTGCTGACTTCGCGATCTGACGCCACGTAACGGCCCCTTGCATCGTTGCGAGAATGAACTGGATCATTCATTCCACGGCTGTTTGACCTTCCCGCGAGGAGGCGCCCGGTTAGCTCCCGGAGTTAAATATTCAAAGCAACTTTCCTCAAGAACCTGCGCCGTCCCGTGGAACGGCCACCTGGGCCGGCCCTCGTGGACTGGCTTCCACTGCAGGCAAGCCAGAGGGAGAGGTGCGCCACTGTTTCACCTCCCGCCCAACAACTGCTGTTGCGGGAACCTCAGCAGAGACCAACAACATCTTTTTATGACTTCATCCTCCAGATCGAGCCTCGGTCCTCTGGCTTGCACTGGCAAGAGTAGCCCGGTTATTTGGCATCTGGCATGGGCGGGGCAAGGTCTTAGGATTCATGGTATTCCCTATATCATCCAAGAGCTTTTTTCGGGCACTATCAGGTCGCATCTTGGACTGCGTTCTCTTGTGGCTGACAATGTGGTCAACTCGAAACCAGCCCACGACTTCTAAGGGCAGTTATCCGGTCCCCGATGTGCCTCCCGATTGGCAAGCTGCAGGCTGGAGGCTAGAACAGAATTTTGGTCCGCTCCAGGATCTTGATCGCTCGAACAGCGAGGATACGGCTGCTTACCGCTCTTGCCAAACTCCCTTTTACCCCGAGAGTTAGTGCCGTCGAGTGATCTGCGCCAACATCTCCCAAGAGGCCACTCCCCTCTTACGGTCGTGTGTTTTTTTGCATTGGTCAAACCAACACCAGGCCATCCCCCTAACGCGGGCCCTTTCAGGTTCTTGGGGTTGATGCGACGCCGCTGCAGTTGAATCACTCATCATATGCGTTTTCTATCACCCAAATTTGTTGACCGGAACGGCTGTTGGCATGGAGGCGTCAGTCTCAAATGTACATAGAATCAATGACATCTCATCGGCTTCAGGGGATGCACTAGATCCAACACGCTTCTTGATATCAAGCCACAGATGTTTCGGTCATCGGCCTATCGCAGGTGGCAGCCTTTGCTTTCCGGCAGCCCCGGTCTTGAGAGCAGCAGCAACAATCGTGTGTGCTGGGCTCCCTGCGTCATCGAGCCGAGAGCAATGCCCTCACATCCCGGAAGGATTACCCAGTCGTAGGTGCTTTTAGCCGACCGTTGAGAAAGTGTAGGAGTCGCCGGAATTTGCCGATGTCATATTCAGACCTTTCTAGAATCGCCTTGTTTATGCCGCGATGTTGGGCTCTAGTCTGTAGACCGGACTTTGGCTGGTAGGTGGCGCTTAGTTTAGTGGTCCGGTGTTTCGGATTGCCAGAGAAAGGTGAGGGCCCACTCCGCTATATACTATTACTTGCCGCGAGATCTCCTTTCCATAACCATCCGACTCGGTGAAGAGCGCCTCCGCATCAACCACAACCAGCCGATCTCATCCTTTGGGGTGATGCCAGTCTAGATGGCGTGCCAGACAGCCGAGAATGCGGCGCGGGCGGAGTTGCTCTGGGGGTCCAGCACGTACTTGACGTCGATCCGGTGGTTCCAACCGCGGAGCTCGGGGATCGAGTCGTCGAACGCGAGCAGCACGTAGATGCCTGAGAAGTCGAGCTCCCGCGCGTCCGTCTTGTCCCCCTCGCGCTGCTTGTCAATTCAGTGTCAATTCAGCGCCTCTGCCATGTCGAGAATGCTTCCACTGTCCCCTCCCCGGCTTTTCATGACGTTCACAGCGCTAATGTAGCCCTATATTTATCTCCAGGGAGCAATTTAAAGTTATGCAGACCAGCCAACGTTAGTGTACCATTAGCTTATCACTTACCCTGTTGGTTAAAGTCTGAAGGTGTAGTCATTATTAAAGTGGGCCATCTGACATGGTGTTCATCTCCAACACCACTGTCTCTTTCGAACTGTATGTGACTTGGATGAATTACCTACTTCCCTATTATTATTTTTCATGTAAAGGCATGCTTTGGTACCAGAGACTAAGTTGGAGTAACTGTGTTTCATTCAGAAAACAGGCTTTGCCATGGAAAGACTCAATTTCCTCCCCTGGCATCTTTTTGATATTGTCAAAGAGTCTCCTCCCCGAGGCCGTTTTAACCTGGATATCTGATATCAACCAACAACCGACTAACACCATCAACCAACAGCCCACAGAACACGACGCGGTATTAAGCAACATAGTCACCACTGCTTCAGCTGCCTGGTTCTTGTTGGTAATCATGTTTAGCAATGCTGGGTCGGCGCTGCTCCTTCAACTCTATCAACTACTCAACAGAGCCCCAGCGATATTCTACCGCTGCTTACTATGTTACCTAGGTAGTCGTTCAGTCGGACCAAGCCTGCAGAAGGATGCCAATTATTGAATCCTGGAGTCAAGATCTGTCCACTCGACATACTCAACGCAAAAGTCTTCCCCAGCAGAACTTGAAGTGTATAAATATGGTCTTCCACGTCCATCATCCCACGTCCATCGTATGCTCTGGCAGGAAATCGTCAAGTGTAAAAATCGGCACACTTGGGATTGAAAGGCTCTGTAGGTTAACTCCAGCGGATATCGTTGTAGTCAGTTGCAACTGTTGCATCTCTTACTCCGTGAAAAGCGGGAAACAATTCGGGTTATTGCAATGTGCGGATGGTATACCCAGGCCGACCATGCGCGCGGAGTAAACGCTGCAAGGCTCGGAGCGAAGCAGGCGTGGCCGCCGGTCTTGTACTTGTACTTATTTTTTCTCCCCTTCTGTTTCCTCTAGAGCGGTTACTCAGGGATCTCTGCTGTCCGGGGGATTATCTTTCTTTGGCAGAGGGATGAGTGGGTTTTGCGCGCCAGGTCTGGGCGGTCTCATAAGGCTTTCGGCCGCCGGGACTCCCACCGATAGCGCCTTCTTCATCGGGGTCCCGCGTATCGCCAAAAGGGGCGCAGAGACGCAGAGACGCAGATACAATGGATAATATGGTTTGATTATTAGCTACTTGGTGCATTTTCGACCACCTAATGACCACTAACTACTTCGACCCGCTACTGCTGCCGTTCCCGCTGGAGTTACCGCCTCCTCCGCTCCCGCCGGAGCTGCCCCCGCCGGAGCTGCCGCCGCTGCCGCCGCCGCCTGCAGGCTTCGGCTTCGGCTTCGGCTTGGGGCCGACGGGCTTGGGGTAGTCATAGCCGCGCTCGCGACCCATGGTTGTTGGGTGAGGTTTGGTAGGGAGGAATGTGAGAAGAAATCAGAATTTGCGCCTAAGATGTAATGGCTAGCTTGCACGTCTTCACGTCTGGCGAGGAGAAGAGATTATGAGGTAAAAGTGGGCTCCTTAGAGTTGATATCTAGAGAGAAGTGTGGACTGACGGCTCTTCCACTCCAGGAGTGAGTGAGGTTTTATACCGGGAGAAAGGGGAACCTCACTTCAGGTTGAACCTCGCCTGGTGAGACAAGAGGTGAGGAAGTCAGAGGCAAGCTTGTGGGACAATCACTTTCTCAGACTGTGAAATGCGACACTCCGTCCCCGTACTTTGGGTGCACTCGGCTGATTTTTCAAGTTCGTTGCACATGGGAACCCCTCAGTGTCATGTTCCCATGTTGGGTTTGTGACTTGGTCACGACGTCGAAGAGCTAACATCACATATCGTCTTCGAAGGGGCGGGATTCCCCGTCTATATACAGGCCATACAGAATACCACCTCTTAATCACAACAAGGTCTAGGAATCGACAAGGGCCATCTCATGACGAAGGGGTTTGCGACTTCTCCGGCACGAAGGGCTCGTTCCCTCGCAGGATCGGATAGTGGGCGTAGAGCTGCGTCTTCCTCAAATGCACCGGTGTCGACTGCTTCGGCTGCTCGGGTATGACCTTCTCCAGTTTCTGCTACAGAGTCAGCATGCACCGCCAGTCTTCCTCGCCGTCTGGAGTAGAAAGGAAGCCCAAAGCAAGGGGTGGCGCACCAGGTTCTCGAAGACGCATTTGTTAAGCTTCCACTCCACAGGCCGGCACTGCCACATTTGGTGGTTATTGTTGTCCAGGCACTGCCAGTGGCTGCGGAACTCCTCCAGGCAAGACTTGTTGATGTCCTCAATCCTATTAACAAACGGTGATCAGCAAACTGTTGACCCAGCCTCCCCATCTCTGTCCTGGCAGCCTGGCAGTTCTCGGGGCCACGACTCGAAACAAAAGCAAATTGCTTCCACCTACACGCTCCTTGCGCATCTGGTGACTCTCCGGCCCTCCTTCAGGCATTCGAATTCGCCCTTCCCAGGGTTCTCGTTCTTGCATTGCATGTAGTCATCGTTGTAGTCGCGGCATCGCGCACCGATGAAGAAAGAGGCCGATAGTAGCGGGGCCGAGCTGGCACCAAGCTCTTTGACCTTGGGAATGGAGTCGGGCAAGGGCGTGGTGTCGATTAGGACTTGCTGATTGAAGCTGGCGCAGGATTTAGCTTGGACCAATTTCGAGTCGAGATTGAAGCATGGTTCCCTTCGGAACACATCAATTGGCCTCTTGAAGGAATCCTGATACTTACATTGGCTTCCGTGCTGCCATTTTGACGGTGTTTGGCTGTCCTGTCGTGCCGGATTCTGAGGTTTTGCGATTTGAAGGACCTCAAGCGGGATCGAGTTGAGGTTGCCGGCTTTCAGAGGTAAGTCGCAAATTGAGTCCTCCGATTGGCTCGACCTCGGGGCTGTCGGTCAGGCTGAGGTGGGACACGGTGAATGGAGCTTGGCCCGCTCTCAGCGATAATTGCTTGTAACTTGTTTCTTTTTTTGCGCGCGCTGGAGCTTCCTCACGACAAATAAACAACAGTAAATCCCGACTATCTTCCACGAGATCGAGTTTCCCGGACAGAATCAGGCCTAAATGGATTATCGCTATTAGGTCTACAGGAAAAAGAACCATCGAGAAAACTGCCTAAGTCACTTCAGGGCGTGAGCTGAAGCCTTGGTTCCTTTTATTGTTTCTCGTGACGAGCGAGGCAGCATTCTGGCCCGCCTTTCGAAAGTCCTCTCTCTTTCACCTCCCTCCTTCCACGCGCGCTTCGATCGAAACGACAAACCACATTAGCCGCCATGTCATCATTATTTTCCTCGTTGAATAGACCGTCTGGTCAGTCCGTCTTTGGGGGCAGCACTGGGAATCCATTTGGACAAACTGCGAACACAAATGTAAGACTGCCTGCCACGAGCCGTCTCGAAGCCAGGCTAACGATGTAAACCCACAACAGCAGCAACAAATCCAACTGCAACAGCAGCAACAACAGCAACAGCAGCAACAACAGCAACAGCAGCAGCAGCAGCAACAACAGCAGCAGCAGCAGCAGCAGCAGCAGCAAACAGCAGCACCCTCGTTCGGACAGTCGCAAAGTAACCACCAGCTAGGAAGTTCGCTATGGCAACCAGGCAGCCAAACACCTCGTACGTGATACCTCCTCGGGCATACTGCTGCTACCTACACGGTCTTGGTCCCCAGCCATGCTTCCCTCCTACTACTTCCCCAACGCGACTTATTAGAGGCGAACTCTTGGCTGACTCCCTGTCCCCCAACCCTCCATCTAGACCAAAAATCCGTCCCCGAGCAGATGCAGCTCATCGCCGAAAAATGGCACCCCGGCCACCCCTCGTGCGCGTTCAAGACGTACTTCTACAATAAGGTCGACGAGTCCCGCATCCCCTTCTACCAGCCGACGCCGCAGGACGACCCCAAGGAGTGGGAGGAGGCGCTGCAGGCCAAACCGGCGGCCGGGTTCATGCCGGTGCTGTGCACGGGCTTCGCGGGCATGGCGGAGCGGCTCAAGGTGCAGCGGCGGGCGGTGGGCGAGTTCAACGCGCGCCTGCATGAGATCAACCAGTGCCTAGACCTGATCCTAGGCCGCCACGACCTGGACATGAGCGTGCGCTCCGCCAACGCCCGCCGCCGCCACGCCGCCCTCGCGAACCGCGCCCTCGCGCTCGCCGCCAAGGTGCAGGTCCTCCGCAACCGCGGGTACGCCCTCGGCGCCGACGAGGACGAGCTCCGATCCCGCCTCCAGGACATGGAGCGCCGCATGCAGGACCCGGCGCTGAGCGCGCGCATGGAGGAGCTGTGGAGTCGCCTCGTCGTGCTGAGGGGGTACGCCGATAGTCTTAGGGTGGAGATCAACAAGAGGGGTCTGGGGGAGCCGGATGGGTTGGGCGAGGATGTTGAGGCCAAGGCGAAGAAGGTGGGTTTCTTTATCTTCTTTCTTTCTTTTTTTGGGAGCCTCTCGGTTTGCTAACGGCGTGGACAGATTCTGGAGGATTATGCGAAGCAGATCCAGCACCTGAAGAAGGAAGTTGAGCAGATCCAGAAGGACTTTGCAGAGTGGGACAAGGACCACAGCCCGTCGCCAGCACCCAGGTGAGAAACACTGGGTGATTAGGGATTGGTAGCTAGGCGTGGAAAGTGACGCTTTAAGCTGGGTCTTGCATTGGGGCCGGGTACAAGGGAATACACCGTAATGATTGGGGACAATCAGCAGCAATTTGCGCGTTAGGCGTCATATGGTCATGTTGAATATAGCCTTTCTCAGGGGAACGGTGCATTGGAGAACGAGAGCACTCGGAAAAGACACAGCACTCGGAACCGGTTCAGTCCGGGGGACGGATTGTCCCAAGTTAGAGGCGGGAAGTCAAGTGCGTGGAGAAAGGGTCTCTCTGCTAGGCGTATATCTGATATACTCATACTTCCCAAAGTAGCTAACGCCAAAAATGCCAGAGAGGTTGCAGAGTCAGAGGCGTGTTTCTCGGAGATGCTGTCATTGCGATATGACCTCGTGCGCCCTAGTATTACAACCCCGGAAATTGTTACAATCCTGTTCCCAAGCCATTCGTTTGCATCGCGAGCAGTCGATGAGTCAAACCCAACGATCCATTCCTCGGCCAACCGATGTCGAAGATAATAATAATACACTGAAGTAGTTGTGGTCGTAATGCCGGCCCTGGCCCTGGCTCTTAGAGGATCTTCCAGATGGCGTCGACGGCGAAGGGTGCTGTTGGGGAGTGTGGAGGTTAGCTCAAGTCATCGAGGCAACAATGGGGTCGGTCTCATGAGGAGACGGGCAAGCCGTACAGAGATAAAGCGCCACGGCTGCTGCTAGTGCCCGCTGAACGGTGAAAGTGGCCTCGGCCTCGGCAGCCCTGAGCTCCTTGTCCGAGAGTTGTGGTGGTGCGACTAGAAACTTGTCAGCTTTCCCGAGACCGTGGCCAGCGCAAAGCCAGTATTAGCTATTCAAACTCACATCCTCCAAACATTGTGGCTGTTGACTATTGTCCTTCTTGGGAGACTATGTGGCAAGGTGAGCGTGGTTGAAATGGCTTGGGTTGATTGAGGCTCAAGCGCAGAGTCTCGGATGATGTCGCCAAAAAATTCAGAGCGATACGGATAGAGAGAGCTATCAGTGGCTTGAGTGGGAACTACTCGGTGGTCTGTGCTTTTTCAAGCCCCTTGTAGAATGCCGTTTCTGGCAGCCGCAAATTCAGTAGTGCAAGGGGAAGGATCCGATGCACGCCGCCTTCGAGCGCAATCCGGACCGAGAATAGCCGAATCGGTCACTTATCAAGTTATCAGTGGATCAAGTGGCTGTCGGTGTGACGAGAAAACACACCGCACCCTATCCTCACGTATTTTTGTTATTTTTTTCACTTTCCGGTAACTTTGCAGATTGCCGTTTCGCACTTTGAATTGCCCGGGAGATGATGGCTTCCCGGCAATTCGGCCAGTTCGGCCGTGCCTTAGGCCCGTCTTTGGTTGCCCCCCGTAACGTAAGGGCGATATCGATATCAAGGGCAGCCAACAATGCCTGCTTTCACATTCGAGTTGGACGGCCAAGGACCCAAGTTGTATCTGGCCTTCGCCTCTACCATTCCAAGTATCCTACCTTGGATGACTTCCCAAGGCGACATATCGGGCCGGATGAGCTCAGCACCAGCCAGATGTTGGAGGCCTTGTCTCCGCCTGCCAAGTCCCTGGACGAATTCGTCACGCAGGTCATTCCGTCTGACATCTTGTCGTCACGGGAGCTTTTCCCCCTTGCGAGGAAGGAGTTCGATACCGCCCTCGGAAATGCCGTAAAGCCGGCTCTCAAGGAGTGGGAGGTCAAGAAGCTCGGAGAGATGGCAGCGAGCTTGAATAAGCCGACCAGGAGCTTCCTTGGAACCGGCTACTACGACACCATCGTCCCGGAGGTCATCAAAAGGAATGTGCTTGAGAACCCCGCCTGGTACACGAGCTACACGCCTTACCAGCCGGAAATTAGCCAAGGCAGATTGGAGTCCTTGCTGAACTTCCAGACGCTGGTGTCAGACCTGACGGCGCTTCCAATCTCAAATGCGAGCCTTCTTGACGAAGGCACTGCCGCTTCCGAGGCCATGACGCTCTCCCTGAATGCTCTGTCGGCGTCTCGGGCCAGACGGGAGGGACGGACCTACGTGGTCTCGCACCGTGTCCACCCTCAGACCATATCTGTGCTGCGGAGCCGTGCCGAGGGCTTCGGGATCAAGGTCGAAGTAATGGATGTCTCCACCTCTGATTTTTCCAGCGTGGAGGCACTCGGCGATGACCTCGTCGGCGTCTTGGTCCAGTATCCAGACACGTGCGGCCAGGTTAACGACTACCGGGGGTTGGCGGATGTTGTGCACAAACAGGGGGTGCTGCTCAGTGCCGCAACCGACCTCCTGGCCCTCACAGTTCTCACGCCACCGGGCGAATGGGGCGCCGACGTAGCCTTTGGGACTTCTCAGAGACTCGGTGTTCCATTGGGTTTCGGAGGACCGCATGCTGCATTCTTTGCTGTTACTGAAAAGCACAAGAGGAAGATCCCGGGGCGCCTCGTCGGCCTCTCCAAAGATCGTCTTGGCGGTCGAGCGCTGAGGCTGGCGTTGCAGACCCGCGAGCAGCACATCAGGAGAGAGAAGGCCACCAGCAATGTCTGCACAGCTCAAGCATTGCTGGCGAACATGAGTGCCTTGTATGCCGTCTATCACGGACCAGAAGGCCTGAAGGCCATCGCGGAGAGGTGTATCCGAGGCGCGAGGGTCGTCCAAGCAGCTGCCCAGCATCTGGGATTCCGGACTCTCGGATCCGATTCCTCCAAGGTCCCCTTTGACACAGTCGTTGTAATCAGCCCCGGGAAGGCCAGCAAAATTGTCAAGGAGGCTGCAAGCGCCGGCATCAATGTTCGCCTCGTTGACGAGGATAGCGTCGGCATCAGCATTGACGAAGCCACTACCGAAACGGACCTGTCTCAACTCATCAAGGTGTTGCAGTCCTCGGCAGCCACCTCTAGTGGAGAGAAAGATGGCGAGCTGCTGAACAGGCTGCTAGAGGAGACGGGCGGCGCGGAATACAGCAGCACAGACGCGATTCCAGAGGCGTTGCGTAGAACAAGCCCTTACCTGACGCACCCGGTCTTCAACACGCATCACTCCGAAACGGAACTCCTCAGATACATGCACCACCTCCAGTCGAAGGATCTGTCTCTCGTGCATTCCATGATCCCCCTTGGTTCCTGCACAATGAAGCTCAACGGCTCGACCGAGATGGCCCTGATCACCCAGCCAGGATTCGCCAATGTGCACCCTCATGCCCCCAAAGACCAGACCTTGGGCTACCAGAGGCTCATCGCATCATTGGAAGACCAGCTCAGTGATATCACCGGGATGGATGCCACTTCCTTGCAACCGAACTCGGGAGCCCAGGGAGAATTTGCGGGCTTGCGCGTAATTCGCAAGTACCACGAAAGCAGAGGTGACGCCAAGCGAGACCTCTGCCTCATTCCCGTATCCGCCCACGGGACAAATCCGGCATCCGCTGCGATGGCGGGGATGAGAGTTCTGCCCATCAAGTGCGATACCAAGACTGGCAACCTGGATCTCGCAGACTTGGAAGCCAAGTGCGAGAAGCACGCCAAGGAGATCGGTGCCATGATGATCACCTATCCCAGCACGTTCGGCGTCTTCGAGCCCCAGATCAAAAAGGTCTGCCAGATTGTCCATGAGCACGGCGGCCAGGTGTACATGGACGGCGCCAACATGAATGCCCAGATCGGCCTTTGCTCCCCGGGAGAGATCGGCGCCGATGTCTGCCATCTGAACCTGCACAAGACCTTCTGCATCCCCCACGGCGGCGGAGGTCCCGGCGTCGGCCCCATCTGTGTCAAGGAGCACCTAGCACAGTACTTGCCGTCGACCAACGTCCTGAACACGAACGAGGTAAACCACCCGGTCAGCAGCGCCCCCTACGGGAGCGCGAGCATCTTGCCCATCAGCTGGGCGTATAACACGCTCATGGGCGCGGATGGCCTCAAGCACGCGACCAAGATCACGCTGCTCAACGCCAACTATCTCCTCTGCCGCCTGAAGCCGCACTACCAGATCCTGTACACCAACGAGCACGGCCGCTGCGCGCACGAGTTCATCCTCGACGCTCGGCCGTTCCGGGAGACGGCCGGCATCGAGGCCATCGACATCGCCAAGCGGCTCCAGGACTACGGCTTCCACGCGCCGACCATGAGCTGGCCGGTGGCCAATACGCTGATGATCGAGCCGACAGAGTCCGAGTCCAAGGAGGAGCTGGACCGCTTCGTCGATGCCCTAATCAGCATCCGCGCCGAGATCCGCGAGATCGAGGAGGGCAGGATGCCGCGCGAGGGCAACGTGCTCAAGCGGGCGCCCCACCCCATCCACGACATCGTCGACGGCGATGGCGGTGCCAGCTGGGACAGGCCCTACTCGAGGGAGAGGGCCGCTTACCCGCTCTCGTGGCTGCGGGAGAAGAAGTTCTGGCCCAGCGTTGCGCGGGTCGATGATAGTAAGTCATTTCTTTTCTTTTCTACCCCTATTCTTTCCTTCGTTCCGGAACAAGGTTTTGCTCACACCGGCGCAGCATACGGCGACTTGAACCTCTTCTGCACCTGTCCTCCCGTTGAGGATACCACGGGTGGGAACATCTCTTCCGTGGGATAATCCCAGAAAGGGGTGTTTAAGAGCCTAGTTTTAGGCTAGGGGCGTCGAGGGGAGGGAGAGGGAGAGGGAAATGAATGAGGCGAACACCTTCAGGCATGGCGCTTCCGGAGTGGTCATTGGTTTCAAGGCCTGGTCGAGCTTTTCAACATAATCGAGGGCGCAATTCATGGCGAATATTAGAGTTCGGGAAGGGGGTTTTCAACACTCATATATAACCTAGGTATCTTTGGCGGGTTTATTTCGAAAATCACTGATGCTAGACGAGGCCCAGATAGCAAGGGTTCATCATTACCATAACAAATCAAGTATCAACTTCTTGGGTCTTTGATATGAGTTCGTCGTACACAGGCTGATGTTCCCCGATGGTCGGCACCTTACTTACTCCAAAGAATCGCAACATCTAGCCCCCGTGGTTAGCACTCAGGGCCAGCTGGTCTTCATGTTGTTCTGGGCAACGCGAAACCCCTACCTGTGTCTATATGCTTGCTGTGAAAAAAAACGAGGGGCAATGCTTTTTCCCTGTCTATGGGACCCGTCCGATCCCGTCGCCATGCAATCCGGGTCATTATGCACACTCGTCCACCCCTCCCAATTTCCTTTCTAATGTCGCTCGCCCCCCTAAGCCATCGTACCTATTCAAGAGTAAGGCATGTACTTTCTTGCTCTCCCTCACGCTTCAAAAACCAACACAAGCCCATCATCCCCCGCCGTGACAACCCTCTCCCCCGTCTCCCCCTGCACGAACCCGAGGACGCCTCCGCCCTCCCCATCCCCCCTATGACCCCTCCACTCCTTCACCAACCCCGACGAAGCCGGCGTGGAGGGCGCACCACCCTGTTGCTGCTGCTGTTGCTGGTGCGCGGCAGGCGCAGACCCGACGCGCAGGTCCCAGCGGCGGACGACGCCGTCCATGCCGCACGAGGTGAGGAGCCAGCCCGCGGCGGCGGACTGCGGGGGGGAGCGCACGAACTCGACGCGGACGACGCTGAAGTCGTCGTGGGCGCCGCGCAGGTGTCGGCGGGCGCTGAAGCCGCGCGCCGCGTCGTACACGGCCACGCTGCCGTCGACCGACCCGGCCGCCAGCAGGGTGGCGGGCGCGGGCGCAAAGGCCAGCGACTCGATCGAGTCGGACTGCGCGTGCAGCGACGCGAGGATCGTGCCGGCGTGGGTCGAGGACGCCTCGGCGCCGCGGGCGCCGCGCTGAGCCGCCGCCGGGGTGTCGTCGGACAGCCGCGGGAGGCCGACGACCTTGATGAAGCCGCCCGCGCCGCCTACGGCCACGAGCGTGCCGCTCGGGGATACGGCTACCGAGTATAGGCCCCCCTCGACGGCGAAGCGCTGGTCTGCGGCGGTGAGCGCCACGACTGTCTGCCCGTTCTCCGTCACGAGGGACTTGGCGGCCGCGGCGCCCCAGACGTCCCAGACGTAGAGACTGCTGTCCTCGGCGACGGTTGCTAGGAGTTGTCCGTCGGGGGACCATGCTCCGGCGGTACAGGGCTCCATGTGCAGGAAGTAGGACTGGATGATCTGGACTGGGTTGGAGGCGTCGGAGGCGTCGATGGTGTAGACCCACACGGAACCGTCCGATGCTCCGAGGGCGATCGTGTTGGGGTAGGTGGCCGACGGGCAGGGCGCCAGCCAGTTGATCTCGGGCACTTCCTGCGACTCGGCCAGGAATGCGATCTTCGCCGCCGAGGCTGAGCCTGATCCCGGTACCGCGACCGAATATACCCGGAGCCGACCGTCCATGCCGCCCGACGCGAGGAATTCGCCGTTCGGTTGTGTGAATGCCAGCGCGTTTATGCTGTCCGTGTGTCCTTCGATGGCGAAGATGGGCTCTAGCTGCGTGGTTGTCTGGGCAGCGGTTGGGTCGGAGTTATAGCTCGGTGGCAGGACGGGCCCTGACTGGGCTGCAGACGTGTCGAAGACGTATCCCTTACCCGGCGCATCGTCAGAGTCTCCCTCACTTCCTCCAGTGGCAATCAACGACGGGTATTTGGGATGCTGGGCTATGGTGAAGACGCTGTCCTTGTGCTGATCAAAATACGCAATGCTGTCATTGTGTAGGGTAATCTCCTCTTGCCCGTCTTCGTTGTCCGAGTCCATTGCTATGTCGCCCTCACCGTCCTCAATCTCCTCCAATGCATCATCCTCTGCGAGCATCTCCGGCTCCGAGTCATCGTCAGGGTGGTGGTGGGGATCGGAGGGCGGCATGGCGGAAGTTGATATGTCTCTTGCTTAGTATCTGGGCACTGGAGACGAGGTTAGGTTTGTGATGTGTCGCAGGGAGCTTGACCCGTGAACAGCTTCAGATATAAAGGGCTCGAGGGTGACGTGACGCAATCGCTTGTTTTCTAAGCTCGTGGAAAGTTGTCGAGACGATGAATTTTTTGCTTGATAAGCATCTCGGGTTGGCGGGGTAAAAGATTGGTGTTCTCGGCGGGGTTGTTACTTGGGAGTCCGTGCTTTTTGGAGCTATTATGAGCCTTGGATGATCCTGAAGTTCAGTATACTCCCCTCAACTCCCGTACCCTCATGAATTAAACCCAATTTCTGGTATCAGATTAAGAGTAGCTCACAGCTCACTTTCTTCTTTCTTTGATATCAAAGCATCATCTATCTGAGACTCAAGCCGCCATCATATAATAGACGTTTCACCCAGCAGCTCGAATCTGACTTTCGATGATTGATACTTTTAACCTTGGAAGCAGGGGAGTTCTCTAATGATACCGGTGCCCTGACCTTTCAGTCGGTTTTCTTGCGTTCTGAATAAGCCAAGTGTACCTCTTCTCACGTATATCTGAGGGCCAAGTGAGCATGGATTCCAACCTGTCTGTCTACCCAACACTTAACATCTGCAGCTTAGGAGCCAGGCAACAGTCGTCACAAAATCCTTACAGGATCGGCATTGACGGCAGATCTGAAAGGATCATCAGTAATCAACAGAGCACCGCCATACTCATGGGTATCAGTTCATGTCAAAGCGCCTCTCAGTTAAGCAGGTGATTGCCAAGAGCTAGGGTGTTCACTGCAGTTCAGTGCAGCAATGCGATCCAGGGCGTTGGGTCCAACGAGGCTGAGTCACAATATTGGGACCAACACAGGCATCCTTCGTCTTACTGTGCCGCTCAGATTGGCCGAATTCGAATCGGAGCTGAAAGTGCAGAAGGGATCATTTCAGCATACTTCTATATTTATTTCAGGCTATTAACAAGATCAATACACCAAGCAACTATACAGATCCTCCTCTTCCTACGCCAAGGCAGCCTGCTCTTCGATGCAGCAGTCACCTATTTCTGCGGCCGCTTGCAGCATGCCGTCGACCTCGAATAAGCTCTACCTTGTCACACCATTGTTGTCGGCCTGTCACTCCATTGTCACTTTGAAGCCGGCCGTTGGTCGATCTGACGATCGTTCTCTCAGTTTCGTGGTACTTGACCGAACTGCCTAGCCGAAATTTAGTTCGTGGGTGAAGCTCTCTGCCTGTCCTGAAGCCCTGGGCAGCAGGTCGGAGAAATAGCCTCTGAAACCAACAACCACACTGCACGCATGGGGCGATTTTACATCTTCACTTGGCAAAGCTGGCCGTGTATGATGTTGATAAATTGACGGAGGACCCCTAAAGTTGGGGGCCGTGAGACTTGTTCCAGACCCCTGCTTATCATCCCGAGTGCGCAGCTCCCAAAACTTCAACCCTGGTTTCTCTCCTCGACAGCGTTTTAGCTCTATGCTACCCTGCTAGGGACCCCGAAATCCTCCTGGTGATCTGTTGCCTTGTGTACCTGCAATGAACCTGCTCTCTACTTGAGCCCCTGCAATAGCCCCTGCAAGAAGCAACATGACCCCAGTAAGCTGAACTGAACGGGTGCATATGCAGACGTGCAAGGCTGCGAACGCACAAGGCTCCTCTACCATGTCTCGTAAGGGGCTTGGTGAATTGTTGGTTTCACGAGAGAGCCTGCCATCAACGCAGAAGTTGCACTGCTCAAGTAGAAGGCGTGAGCCCTTCTTCTAGTTCACATGGCACTGGTGGCCATCTATATAATCTCTCGTGCCCACGAGGGGATGATGATGGTGCTCTCGGTGCATTTCCCATAATATAGACGTCAAGGGCCGCTGACCTGCCCCAATACTGGCCGTGACCCCTCGATCAAAGTTATAGAATTGCTCCCTCCATTACATTGCCATGGCACTCCCTCTTCTCGCGGTGTCACTACTTGCCCATCTTGCTGCTGCTTCAGTGGTTCCCTCTCATGATGTCAAGGCTTTGCATCAGCGAAATCCAGCCTCACTCGAGAGAAGGGCAGACGAGACATTCGACCTCGGGTGGGCAGTCCAAGATCAGTCTCTTTTCTCAGCGTTCGTCCCATCTCATCGTCCCTACCCATGTCGTGCAAAAGGGGCTGACAGCTGAGGCATAGAAACTGGACTGGTGGAACGGGCTCCATTCCCATTGGACTCACACCATTCGAGACTTCCCTAGCTGCTTCATTCTCTCTCGTCCTCGAATGCCTAGATTGCCGGACATACGGCAATATCGTGGCCGAGTTCAACGACGATGACGGTCTTAATGCTACTTTAACGTTCAACAACGTGGGTGCGTATATGGACTTTGGAGTATTCGCGTCCAATGAAGGAACATTTACCATTGGTCTCGGACGTTTCTTTGGAAATAATAACCAGAAAGTAAGGGCTACCCATATAAGGTCCATGGACATTGTCCACCATGCGGTCAATGGCTAAACCCTAGGTCAGAGCAGCTCGCTGAACGCCAACATTGGCTTCGGCATCGACCTCGTGCTGCAATTTAGCGGCGAGGTTCAGGCTTCAGGGGGATTTCAGATGGCAATTCCCGATGGAGAACAGGTTGGAATCGATATTAACTTCAGCTCGGACTTCAACGTATCAGCCGACATCAACATCTTGTAAGTGTTCCCGTACCCTCCCACACATCTCCACCATCACCGTTCTCACACCCCCGGATCACCAGTCCCCAAGTCGACTTCGGCCTCCTCCCCATCGAGCTCAGCAACGCCGCCACCAACATCACCGCAGCCCTGGTGCTCAAGGCCGAAGCCGGCGTCGGCGTCGAACTAGCCGGCGTAGAAGCCAACGCCAACGTGGGCGCCCACCTAGCCCTCGTCCAGGTCTCCTTCGGCGCAGTCGACACCTCAGACGGGACCTGCGAGCAGGCGCTCTTCATCGACGCCGAGTCCAACGCGGGCGCCTTCGCGCAAGTCGGCGGCAGGATCCCCGGCCACGACTTCGAGGTCGGGCCGGACGTCTCGACCGTCTTCGCCTCGGCCGGCACGACAACCTGCCTGGGGACCAAGTCTCCTGCCTTCAGCAGCACGAGGGCCGACCCGCCGCTGACTGCGACCGACGCGGACGACTGCCCGACCGCGCTGGTGACGGGGACCACGGACGTCACCAGGACGTACGCCATGACCAGCTGCGTCGTCTCGGCCGTGAACTGCCCCGCGTCGCTCACCCAGGTCGTCCTCGTCACGCACGTCGAGGAGGCCAGAACGGTCCGCTGCCCCGTCAACGCAACAGCCGTCCCGACCGCCACCACCACAACCTCCGACTCCGACTCCAGCCTCTCAACCTCGCTCCCAGCCAAGGCCCTAGCCCCCTCCGTGACCCCCGTCCCCTTCTCCACCGCCGGCATCGTCCTCTCCCACGTGACCGCGCCCACCGTGACGTCGCTCGCCCCCTCGCTCCTCGCCAGCGTCGTCGCCCCCGCCAACGCCACCGTCCCCGGCGTCTTCGAGACCCTCTCCGTGCCGCCGCCGCCGCCGCCTCCCCCTGCGGCGGCTCCGTCGCCTCCCGTTGGTGGAGTCGGGGACGGCAGGGGAGCCGCCAAGAAGGATGCCGCGGCGGGGCTGAGGCCCGCGGGGCTCGTGGCTGCGCTGATGGGCGTTGCGATGTGGGCTGTTTTGGTGTTGTGAGTGTTTGTGTGTGTGTTTGTGTGTTCAGGGGGGAGGGGGAGGGGGCTTTGGTATTGGGTATCAGCTCATTTTCTTTTCTTTTATCTTCCTATATGTCTCTCCTTACACCCGAAGGATAGGCCAGCAGTATGGAAGAGGGCGTTTGGAATAATTGGGATTCTGGGGTATAGGATGGGATGGGATGGGATGGGATGGGTTTGGGCATTTCATGACTAGCCCTAGGTTCGATCTGTCTTTGATCAGGATTGTCTAGCACTATATGAGTGCTTGGTAGGAAAGTAAAACGCCATTTTGTCGTGATTAGAGTCATAAGCAAACGTCGTCGCTGAAGCTGAACTGAGTGGGCAATGTTGACCCGGGAAGAGATAGGTTTCTCGTAAACCGAAATAAAAGAGAAGATAGGGGCCTGTGTGAAGCAGTATGTGCGAGTTCAGCGTGGGCTGACCTGGTTGTGTGGTACGAACAGGGAAGAAAGTGCCTGCCCATTCAGAAAGAAGACAAGAGCTGAATGAACGAAGCGTTGAATGGTGTGGAAGAAGCCTCTTGGCTGATGGGTAATAATACCGAACTGTAAGTGCAGAGGCTATGTCAAAGTGAATATCAAACGGTGGGAGCTAACTGAGAGCTCACTGGGATTAAGGTGATCACAAAGTGAGGCACAGTCAGGGGTTGGTTTGAAGCAACATATACCGGGTTGCTGATTTGAAGATCAGCTTTGGATCACCAACAACTCAGCAGCACTTTCAATGAGGACCTGGGACTTGGTTCTGTCTATCATCTCCAAGTCGGAACTAGCGTCAGCCATACCAGACAATCTTTTCATCAATGGGGTATCTAATCTACAAGTCTTTTCGCGCCTCCAAGTTGCGCCATGAAATGCCATGGCAAGAATCGACCAGAAAGATCTTCCCCAAATTCTGCTGCTTGGCATTGGACATGCCCAGCCAGCAAAATTTAAGCCGTAAATGTACATGTTGGATCATAACTGCGTGTCCCCGGGGTCGCTGCTGCTGACTCCAAACCTGGGGTTGAAGTATTGATCCAAACAAAGGTTGTGAAGATGTAACTCTGAATGTCTCGATAGATGTTTGTCACACCGATCCCGTCAGCTGCGTTGACCAGCTCGCTTTACTTGGCGCCACCTCTCCTATTGATCAAATCAGTGAAGAAAGCCTGGAGGTTCTCCGTGTCTGCCTTGGGATCTTCAACCGCTGTCTCGGCATCCGGGCTCGCCGGCTCTGGCGATGAGCCATACGCTTGTCGGTCCTGTCCTAACGTTAGCACGCCGTGGAACAAGCCCTCTCTCTTTTTCTTGTCCTGCCTGCCGTGGACCTACCTTGAGCCGTTGCACCATGTCATCCGCATCGACTTGGATGCCGCCCATGTTGAACTGCACAGGGCCGATATGGTCGTTGACTTTGCCTTCGCCTGCTCTCCCTGCGGCAAGGTCGCCGCCGCTATCACTATCTGCTCGCTTCAACGTGTTCGACCGAGTACCCTCGCGATTTGCTTCCTCGTTCTTCTGTTTAAAAACCTCCAGGTACTTGAGCTGCTGGCCAAGGAAGGCTTGCGTATCGGTTGTTTCGACCTCCAGCTTAGTCGAATGGCTGTCTCGGCTGGCTAGTTGTAAAGCACTGAGGCTCGAATCCTGTACTGCGGCCTCGTACAGAGATACGGTAGACCCCTCCGGGTCCGAGTCGCCGTTTCCCTCCTCATTCCCATTGGTAACTGTCCCATTGCCGGTGCCGTTACTGTCGGTTTGCGGGAGAGGGTGATCCAAGTCCATTGACCATCCGTTGCTCACAAGCTCCACGTCGAATCCTTCCCGGAGAACCCGAATCTTTCCCCACGAGTCCCAATTGGGCGGTACAACGATCTTGTCTCTGTCGATGACGTTGTGTTTGAGCGGGTGCTTCTTGAGTAACGAGTGGATCCCCAGGCTTGAGTGTACAAGGCTCTGTAGTTGTGTGGACATGGAGGGGGTGGTGTAGATGAGGGATGCGCCATCTGCAAGTTCGTCCAGTTAGTTTCCTGCGCAGCTTAGAAGAGTACTGACCCCCTTACGCTTCAGCAAGACAGTCCGCATGAACTGGAGGACGACATCGAACTCCTCCTCCTTCCAACCTTGTGTCTTCTCGAGAACCTCCATTTGCTCGGCCTAGGAAAGAGATCAGTGAGAGACACAGACGAATACGCCCCTTGCTAGCTCACGTTCTGGCAGACCACACACAACGGCAACCCCAACGCATCCTCCCACTCTCCCGGCCCAAGGGGGAGTGTGACATCACCTTCGGTCGCTGTCGCCGAGGCAGTCCCGTCCAAGTTCGTCCCACCTCCCCGGCCCCGATCTCGCCAGCTTATCATGACGTCCTCCATTGTGTCCTTGGATTCCATGCTGAGAGAAACGAGGACAGTCCGGAGGAGAAGGATCCATTGTCGCAATTGGCGCATCCATTTCCACGGCTGTGACCAGTCGAGGAGGACAACTATCAGGGTGTTGGGGATGGATTGCGGCGTGAGGAGGGGCTGTAGAAGAGAGCTGAATGCGAGACATGGACTTGTAAGGGTGTACAGCGAGATGCGAGCAAGTGTGTCTGTAAACTTCACGTAAGCGGGCGAAGTTGGAAGGGTAGGTTGCCGATATGAGACAGCAACGCACCTTCTTGGTCAGCATCCAGCACGTCATAGTATGTATAGCCTAGGGCGAAGTTGTTGGCGACGGGAGGGAGCTTGGTGGCGCCTCTGTCCAAGGCCCTCCGAAGCTCGATATTCGACACGGATTCAAGGAATTCACGCTGCGAATCGACGGTACCGCCTGCGTAACAAAGTCAGCTCTTGCTAGAGACTCAACCCACAGATGGGATCACGCATACCCAGCACCAAAAGGTTCTTCTCTGGTAGCCGCTTGCCGCTTGCTACGGAGTCGAGCATGGAGCTCCACATGTCCTTCTTTTGCTCTCCATTCTTGCCCTCAGAACTGCCAGATGCAGTTGTGTAAGTCGAGATGCGGTTCGTATTGGCCGTCATAGCTGCTGCCTTTAGAGCCGGGGCATTTGCAAAAGAATGGTACCAAGTGTAGTCATGCCACGGCGTTGCTTTCGCGGTCGACTTCGGGGTTGGAAACGCGGTTCTTCTTATCTGGACCCCTCTGGTTTAGGAGCTTGCAGAAGGGCGGTGGGGTTTATGCATGCATGCTCTGTGAGATTTGCCGATGAAGATTATTCGACGGCTAATAAACCAGCAGCGTGCGTCACCTAAACTACCTACAAAGACGGACACTTGGATCATGTATGATGGTCCTGTTACCAGCTGCCACTCTTTTGCGATGCTTCCTCAAGCGGGTCCGCATGGGCCATGGAAATGTTTACGGCCTGTTGATTCTCCGAAACAGGGGTAGCCGCATTACCGGGGGGTTTAATTAGGGGCCTGCTTCTGCTAGGGGTTATATAAATATTCATCGGGTTGTATGCCGCGTAACTGGCACACCTAGGTGACCCAAGTAAGGTTTTCCGCTAAGCCGTTTGTGGATTCTGCCGCAGCACGGCAAGGCTCCAACAGGTGACCCCACAAGTGGCTACCTAGCCGCCACCAAGCCGAAGGTCTTCGATGATGTTCGTTGCTTCCTCTCTGGCGACCGTCTTTAATTACAACTCGAGGATCGCTCCATCGGCAAACAGTGATCGTTGATATACTGCTCTACATTACGCTCAGGACAGACAATCAGAATGGCGGCCAACACCAAGTACACCGTTGCTCCGCAGGACGACCCGGACGCGGCGCAATCATACACCCAGGCGCCTCCGTCATACCAGGTCGAGAGCAGCTCCGCCGACGACAACGAACGGCTGATTGGCGGGCCGCGCAGCAGCGAGGACAACATCCCCGATGACTTCAAGGTACGCACCCTGCTGCAGTCGGACTACTGGGAGGGAGGGAGGGCTCTACTAACACGATCCCCCGCAGTTTGGCGGTTCTGTCGCTGAGGCCACAATCGACATCCGCCACCAGTTCGTCCGCAAGGTCTACACCATTTTGACCGTCCAGCTCATTGTGACGGGCGCCGTCAGCTCTATCAGCTTCGTCAGCCCAACTTACAAAGAATGGATCCAGTCTAATCCGGCCTTGGTCTGGATCTCTGTAAGTAACCCTCTGTTTCTCCAGCGACTTCTTACGTTTGCGAGACACGAGGCTAACCCGCACTTTTAACTCCCAGCTCATCGGCGCCATGGTCTTCATGCTCCTCACCTACTGGAAGCGGCACTCGTACCCGACCAACCTGCTCTTCCTCTCGGGCTTCACGCTGCTCGAGGCCTACACCATCAGCGTCATAGTGACCTTCTACAAGGCCTCGATCGTGCTCAACGCCGTGCTCCTGACCGCCGGCATCTTCGTCTTCCTGACCGCCTTTGCCTGCCAGACAAAGTACGACTTCACCTCGTGGGCCCCCTACCTGTTCGGCGGCCTCTGGGGGCTCATCCTGTTCGGCTTCATGGCCATGTTCTTCCCCTACAGCAGCACTGGCGAGCTCATCTACGGCGGCCTCGCCGCTCTCATCTTCAGCGGCTACATCCTCGTCGACACCCAGCTCGTCCTGCGGAAGCACCACGTCGAGGAGGAGATCGCCGCCGCCATCAGCCTCTACCTCGACGTCATCAACCTGTTCCTGGCCATTCTGCGCATCCTGAACAGCCAGCAGAGCAACTAGGTGTTTCGGGGCACGGTCGAGACGGAGAGATGAGGAGGCAAGGAGGATGCGAATTGCTATTGGAGGTTTGGGAATGTAATTTAGGGAGTGGTGGGAGCCATTGGTTAGGTAGGTATCTCCTAACTGTGGTGGAACATGATGGATGGATCCGTCGTCGGCCTGACGCGTCTTTGTCCCCCTGACATCGAGGACGGGTACCCTTAAGGGGTCAGTTATTTCCACTTTGCTGCTCGTATTTCTTGACGTGCACTTTCTACCAACTTCCTCTCTTTTCGTCTGCGTTTTGCAAGCGGAGTGTAATAGGGCGCGATGAGCACTGTTCCGTACTTGACAGGAACACACACCTAGCTTAATACATAGCACCGTCAACTGTATGAACACATGCAAGGCCTCTGTAATGGCGTGAATTACGTGCATGGGAGTTATCTGACCTCGTGTTAAACCTCGAATCTACGAATACAATACGGAAATGTAGAGCAGACGGAGAAGTTGGTCTAAGGCGTATGCAGGTACGATGACACAATGGACAGTCAGAGAGAAAGAATCATTGAATTGAGGTTGATATCCGCATTAGAAGTCCAGTAGTAGAAAAGGAAAAGAATAAGGAGATAATAAAAAAGGGGGAGTTTTGTGTGACAGGATACAATCAACAGAACCAAAAAGAAGTCGACCTGGGAAGGCTGGAGCCGCCGACCCATCCTTGGCATAACCATCGTCCTTGGAGTCCCTCAGTCGGCATGCTGAAGAGCGTCGACTGGCAGCAAGTTCCCAGCGGCGAGACCAGGTACCCAATGCTAAGATCAAGCCGAAGAGAGAACAAATTAGGATGGTAATGGCGGATGACTCTTGTCAAGTAGCTCCCCAGCCTGCCTCTTGACACGAGTGTCTTCCAGGCCCCTTAGTCTGTTGGCTCCTCCGGATCGTCTCTTGCCTTTCATCGCTGTTCATATGTCTCTTCCAGAGCTAAACTCGTCCAAACCAAAGCCAGAAGCAGCAGGGGAATAATTGTCTCTTCAACGCAGCATAAAGAACCAACGCCTGTATTGAATTACCAGGTCGCATCGTTTTTTGTTGTCGGTATCGGTACAACAGCGGGGGTATCAGACCGAGAAAGGTGCCTAGTTGCCGTCTTGATCTCCTCCATTGGCTTCGGCGTGGCTGTCGACCCGCGCCTGATGGGCGGCCTGCGCAGCGGCCTGCTCGCGCTGCATCCGGGCCTCTATCTCGCGCAACTGTGATTCGCGGGCAAGAAGCTCCTGGCGCTTCTCGTTGATCTCGCGCTGGACCTTGACCTCGATCTCGCGGAGCTTCTCTTCCTCTCGGCGCAGCTGCTCCTCCTTCAGGCGCACAGACTGCGATGCCAGGTCCTCTGGGTTCATGGACGAATCGCTGCAGGAATGTCAGTTCAGTTCGGTAAAGAAGGTTCTGGCTTAGAGGGGGACTTACACTCCGGCACCACCCTCGACGCTCTTGCTGAGCTTCTCGGTACGGTAGTTCTCATAAAGGAAGTCATGGGTGATTTCCTTCAGATCAGCAAGATGGCTGTGCAACAGTGCAGACCGGATCGCAAGGAAGTCCGAGTGACGCGGGTTGTCAACCTCGACAACACCCCAAGGGTACTGACGGGCGCGAACCTTGCGGCCTCCGATCTCAACAATGTCCTCGGAACCAACAATAGCAAACGGCATGAGCCCTCTGAGCTCAGCGTTCTCCTCGACGGTGTCCTCGTCATCCTCCTCGATGTCGTAGGGGAAGTTGTACACTGGGATTCGGTAATGCTCAATGTCCTCCATGACGAGCTTCTTGGACTCAGCAAGCTCTGCGGGAGTGAGGGAATCGGCTCGGCCAATGACTGGGATGACATTGACACGCGGAGCAAGGCGCTTCATGAGTTCAATATCAAGCTCTCGAAGGCTGTGGGAAGGGAGTCAGACACTGATTCTGGCAGCGCGGAAGACGTTTATGGACTCACCCGTGGCCGGTCGGGGTGATGAAATAAAGCATGGCATGAACACGGTTGTCCCTGAAACGGGGGTTACGCTTGATACGCGACTCCTCCGCCAGGATATCATCGTATTGTCTCTCGAGATACCCAACAATCTCCGAGAAGCTGTTGTTTGAGGGATTAGCCATGGGAACGCCGCACCGAGACGTGATACACACCTAGCCTCATTGTCTATTTGATCCCCGAAGCCGGGGGTGTCAACAATGGTCAAGGAGATACGAGTGCCCTCCTCATCCAACTCAAGTTCTGCGACAGTCAGGGTCATAGTTCGATTGAAATGACATTGGCTATGGGGTGCACAAGCATACCGACTGTAATGGGCTTGATCTTGACCCCGTCCTCGATATGAGCACTGTTGGGGTCATCGGACTCCTTGTGGGAGAGCACCGACTTGCCGCACAGAGTGTTGACGAAGGTGGTCCGGCCTGAAGTAGGGGTCAAGGGTCAGCAGGTGCAATGACATGTGGGATGGAGACGATAGACATACCAGTTCCCGAGGCTCCACAGACCATCAAGCAGAACTGGATTCCCTTCTTGACGTTCTTCTTCCGGCGGATCATCTTCTGTGGCCAGGATGGTCAGCAGCGGCCAGTCAGTCCTTCTTGCATGGGCAATTGGATCATCTCCCGAATAGGAGATTTGCTTGAGGATTTTCCCGCATCGATGAATTGCAGCGCTAGATCTGAGAGAGGACGGGAGCGAGGACGGGGAGGAGCAAACGTACGGCAGGTGCAGACATGGTCGCTGATCGATTGGCGAATTGATTGGAATGTAAACACAGAAGAGCGAACGGTCGAGGCGACACGCTAAATCGCCGTTATTGTATCGGGAGAGTTGGGATGGTGGGAGAGGAATTCCGGATTCCAGCTGTTGAGTTGTGAGGGTATCGACGGTAAAAAAGGGGAGGTCGAGGTGTTGTACGGAGCTAGATGTGGCGGTCGAAAATGTAATTTCACAAAATGTTGCGGTGGTCGCAAGGTGGCAGGGAACTGGGGGAGCACGAGCGTTGAGCACGGAGCATGGAGCCTAACGGCACCTTCTCCAGCAATTCGGCGAGCAACCTTGTCCCGGCTACAGATTCAGGGGGTTGGCGGGCTGGAATAGGAAAGGCGCAGAAAGCTACGGACTCCACATATAGTGACAGCTGTGAACACCTGTCAAAGTCGCGTAAACCGCCACACCTCCCATCCCTGTTGAGGTACCTCTCTGTAACTCCACATAGGTCCATACGCAATAGGCGTGATTCCGGGGACGAGGGGTTCAGCCTTGTTCATCAGTCGCAGCTGACCAGCAATCATCCTCAGAAGCCATTTACTAAGGGCCTTGACCAAATTCACATTTTCTGAGGCGCAACTGACCAGGGCCCAATGAGTTATCACTCCATGCTCTAGGTACAGCACCTGGCAGATGGGCGCCTGGATAGAACATCCTCTTGAGACCAACCCTCAGTCCGCCAGACGATGCCCTCGTAACCTGAGCCGAGACCAGACAAATCAACTCTCACGCTCTCACTCATCATCACGCACGCTAGCTCCTATATTGGCCTGCCGCGATGAACACCCGCCCGCCCATCGAGAGTCCGAACACAACCGTTGTGTTATCTATCGCATTCAACGATGACTGCAGCTGCTTCTCTGTGGGCCTGAACTCAGGATTCTGTATTTTCCATTCGCAAGCATGCTCGTTAAAAACGACGAGGGACTTCAATGCGGGAGTCGGCCTGGTGCGGATGATGGGCAGGGCCAACTTCCTAGCCTTGATAGGAGGAGGGAAGCAGCCGAAATTCGCCCAGAACAAGGTCATTCTGTGGGACGACTCCAAAGGCAAGGTTGCGCTTGAAATCACCACTCTCACGGCTGTAAGGGGTGTTCAGCTTGCCAGAAACCGCATCGTGGTCGTCCTCCAGAACAGCGTGCGCGTCTATTCGTTCGCAAAACCTCCGGACCTCCTTGCGGCATACGAGACGGCTGATAACCTCCTCGGTCTTTCTTGCCTGTCCGACAAGGTCATTGCCTTCCCTGGCCGGACGTCCGGCCAGGTGCAACTGGTCGAAACCGCCACGGGCAACGTCAGTATCATCCCGGCACACTCCTCCGCCCTGAGGGCAATGCAGCTGAGTCGCGATGGAGAGCTGCTGGCCACGGCCAGTGAAACGGTAAGGGACTAGAATATCAGAATCTTATTGCCTCATGACTGACGCACGACAGGGTACTCTTATCCGCGTATTCGCGACCAGTAGCTGTGCTCGGATAGCAGAGCTGCGACGCGGTGTAGATCCGGCAACGGTGTTCTCACTCGGCTTCAACCCTTCGGGAACAATGCTGGCTTGCACGTCCGACAAGTCTACACTGCACATCTTCGATGTCCCCCACACCAAGAAGACAGCTCGGCCGCCCCCCAGGCCCAGGAGCCCGCAGGTTGGTCCGTCAGGGAATCAAGTGGGCGGCTCAGGTGACGATGGCAAGGGGAAGTGGGGCATCTTGGGTAAGATCCCTCTGATGCCGCGACTATTCTCCGACGTCTATTCCTTTGCATCAGTGCCATTTGAGGCTGGGGATGAGCCCTTGATTGGGGGTCTGCCCATTTCCGAGAACACCACCCTGGGCACCTCAAGGCCACCCAAGGGGGTGATTGGATGGATCAGCGAGGAGAGTCTTCTCGTTGTCGGTGCTGGAAATGATGCCAGATGGGAGAAGTTTGTCATTACGGAAGGCGACGATGGTCGCCGTTATTGCGTCAGGGAGGGTTGGAAGAGGTACCTCGGAAATTCGTGAGGTAATTTGGAAACGGTACAAAGGCGTTCGGAATTGGTCGTGCATTGGATTTCTTTGTCATGAATTGTATGTACAGATACCACAGAACAGGCGCGCAAGGTTGGGCAATCGGGCTTCAATAAGGGGGATAGATTTCACAATGGCATGATATCGCAACACGGCATTAATTTCGTGCTCTGCCGACTACGTGGTGTTGCCTAACTCTTCCGTGGGGACCTGCTCCTGCTACTCCTCGAGTCTCCGCGGTATGGGTCACCCGAGTCCTCTCGGCCATGTCTCCTCTGGCGTCCTTCCCTGACCTGTTTTCTGTCATGGTCATGGTCCCGTCGATCTCGGCGATTTCTGTCGTCTCTGTCCCGATCTCGGTCATGATCCCGACGACTGCCTCTCTCGCGGGAGCTCCGGCGGTGTCGCCGTCGACCCTCATCTAAGCCGTATTCGTCCCTTCGGCTACTCTCGACGGGTGTTTCATCCCGCCGAGACTTTCGTGTCCTCCCGGAATCGCTGTGTTCGTCCTTTCCCCTATCGCCGTCGTCGTCATCGTCTCGCCGTGACCGATGGGAGCGGTGGCGTCTGTCCCTATGCTTCCTACTATGTCTCTCAGATCTCTTCTTCCCCGCCCGCAATGCTTCCTCAACTTCCTGCTTCTTCTCCTCCACTAAGAAGGCCTTCATGGGGTCGTCGTCGTCATGATTCTGAATCAGCAGTTGCAGCTCCTTCTCCTCCTTCAACATTGGTCTGGCCTTTTCTTCCTCTTCACTCTCCTCCGCAGAACTACCCTTATCACCCCCGGTCTCTTCCCTCAAGGCCCCTTCCCTCCTCATGATATCCTGCCAGCCCACCTTGCCCTCCTCCGGATCCTCATCGTCTCGGATCTTATACCGCGCATGGTCAACCCTGACCAGCCTCCCGCCGATCTCCGCGCCGCCCAGGTTGTCGACTGCAAGGTCGGTACTGCGCTGGTCCTCGTACTTTAGCCAGCCGAAGCCCTTGGACTTGCCCGTCTCCGGGTCGCGGACGAGCTTGAGGAAGACGGGCTCGCCAAACTGCGAAAAGGTGGTGATGACATCGCCCTCGGTAAGCTCGTACGGCAGGCCGCCAAAGTAGACGTAGGCCGTATCTCGGTAGTCAACGTGCCATGAGGCTTCCGGGGGCCTACGGTTAGGTGAGTTTGTGAGCATGCGACTTGGGTCCAAAGTGCAAGTAGAAAAAAGTAGTGGGAAGGGGAAGCCAGAATGGCCACAGCTCGACATACACTCCATTTTCAATTTCGCGCTTGTTGAGCGCCTGGATGGCGCGGATTTGATTCATGTTTGGAGACAGGAGTCCCGAGGAACACAACCAACTTGCTGTGTGCCTTCGTCGCAAGAGCTGTGCTCCAGAAGGCTGATTAAATTTCGAAGATCGCAAGGCTGCACGTATGACGGAAAGTCACTGTGCATGGTCGCGGTATTTGAACAAAATCGCACTGTACTACTGCCTAACAGACCGGGAGTTGCAAATTTTGCCCGAGACATAAACGTTACCTTTGAATCCGTAGAACCTACCTACCTGACTTTAGTTGATAAACTCACATCACATGGTTCAGTTTATTTTACACTTTTGCGGGGCTTGAGAGATATCTCCAGTTGGCAGCTAGTTGCTCGGTAATGGTGGTGCACTGTGCTCGCGGCGGTAAGGCGAGGGAATCATGTGCAAAAGGACGAATTGTCATTGGATAGAAGCCCCTCAAACCCCATCATGCAATGATCTGATGCCAATCATCAGTTACTTTCAACAAAAGGTCACCGCGGGGACCTCCAGCCAGCTCTAGGTCGCATAGGAAGTAATGGTCCCAGCAAGCAAATTCAAAATTAAAGCAATGGAAAGCTATGGAAGATCTTTTCCAAGCTTCAGTTATGGAACCTTAGAAAGCTTCCGCCGGCGCGTGAGAGCCTAAAGTGCGACGCGGTATCCGTACTCGGTAACTTTGTAAATTTCACCAGGCTGGTCCCCTATAAAAGCTCCAGCTTCTTTGCCCCGCGACATCTGCCTGGAAATTGATCCAATAGAGAGGGAGACCCCTGATCTTCACCGCCTTCGGTCTCAATTTATCAGGGCCATGGTTGGCAGGCGAGGCAGGACCCACTCCGTATCCAACGCCCGGTTTGTGCTCGGCAGCTAAAGTAACCCGTCAAGTTTTGCTGTCGCATCGTTGCCGTTTTCGATTTCCTGCAACTCTCATTACCATTTGTCTGCCTCTCCAGCTCCTCGTCAAGCTGGGCTCCCGTTCCTTACTGCCTGCCTTAGTTACTTGTCCATGATCGCCTCGAAATCCGGCCCAGAAACTGCCTCGATTGGCCCTTGATTGCACGACACACCCGACACGCCTGCTGTCCTCCTTTGCTCGCCCAACGCGCTGCAACCTCTGCAACCTCCCACCACGATCAGGCGAGCCCAATTAGCAGTCTCGGGGCTCTTTAACTGACCATGAACTCGGTCAGCAATGATGCAAATCAAATGAATGCGACACCCCAGGGCCCGGCCCGAGCCTCTGTCAGGAAGCCCGTAAGGCGCGAGCATTCTGGGAAGAAGGAAACCATGAACGGCCCGCTCTACATGCAAGCATCCAACAATGTGGTACTTGTTCGCCGCCTCAAGAAGAAAGGCCAAGGGCCCATGAAGCAGCTTTCTCGCTGGTTTGTCGAGAATCAGATTGGTATGTAGAGCCATCACTGGTCCTTGCCGAAACCTGCGCAACCACCTGCCTCTCTCTGGCTAACACAGATCCTCCGTCACAGGGTTATCATTCAACTTGCTCACCCTTCTCCTCCTCGTACACGGCTGCATGCCCAAGGCTCGCCCTTATACGACCAAGTTTTACAGCCTCGCATACCGAAACCCATCGACGGGAAATTATCGTCTTGGCAGTGATGATGCCTATATCATTATGTTCTGCATCATCTTGCTCACTGGCTTGCGGGCAGCCACCATGGAGTACATCTTGGCTCCCTTTGCTAAGCACCAGGGCATCTCTAAGCGAAAAGACATCACTCGTTTCAGCGAACAAGCCTGGCTCCTCATCTACTACAGCGTCTTCTGGAGTCTAGGAATGGTGCGCGCGCACCTTCACTTTATGTCCGTGATATGAGACTAACACTGGTGGCAGTACATCTACTCCACGTCGCCCTACTTCATGAACCTCGAGAATCTGTGGACTGATTGGCCGAACCGAGAACTCACGGGCATCATGAAAGGCTACATGCTGGCCCAGCTGTCGTTTTGGATCCAGCAGGTCATCGTCATCAATATTGAGGAGCGCCGCAAGGATCATTTGCAAATGCTCACCCACCATGTGGTCACAATCTCGCTGATATACACCTCATACCGATATCATCACACGCGGGTGGGCAACTTGATCCTGGTACTCATGGACGTTGTTGACATCTTCCTTCCGGTTTGTCCCCGCGCCCCCCCCCCCCCCCCCCTCCCCGCGTTTATCTTCACTGCCGGCTAGCATACTAACAGCCTCTCAGACCGCCAAGTGCCTCAAGTATCTTGGGTACAAGACTCTATGCGACTACGCTTTTGGCGTCTTTATGGTCTCCTGGTTCATCGCGCGTCACGTTCTATATTTGACCGTGTGCTACTCTGTCTATGCCCACTCTCATCCTATCATCCCTGATGGCTGCTTCAAGGGCCCTAATGCCAACTTGACCGGACCATTCGACGCGCCGGTCAACCGGGGCCCCATCTATATGCTCGAGCCCCTGTGGGAAACAGATGGTGTTGTGTGCTACGACAAGCCAGTCAAGTGGTGGTTCCTCTCCATGCTCCTGTTCCTGCAGGTGGTGACGCTTGTGTGGTTCACCATGATTGTCCGAGTCGCCATCAATGTCCTAAAGGGCTCCGGCGCAGATGATTCTCGGAGCGATGACGAAGGCGATGGCTTGGAGGATGACGAAGAAGACGAATTCGTCTATGAGGAGGCCCAGCCGCTGGAGGAGGAAGTCGGGGCCGATGAGCTCGACTTGGCGAGTTGGGAGAGGAGAACCGGTGCCAAGAGGCAGGCCTCGGCTGCCACTGGCGTCAGTCTCCCTAGTCACAGCGACAGGAAGGAGTTGCTCGGGCGCATCGGATGCGAGAAGCAAGTCGACTGAGTTGAGCCAACTCCAGGGTGGGTCTGCATCCCACATTCTGGGAACCAGACACTCACTCTCTGGCTCATTACGTGGATCTGGGGATGGTGAGGCCAAAATGCCAGGCAATGGCTATTGCGCTGAGCATGCTGGCTGCCCAGTCTCGACTGTGGGAAGGAGATTACATGGCGTTTCGGGGTGTTCCTTGAAAACTGCGGCTACACACACACACGCCCGCCTGGAGAGAGAGCTCCCAGCTCTGTAACTATTTACGGTTTGGCTAGCTTTATTCCGACTCGGGGCATCATGATCATGGTTTCCTTTGGGATCCTGACGTAGGCTGATGACCAGTGTTTCATTGCTTGTCAACCTAATCTACATTGGCCGTCTTTTATTATATAGATCGGAATCAGTACATACCCCAATGATTTGAGCTTACTCTTGTACCTAATAATATGATGCTACTCAGTCCTGCCGTCCTCCAGCCCGCGTGCCCTCGGTCCGCTATGATGGTGATTCGATTTACTTTACGTCGCCATACAGTCCCCCTGCCGTGGTTAACATCTACACCTGTGGCACTCTTTCTCCAGCTCACTTTTCTCGATAAACCTTGCGGTAAGCAACCCTAACCAGCGATAACTGTTGTTCTGTGGCTCCGTTAACTTAGAGGAGCGGTAGCCTGTAGGCAAGGATCACATCGTGCTTCGTCACCCTCCACTCTCATTGCAGCTTCGCTCCTGTCGCCACTTCACCCCCGTTAATCCGTACTGCAGGGTTGATAAACAGTTCTAACCGATACTGAGCTTGTTAGCACTGAGGGATCAAGTCCCAATCAGTTCAAGTCCCAACCAGGCAACCAGCCTCGATACATAAGGCCTGCTCTTCCATCTCCCTGCCTTTTTCTTCTTCCATCCTCTCCTGAATCACCCCTACCAAAGCCCCTACCAAAGCCCCTGATTGTGCCGCTGTCAGCGCCGCGGCTACCCCTGCTAGTCCGGCTGCTGCTTGGGGCCCCGCTGCCTCCCGTTTCCCCAGCTCCGCGCCCAGCTAGGTTCCGTCTACGACTTGGCGCAACTGCTGTGCGGGCATCCAGGATGCACCCCCGCCCCCCCCCACCCCAACCTCCCCCGGTCGTTGCTAGGGTTACCCTGTGAGAAATTTGGTGCAGGTTGTGCACTAGAGTGGCAGTGCTAAAAAGGAGTGTGATGAATAGAGGCTTATTGCTGAGAAAGATCACGCTGGTATGACTAGCTTCACAACACGCCTACATGCAGAGTAAGCTAGGCGTTTCCCGCTTCCGGTCGTTGCTCCAGGCATCTCGCCAAGGATATCCAGTGCGACGTCCTGCGGATGGACATTGCATCACATGTGCGATAGGAGGAGGGAGGGCTGACGTTGACAAGTGTATACATGGAGTGATCTGAACAGCTAAGGTGTCTCTGCTTGGGCTAGTATCACCTTCCTTGGGTACACTACTACCATGGCACGTACATGAAGGAGGGACAACCGCCACATGTGAATAATACCTTCACTCCTATAAGGCCTTTTTGCAGAATCGAAGCTTGGCTCAACTGACATTTCGATAACGTTCCCTTGGGGTTTGGAGGACATGCCATTAGGGTGACTGCAAAATCGTCTTTGCAGAGGTCAAGAGGAGTTATTCTTTGCAAAGCATGTTCTAGCTTAGACCCTCCAGCTTATCTTAGATATCTAGCAAAAATGTGAAGGAAATTCCCTAGGTTCTAGCACATGCCTAGAGTTACATGACGATAAGACTCCATGGATTGTTCCAGGACACTTTAGTTTCAGCCAGCACTCAGATATGAGACTGTGTTGGAAATCGAAACACAGATTGCCAAACAGCTTATCCATATAGATGCTACAATTCCTGACCAGGCAGTACGGTACACTGTGCCACTGGGCCTGTCACCCTGGCTCCCGATTCATCACCTATTGGTCGCTGTCTGATCTTTGTATGACTAGGGTCTACTTGATGCAAGACCCAGCCAAGTGTCAGAAGCTAGATGAGATAGACCTCTTCTTGCTCTGTTTAGTAGCAGATGGTGCATGGTCCAGACCTGCTCTGTGAAGTGTGCCACCTAGATGGGAGCAACCTACATGATGTTGCCTGGCTTTCAGGGTAGCTGGATCACCACAAGCTCACCTACTTGAGCCAGGCTTGTGAAACAGACAGTAGCAATTAGCTGTGTGATACACTCAATTATATATGAGGTGAAATCTGAAGCTCACATGCAAAAGTAGCAAGCCTCCCGGTGGAAGGACCAGACAAGGTATAGACGATACCTCCCATGGCAGAGAGGAGAGGTAAGGTTTTGGAGTCTCGAGTCTACATCGAGTTGGCTCGTGAAGTGAGCTCAAGGTGCATCTGCATATTAGATTCCAACACCAGATAGTCCTGTTCTGGTTCTTTTAACTCTATTTGAAAGCGGTTGGGGAAGAACGGAAGTCATTCCCTAAAGCTGCCTGACGTATGCAATGCTAGGAGAAACCACTTTGGTTGGCTGCAGGAGGACTGCAGCATGCATTTAAGCCCAGGACAGGGAATACGGTTCATCTACTCCTGCCATGTGTTGACCCTCCATTTGGGAGCACCAAGGTTCTGTAGTTGTCCTGCCTCACAAGGTCCTGTTTTGATGACGGCTCCTCGATAAAGCCGATCGAACAGACGCTATTCTCCCAGCTGGGAAGCAAGAAAACATGTCGTCTTGTCATCGCATCCCAGAGAAAGCGATGCATGTTCTCTGATGAACGGCTGCTATGCAACTCCACGAGGGAATGGCTGCTTATTCACCACCACATGCCGGTAAGACACGAGAACTCTTTGTCGACTCTGGCGAAGCTTGAGTTCTTGGGCAAAGCATCAACAAGTACCTATCTTTGACCTCGACAACAAGTTTTAGGTGGAATCTACCTCATCTGCATACCACACCTAGGCAGCCTACCCTGCTGCCAGAATACGGAATCACCCAGCCCCTTGCAGCTCATTTCCATCAAAGGGCGTCACCTAACCCCCCCCCCCCTCTGCTCGCCCACCCCTCGGGGCCCTTATTACTACCAACCCGCCATACCAACACCATGCCGAACTCCGTCAGCGCAGGTGTCCCGGCCGGGACCCTATCGAACAAGACGCCGTGGGGGTGCGAGATCGAGGTCCACGCCGTGTCGCGGGCCCCGCTGTCGCTGGACCTCAGGCACGGCGCCGAGTGCGTGTGCCGCGGCAAGGAGAAGGCCCTCGTCGAGCGGTATATCCTGGACTGGATGTCGCACCGCATGGCCAGGCTGGGCGAGCATCCCGTCCGCAGCTGCACCCGCGCCCGGGTGGCGTGCGAGCTGCTCGGGATCGACGGCCTGGATGCCTTTCTTGACGGGGTTGATGCGCTGTATCCGCTCGCGAGATGAGGGAGGCGGTTGCGGCGAGGGCGGGGAGACGCGCAGGACACGGGCGTCTACACGGAGGCATGGCAGCACGCCGAGGTGGTAAAGTTTGGATTAGAACATGCATGGATCAAGGTTTTCTCGAACAGGGAGAAAAGAAATGCTATAATCGGATCAAAGGGGAGTCGGGATATCACTACGCTGGCCTGTCGTAGGTATATCTCCAGGTTGCAAGCCGGACAGCAACAGGTGCAAGTCCTGCAATCACCTCTCAATGGGGCAGCAGACTTGGGGCTTCAGGACAGGTCGATGCAAGTTGACCAGCAAGGCCAGGTAGTAAGGAGCATATGAAAATAATCAAATTGGCTCTCAGAAGTGGGAACAGTGACTCGAATCAAAAGACCCCGGTGAAGCAGCGCGGGAAGGCATCAAGATGGGGTGAACATGGCAAGATATCCTGGGAACTGGTCCCTAGATCATATTTGAGGCTACCATTCTCTGCGACGGGCAGATATGTTTGTCACAAGAGAAGGGGAACCCATGCTCCTATGCTCCCATTAAAGACTGTCATTGGATCGTTCCCGATTGTTCCACCAGAATTCCATGCATTTGGCCCTGGCCTGTCAATCAGGCATCTTCCTTGCAAGAAGTGCCATCGGTATTTGGCACATGCAGCTTCCTGCAGGGGCAATTGAACCATCTGAGTGCAATTGAGATGGGACAGGCGCCACAGAGTCGATTGAGGGGTGGGTTGAAGCTGACAATCCGGGATGGTTGAAGCGAATCAATCACCTTGGTCTCAAATGGCCACCTTCGTACTGGAAGAATGGGTGGTAAAGATACCGATTTGACAATAACCCAGTAAGTTTTTTGGGGGCTTGAAACTGAATCCGGTGTGAGGTCGGAGAACGGGCATGCAACAACCCGTAACAACATTCACACCCACAATTCCGCCATCTCATCCATGACATCACCACCAAGTCGGCTGTTGCAATAGACGAGGCCACCCGCAGCAACCGCAGCAAAAACAGCTTCGCTGCAGAACAGCGAAATCGCCTAGATCAAATTCAGAACCTAGTTGAGAAATTTCTGTGCCCATGTCTATCCTCATTGTCGGAGCGACCCGCGGCCTCGGCGCCTCCCTTGCGAAGCAGTACGCCCAACAAGGCCAGAAGACTGTGTACGGGACCACTCGGTCCAGCCAAGGCCCCGAGTCCCCTGATTTCCCGGACAGCATCAACTGGCTTTCCTCGGTAGACCTGACGAGCCAGCAAGCTGGCGATACGATCGCGAGTCATCTGAGGGGAGCAAAGCCTTTGGACACAGTGGTTCGCAGCAAACCCCAATTCTCGGCTGTCTGGACAGCCCACGACGCTGACTGACGCCTGCTGTTGGTTGCATTCTAGATCATCAGCGCCGGCTACTTTGGAACCGAGAACTTCGAGGAAGGACCCAAGTGGGACGAGGAGCTCCGGATGTATACCACAAGCTCCATCGCCCCCGTCTTTGTCGTCCACCGTCTGGTCCAAGCCGGCCTGCTGGAAAATGGGTCCAAGGTTGTGCTCATCTCTTCCGAGTCCGGAAGTATCACGCTCCGACATGAGACCGAAGGTGGCGGCAACTATGCGCACCACGCCAGCAAGGCGGCCCTCAACATGGTCGGGAAGCTTCTGAGCCTTGACCTGAAGGACAAGGGAGTTATTGTGTCAATTGTCCATCCAGGTTTCATGCGAACGGAGATGACCAAGGGTGTCGGCTTCGATAAGTTTTGGGACGACGGCGGTGGTAAGTAAAATCCCCGACGGCCATCCTGTCCGTTACTGTGCGCCCATGAGCCTTGTTTAACGCTAACGCTGCTTCCTTTGTTTGTTGGCACTAGCCGTTACTCCAGAAGAGGCGGCAAAGTCACTCATAGAGTGGATCGGGAAGCTGGACATATCCAAGACTGGCGAGTATTGGGCTCCTCGTGGCCCAGGAGACATTGGGACTGCCTCTGCTGTACTGGGTGAGGGGCTTCCTACACCACTTCATCTGCCATGGTAAATGACATGTGGCCGGTTGCATCCTGTAAGCTGGTGCCGGTGCCGGTATTGTTTCCTCGATCAATCAAACGGATGGCGCGTCCAATTTGGTCCCTGCTTGAAGCTCGATATTGCAAGACAAAAATAGGTGATGGCAAAGTGCCTGCCTGGTGAGAATAATCCGAATCCAACGATAGGTACCTATGCACCCCACAAATTCCTCTGCCGTTTGGGGGGGTAGCTCCTGTTAAGATAAGCACGACCAGGTAGCCACAGGACAATCCCTGGTTCTCGGTAACACCCTTCGCTGTAGGTACCGTCAATTCTACAATCCGTGTCCGCATCCCTGCTCAGTCCTTAGATGTGAATATGAGAAAGGTTCTGAGATGATTGAAACCGCCCAGAGCTGTAGAGAGAAGATGTGTATGCATCTATAAATTTACTTGATCTCTTGCTGCTCGCATCGCTGCATCGTTCCTGCAGATCATCTTGGGAGGGAATACGGTAGGCATGGCGGTGAGCGTTTTCGAGGTCGGATCCCGGTCTCGGGGTCGTAACGCCTCCTAGATCATCGCTTGGCAATTCGAAGTTTTGGTTCTCGGATTGAGGTATCAACCACGGAAGGGAACACGAGGTCTACTAAGTACATGCAGGGATACAACTGCATAGCGAACCGGTCAGGGACACGGGCTATGAACGGAGCCAGCTACCTACTATGTGGTATATGGCGGGTCGGTACCGACTTGCCTCGCCGAGTTCCAAACGAAGTACTCACTGTACCTAGATAGGGATACCTATTATTTCATCGAGCTGGATGGTGTACTCTAAATTGAGACGATATACTCATAACAGGAGGACATCTAAGGGTAGGAGCAGACGACTTGCACTGGCGGCACTGGCCCACTGCATATTGCGGAGTCGACCGAAGTAGTAAGGTGCAACCACGGAAGGGGCATCGGTCGGCCCAAGGTCCACTGAGCCGACTCAGGCGACTTGCCCATGTACTTTAGTCCAGCGAGAAACTAACATGTTAGATCTGGTAAAACGTCGAGAGCAATTCGCCTTCGTTTCCTTTTCTTGAAAGAACATCAATATTTCTTTCCTGGAATTCGAATTTTGAACAGAAAGAGTCGACTTTGCTGATCTCTGCGATCGACAAAGCCACCGTGCCTTTTTGGCAACTGAACGACTGCGTACATACCTTACCTAATACATCCATATCTTCCCTGGAAGCTGAGGCCAGGCACAAATTGGGGACCCGTCCAATGTCTCAAAGCCCTCAACGGACGAAAAAGAATTAAGACGTCAATATCACTCCGACCCAGACCACGGATACACAATAGGATACACAATAGGATACACAAAGTCACACGACCTGAGTGAGGCCTGACCAGACTCGAAATCACTGGATTGATACCGCCGGATTCAAAATATTTTCCGCCTTCTTCGACCGTCGTTGGGGCATTCACCAACACCAAATCGCCCACCATTATGGTCAGGTGAGGACTTGTGGTGCCACCAAGATTACGTGAAGAACGTCACCTCCCTCTAGCGCAAGTAGCCGACACATTCCTGGCTCTTATTCAGGGGCTCAACACGTCGCCGCCTAGCGACCTCACATTCAAGCCCCCCCGGCGCAGTGGATAAGAAATAGACCCGCCCATCTGGCCTGTCGACGAATCTCAATTCTCAAACCATTCGACCTCCCGCTCGACCCTCACCAGTCACCACCTTGCACTTGCCGGCTTGGTACTGCATCAAACGAAACCCTTCATAGCACGTTTTGAACTCCTCCTAGCTTGTCGGTCCCCACAACGAGACCCCAAGGGCTTGGCAAGGGTTCTTGATACACCCACCACAACAGCGCCGGGTTACCAGTCCTCCCACAGGGCCACCACGACGCTCCTCTTCTGCCTTGGCCGCCGCGGTCTTCTTCTCCGAATACATACACTTAGGACATTACGATCCCCACTATTGCGTGTCCTCCAGTGTTCAAGATCCACCTCATTTAGCCGGCAACCTAACGCAGTTGCGCTAGGCCTGGCCCTGGCGAAAGACATTCCCTCGTTCTCTACTCCTAGTTTGTAGTCGCGAGCAAGAAGAGGAAGAGGAAGACGCGCAGACTCGCATAGCCTTTTCTTAAATTCCTCCTACCCAACATGGCAGCCATCCAACCAGAGCAGATGGGTAAGTGCTTGATGACGATTTGATTATCTACCCATACCCCTCCCAATCAACCAGACGCAGCCCTCCACTTCCAAGTTTTTCCCGTCTCTCATCATCTGGCGACTGGCATCCGATCCACTTTTGTCGGCGAGCCTGTTGAGATTGCTGTTTCATATCCCTATCATCGTCGTCACTTCGCATGCAAGGGGCCGCCGGCGAACAGGTTGCGATCCGTTGACTGACTTTCTGCCTTGGCGCGCCCATAGACCAACAATCCGGCGGATTGAGTCTCAATCTTTCATCGAACAACCCATTTCGCAATCGTGCCGTCTCCCCCAGTCTCCAAAGCCCAGTATCGCCATTTGACGACCCTCCTCCTCGACCTGTCTCACGAAACCCGTTCCTCGATCCAGCAGCAGACCGGAGCCTACAGAATCTAGCAATGTCTGACAAAACATCGGCCGCGGCCGATAGTAAGAGGATGACGGCAGAGGATTTGTTTGTACGTTGCCTCCCTCCGTTTACCCCGTGTGATGGCCCCCAAATGTGTCCCCCACGCATCACACTTCAGAACTGACACCCGTTGTCGTAATAGGATACCCTGACCATTGAAGACAAGTCCTCCACAGCCAACCAACCCGACCGGCTTGGCCCGCCTAGGCTAGACGGAGCCAGAATGGGATCGATGAAGAGGCAAGCGGCGCCAGGCCGAGAAAACATTCCGCCCGGCTCGAGCAGAGTGCCACCCCTTAATCATCGTCCAACTCGATCGCAAGAAGAGGCTCTCAGAGCCCGGAGACCGCCTGGAAATGGGCCCGGGCCTCACGATGCCTCCAGATCGCCTCACCGACGAGCGGAACGGCGACCACGCCGCAACTCTGACTCATCCGTTATGGATGCTGATAAATTGCCACTCACAGAGGAAGAGAAGAAGGAGCGCGAGGCAAGGCGTCGTGAGCGAGAGCGGAGACGCCGCGAGATGAAGGACAAGAAGCCTATGAACAGAAAGCTGGACATTATTGACCAACTTGATGCCACGAGCATTTTCGGCACTGGTCGTACGTATCACCTTCTCTCGGCCTCGTATTGTTTTCTGACTCGCTGCCAGTATTCCACCATGACGGTCCGTTTGACGCCCTGAACCCGCATCGCAATCGCCACGGTAGTCGTCGTGCTCCCATGCAAGCCTTCCCCAAGGACTCGCTGAACAATGTCATCGGTGGCTCTGGCCCATTGAATACTCGACCGGATCATGCCACTTTCATGGGGAATGCCGATGATGAAGCATTCAAGGACTACGCGACCGGCGCAAAGGAAGGGCCCGACCGTTCCAAGTCCGAGTTGCCAGTGTTCGATCCCACCAGCCGCGGCATGATCCTACACGGTGACGAAACTCTCGGCTTAGGCACATCTACCTTCTTGGAGGGTACGCCGGCGGCTCGTACCGCAATCCAGCGCCGGGAGGAGGAACGGGCAGCGGGTATCGATAGTGGCCTGCAGCGGAAGAAGTCGCTTGCCCAGCGTATCCGAAGCATCAACCGTGGGCCGCGCGAGTATCAGAGCTCTGGGAGAATGACCAATCCCGAGGGTGTATATGCTCGCCGGCGATCGCCGAGTGATGCCAACGGGCAGACGTCATATAGCACCTCTGAGCAGAACCCATTTTTCCAGGAGTATGAGACTGGCAAGAGGGGCGAGGAGAGTCTCTCGTTGCGGAAGTTGGACAGCAACGGGGAACCGCTTAGTCCGAGGCGCGGCTCCGGGCTCGAGCGCAGAGCCACGACTGATGCGGCCATGAGCCCGGATGACGGCCAATCGAAGCAGGGTAGTGGGCTCTTGGCTCGCGTGAAGAGCTTGAAGGGCGGTCGGCGAACACGCCCCCCTCTTCCCGATACGGCACCGCCTGCACCTCCCGGTCAGGCGGCCTAGAGAGCACGCCTGCCTCTGCAGATGAGGCTGCGCCGGCTAGGTTGGATTGAAGAGGAACTCGCGTGGTAGCACCGTGGTATGCCAGAGTTTGACACTCTCACCACGCTCTCGACAATATATCCTTCAAATCCTCGCCCTGATACTCTTGAATCATCCATGTCCGGGGCATTCGGAGTATGGCTACTGGGCATTGCTGTGGCTGCAAGTTGGCATGGCTGCAAGAATCGTCGCGCCCATGGCGGCGCTACTGAGACATGGAATATCTCTCATTTCTTTTTCTTTTGAACTTTTCCAACCCATACAAATGGGAGGATAACAAGTATTCGTTTTTATTAATCTTGCTGGCTGAGGGGGACAAGGGGAAGTGGCAATCATGCTGGTCAATGACTTGAAGAGTCGCAGCCATAAGTTGGCTGAAGGGATAACGCGAAGGAAACACAAGGGCACCCTATGAGTCTTTGGTTTTAGGCAAGGCCTGTAGAGATTGAATGAAGAATGATAACGACAGAAGCTGGTTTGTGTCAATCCATTCGCTGGGAACCGGGCATTTGAAAGTATAATTAGTACCCATCTTCCCAAGCCTGCATTCCTTCGCAGCAATAAATGGGTCATGTGACTGTACGTGTGATACCCATCTCAGACATTACCCTACCTAGTTATAGAGGTTGCATAGGAAACTAAAAGGCTGAGCTGCTTGACAGCAAGAGGAACCCTGAGATGCTCAATGGCCACGTTATGCCATCGAATATGAGTATCGCCTTCCGAAATCATGAGTAGCCTTAGCCAAGCACCAGTCCCGTTTTCGTTCCTCATCCCTCATCGATAACAGATGCGTAACATCATTACCCTCCCCCTAAGAACATCAAATCATGGAAAATGAGGCCCCTGGCTCGCAGGAAAGCTCGCATTTCATTTTGGACCCGATACCGGGGTCGGTACTCTTGGATCGGGAAATTGCGCGCCGGGATGGCCTGAAGCAGATGGGCAACATCTTGACCGGATGCAAGGAGCTCGATGATAGCACATTACTCGGCGGCTTCGAAAGGGGCTGCATCGTCGGTATCAGTGCAGAGGATGAGGAGATTGGACTTTTGGTGAGTTCGTTTGCCATATAAGCACTAGAAGCCGTACCGGGGGGGGGGGGGGGGGGGTGAGCCATGCCACTTCTTCCCCGAGGGCGTGGAACGAGTGACTCGACTCTTTCAGAATAATATTGCCGTCATAACATGGTGGCTACAACATGACTGACCGCCACTCAGATAGGGCTGCAGAGTATAGCTCGGCTCTTGGCAAGTGCTGAGGGTCAAGACTCATCTACAGAACCTAGGGCAGTTATCGTCACCACGCTCTCTGCCAGTGCCCTCCTCCCAACTCTTCGGGATGTCATCAAGGGGCAGCTTGAGTCTGTTCAGAAAGAAACACCCGATCCTAATAGCCGCATCCGGCCTGTACTAGAGCGCGTCTCGATATCAAGGATCTTCGATTTCGAAGGCTTATGGGAAGTCCTTGGCGAGCTCGATCCACACCCTGAGACGGAGTCGACCCCTGAAGCGGGAGAGGAAACTTTTACGGGTCAGATCCAAGCCCCAGGTTCTAGCCCAGAACCTCCACCTCACGACGATCGGAACGACAAGGTGATACAAGATAGCGAGGAGGAAGATGAACTCTCGGCCCCTCAGTCAGGGACCAATTCCCCGGAGGCCGCCGTACCTCCTCACGTCTCCCCAAAACCAAGTGATCTTATCCACACCAGCAGCACAACAACACGTGCTCGCAAAAGGCCAATGCCCGACATAATCCTAATCACCCACATGTCCTCCCTCATGACGGCGCTCTTCACGCGTCGCGACAAGGCAACAGCGCACACCACGCTCCAACTCCTGTCGTCGCACCTCCGCTTCCTGACCCACTCCCCCGCCCACGAAGCTCCCCTAGTCATGGTCCTCAACTCAACCTCGCCCCCCCCGTCGGCAACCGACAGGAAACCGCCAACCACCACGAGAGCCAACCCGGATGCCGCCCCCACGGACCACGACCGCCTCAGGCCCCGCCCCAAGCCCCTAGACCCAACCCTCCGCTCAGTCTTCACGGGGCCCGCACTCCCGGCACCACCCTCCTTCGGTTACGGCCATGGTTACGGCTACGGATATGGGGGCGGCGGCGGCGGCGGCGTGGGCACGGGCTCCGCGTCCCGCAGCAACAACAACAGCAACAAGCCCTCCTTCGGTCTCGTCTTCGCACAGCTGCTCGACATCCACATCCTGTGCTCGCGCGTGCCGCGCACCCGCGCCGACGCGGAAGCCGAGGCCGAGGCGCGGGCGATGGCGGTATCCGGCGAGACAGAGGGGGGTGGTGGTGGTGGCGCTGGTGGCCCGCGGGGGCGGTTCGCGTGGGTGGTTGAGGTGCTGCTTGACGAGATTGGGGTGTGGGAGGGGACGGGGGCGGGGAGGCCGAGAAGACGGAGTAGGGAGCAGAGGTGGGGGGCCGTGGATGTTGTTGGTGGGGTGAGGGTTGTGGATGCGTTTCCCGGGGGGGTTGGGGAGATACAAAGAACGGCTTCGGGACAGTGACAAGCTCTAGACTTGTTCGTCCTGTTTTATTCGGTGTTTTCTCTGTGGCTTCTCACCAGGCAATACTATCTAGATGGACAGATATTGGAGGCCACAGTCCACCCACCGTCTAATTCTACGGCGGGCTAGCAGACAAACCTACTTCTTCTTGCTCCCCCTTCCTCCCCTCCCACCTCCCTTCACCTGCCCACCCCCCTTGCCCCCTTTGCCGCCCCCTCCACCACCTCCGCCCCCAGACCCTCCGGCCATCATGACCCTCACCTTCCCCACGGGCACGCAGTTGAGCGCCTCCTCGGGCCTCAACGCCTTGATCAGCTCCACCTCCCGGGGCCACATGCGCTCCGCGTCCCTGGCCGTCTCGTCGACGGCGCCCTTCCTCGCCGCGCCGGCCTTCCACCGCTCCACCACCTCGCGGACCGCCTTCCCCTTCTTCTGCGCGCCGGGCTGCAGCTTGGCCCGGTACTTGTACCTCCCGAGCGCCGCCCATGGCGCACACACGGCCACGACCTCCACGACCTCGTCGCCGGGCAGCGGCGTGCCCACCAACGCGTCCAGCGGTGTCGCCTCGGCCGCCTCGGCGTCGTCGAGCACGTCGACGCCCTCGTCCATCATGACGCGGCGCATCTCCTCGTGCTCCGCCGTCTCCCTCATGGCCCGCTCCTGCTGCCGCTGCCGCCGCTCGTGCGCCGCCGCCGCCTCGGCCTCGCGCGCGGCCTTGGCCGCCGCTTCTGCCTCGGCCCTCTGGCGGCCGGCGGCCGTACCGATGAGGGACTCCATCAGTGCCCGGTCCTCCTCGTCTTGGTCCTTATACTTGGCGGCCATCTTTTTGGCCTTGCCGCGCTGGCCGCGTTTTTGTTGGCCTTTCTTTTGGCCTTGGGGTTGCGAGGTTGTGGATGGGGTCCCGGCCCTGGACGGGGTTGCGGCACTGGGTCGAGGTGAGGAGAGTTCCTCGCCGGATCCTTCGTCATTTGCCGAGGCATCTACTTCTGGAACGGTCGGTCTGGGCTCCTGATCCGCGACTTGTAGACTGGCGAGCTTGTCGGAAGGGGGTTCATGGGATTTCGCAGTCTCATCGGCACTTTCGTCCTGTTCATCCTCCGCCTCCGCCTCATCCTCTTCCTCATCCTCCTTAGCAGCAGTCGGCTGTAATGGGTTTGAGCGCTGCTGCTGCGCCTCTCCTTCATCATCCCCACTCTCGCTACCCGAGTCAGAGTCGGCCTCTGGTGGTTGTCGCTGGCCCTCATCAGCCTGCCCTCGCCCTTCTGATTCGGATCCACGTGCCGCCGATAGGTCGTAGTCGCCATGGAGCCGGTGCTTGACATGCTTTGCCTTGCTCTCCTCGCTGATCTTGAACAGAAGGGCAAATCCGAGGAGCAGCGGAGCGGGTGGCAGGAAGTTCTTCTCCCCACGAACCATGAAGCTTCCGGCTGGAAGGAACTGGCCAGTCGGGGCAGACTTTGAAACCTGTTCGGCCTTGACCCACCAGGCGGACATGCTTGCTTTCGAGTCCCAGGCACTAGAAGAACAAACAGACATATTTCCAGCTTGAGACAATGTCGACGGGGGGATGGGTGCATCTGGGGTTTTTGGGTTGTTCTTGATGATGACACTCGAGGCGCCGTGAAGGTCGGCATGGACATATATATCTCCTCGCCGAAGGTAACGCTTATAAAGTATCTCATTCTGCTGAGCATCTCGGCCACCGAGGACCAGGTAGCCGTCCGAAGAGATGAACCAGGTGAACTTCTCAAACCACATCTGCCGTCGGATAGGTTGAAGAATTGCCTTCTCTTGTTTCAAACCCTTTTTGAGATCTTGGGTGATCTTCTTCTCGGCATTTTTCAGTGCAACTGTGGACTGTTGGAGCGTTTTCTGCTCCTTCGAGGCAGCAGTCCGCTTTTCATCGTAGTACTCCCTGGCGTTGCTCCATGGTGTCAGGGTAAGGTTGATGTCTACCTCGAGGCGCTTCACCACTGGATCCTGTTTAACCGTGTCCGTGGCGGCATAGGTGCTTTCGGCCTCTGAGGAATCCGTCTCGTAGTCGAAATCGTCTTCCTGATCGTCCTCTTCTTCCTCCCCTATGACTAAAGTGATGATGTTGTCGGCTAGTTTCATGGGCAGCTTGATGATCTCGGCAACCGGATTGCCGATCCTCTTTTCCCGCTCAACAAGCTTATTAATGTCGACCCAATCCATTCCCTGGTGAAGCAGGCCATTGACGGCATCCATAGCTTCCTCGACACGTTCGATATTGGTTTCTATCGCGGCGGCTTTGCGCAAGTTGAGCGTCTGAGCTTCTTGGAGGCCTTCTAGGCGCTTTGCCTGATCTGAGCGCGCTGCGTCCAATTTCCTCATTGCAGCGGCCTCGCGGTCACTGAGTTTGGACTCCAGCCTTTGTCCTTCGACCGAGGAGAAGAACTCGTCGACGGTCTTGTTGAAACCATCGAATGTCAGGATCGTGTATGCCGTGTCGTTCTCAAATTGATTTGGCAAGAAGGGATGAAAGTCTTCGTAGAGCAACAAGTCGGGCGGCCTATCTCCAGATGTGTCCCCCGACGCCAGCGATGCTGCAGCATTCGGTTTTGACTTCGCAATGATATAGCCTTTGGTAGTCGGGGAACTGGTAATAGCCTCGACTATACTTCTAGCCTTCTCTAACGACTGGAACAGAGCGTCGAGTAGGGTCTCACTCTCCAGGATTTGGGTGGGCTTCGTAGTGGGATCGAAGTCCGTAAGCCTGAACGCGTGATCGACTAGCATTGGCGGCAACTCCGTTATGGTAGTCGCAAGACCTCTTCTGAGATCCTCGCCCTTCCTCTTGGTGGGCTTGCCGGCAGGTTGAGGCGCCGCCGCGGCCTTCTCGACTGTGGTCTTGAGGGCATCCCTCAACCTCCCCTTTGTCAATGGCGGAATGCCAGCAAAGTTCAGCCTATTCTCCAGAGTGTACGTCGAACCAGCCCTCTGGGGCTCTTGCCCCTCTCCTTCTGGGACATTCCGCAACAGCGCCAGTATAACGAGCTTGCTATCCGTTAGGATGATATTCCCGCTGGCAAAGAACTCGAGATACAGCCGGTATTGGCCATCGCCGAACTGGAACTCGATGATACGGTCGGTACCGATCTGAGCGACGCTGGTGACTCTTCTGGTCTTGAGGAACTTTCGCAGGCGCGCAACAAAGGGGCTCGGGGCGGCAGCAGTGGTTCGGGCGAATTCGGTAAGGTGGCATCGGAAACCCGAGTCTATGAGGAGCTGCTTCTTGTTGTCCGGCTTGGCGAACTTGAGAAGAAGGATCTTGGAGCTAAGATCATAGACATTGGAAAGACGCAGCGTAACCAACGATTGGGATAGCTCATGGGCGATTACCTGGAGCATCTATATTAGCTTGATATGTCACGAATGCGAATCGCGGCAGGCGGAACCAACCTTGACATCCAAGGAAGAGAACCTCTGCTTCATGTTGGCTACAAAGGCTAGGAAAGCGCAACGGCGTAGATTCCGGTCAGAGGCTTGTTGGCCGATCTTCAATATTCAATCTTCAATCGTCGACAACCTAAGCAACTTTGACGAGGCTTGACAGATTTGACCCCCGCCTTGTATGAAGTTAGGCGCTCATGGTGTGGTGGGGTTTCTTGATCACCCTAGTGCTATTACGTCAGCCTTCTGGCAGCTTCATGATACAACCACGTCCCGCCGTACTCAAATCGATCTGAGCTGGTAAGAAATGCCAGCCGACAGGGACTGCAGCCCCGGACGGGATTGTAAAACTGAAAAACCATGAAATTGCGCAAGGCTGTTTCTAGTCAGCCTTACATATTGTCGGAATCTTCTCTGGCCCCTTAAGAATGCTGGAGGCAGCTTTTGCATGATCTGAGCAAAGTGCTTCCATTCCGCGAGACGGTGCAACACGTGGATGTGCATCCGTTTCGCGTTTATGCGTATTTGTATGCATTGAAAACCCCATACTTCCAAGCTAGCATGTGATGGAACAAAGGACAAAACACCATGCCAATGGGAGGACGGGTTTCCCGGGGTTCAGCATTTCCGATTACGTAGCTGCCTCGATAGCTCAGGGGCTAATTGCGACTAGTGACCCGCGTCGTCATGGCAACGAGTCACGCTCCAAATGAAATTGGAGGGCCAGGCCAAGCGAAAAAGAAAGAGACGGACATGTCTATGGCTCCCGCGGCTAGACCCTGCGATGTGGAACGAAGTCTTAGCAAGCAGTCTCCAACCGTTCTGTATCCGTATATCAATCCCACGCAACAGCAGTGGCTGGGGCAACTCCAATTGGACTTGCATAGTATGGATCAGATCGTGCCCAATGGCTGCCTTCCACGAACACGTCGACCACCGGAGAGGCTGGAGAGATCTGTATTATGTGATGAGATGGCCAATTGACTGGCTGGTTCGCGCAGGACTGGTCTGGCCACCAGCATCCAGCCACCTCGGCTCATTAATGTTAACTTGTCATGTGTACGTACCTGATGGTACAGCGCGGATTTGTGCATCCCCATGTCTCGGATTCAAGGTTGTCACTGGCCAAGCGCGCTGCTTCAACACGAGAGCCGGACAGTGGCGCTGAAGGACGCCGCTGAATGGAGCACTTCAGCTTCAGGGACATGAACTAGGATCCTTGTGTCTGGGTTGGGATTACCGGGCTTGTCCGAGGCACTGGCACACTGCTGACTTCTAGCCTGACGGACAGAAACCCAACTGAATCTTCCATTCCAACTATGAGACCAAACCAAACTAAAATCTAAGCATAAAATGAAACTGCAAACTCTAATAACTCCCTACGTGCCTAATTGCGCAATCTCTCCATTCGCAAAGAGGAATTGAACATCTGCGAAGTTGTGATGGATCGTGGAGCATCGCGCTGGGGATGAGCAGCAAAATGTGACAGGGAAGGCCCCAGCAGGAGGCTGGCGTGGGCCCGCTAAACCCCTTTAATGCACAATAAACAAAGCTGGAAGATCTTGCTCCACCCAATGTCAACAGAAAGCGCCCGCGGCAGCGCCCATTGGACAACAAGCCCAGCAACAGCACCCACCAGCTATTTGAACGAGGCTTTGCTCTTGCAGCTGCGCGCTTCCCCCCTTCCGCTGCTCCTACTATTTCTGCTCTTCTCCTCCCAGCTCATCATCTCTTCCCTCCACTCACATCCAACCACAAATCTTGCCAGCCAGAAAAGGAATTCGATCGAAAGCCGAGTCCAAGAAGACGTGTCAATCGTCTTCCATCTCTTCTTTCCTTTCGACTTCTTGTGAAGCAAGAGGATTCTTCTTGTCTTCCTTTCGTTTATCGGAAGGTCGAGGAGAAGACCCCTCTCGCGCCGTGAAAGGTCGCCAATCTGGACTTTGAAGCCCGAGTCCCTGTCCCGTTCAGCATCTTCCCATCATCCTACCGGGAAGCGGAGACAGAAACAACCCAAACCCACGAAGAGCTAGAGATCAAACTCCCCAACCAGGCCGGACGGGAGGGTCAATACTCTTCTTACCAAGCTCAGGCAGATCTTCCTCCCAACGGAGGTCGCTACAGCGAAGAAGAGGTCCACATCACTCGTGAAGAGGATCATTACCGCCGTCCCGGTGTCCGCAGGTAAGAGAGAGCTCATATTTGTCTTCTCCGTTCCAACTGTCTCTTCTACTCCGTTGGCCGGGAACCCCCATTCCCTCCCCCTGCCCCGGTAGACCTAGAACGGGGAAGGGTTCCGCTTGGCTAGTTCCGAGTGGGCCACGTCCCATCTCGCTACTCCTTGTTGGTCAAGGGGCGGTGAATGATAAACAAGACAGCCTTTCCCACAGACCTTCAGCTAACAAGTCACCTTCCTCCAGACCTCACACCACTTATACCGAGACCCATATCGACATCGAAAGGCCCCGTCAGGACTATCGCAGCCCCATCGACGTTGCTGAGAGTGAATACCGAGCTCGCTTCCAGCCCAACTATCGTGAGGAGGTTCGCGTAACAGGAACCACCGTCGACGCCCCAAGCTACCACTCCGGCCACAAGCAGTCTAGTCGTGTTGGTGAGACAACCGTCGACGCACCACACTACTATCCCCGTTACCAGCAAAGCTCCCGTGTCGACGAGACTACTGTCGACCCGCCCCACCACCGTCCTGTCCACCGCAGCAACGCAACAACTCTCGTAGACGAAACCACCGTTGACGCTCCGCGCTACTCCAAGTCCAGAATGGGTTACCACGACGACGACGGTAAGTGACATGATTCCCCTTGCGTGTGTGTGTGTGTGTGTATATAGAGCCAGCCGCTCATGAACCTCAGGCCAATACCACTCGCTCCGTCACGGCGTGCACAAGTTGGCTGACCGAATTCTTCATCCTGAAGGTCGCGACCACCATGTTGACGTGACCGAGATCCGGGAGTCCAGGTCCAGCTCGCGCAGCCGCGGCGCTGACAACCTTGGCCCCAGCACCGTCACCATTCCCTGCCACCACATCCGCCTGGGTGACATCCTCATCCTGCAGGGCCGCCCCTGCCAGGTCATCCGCATCTCCACCTCGGCTGCCACCGGTCAGCACCGCTACCTCGGTGTCGACCTCTTCACCAAGCAGCTCCATGAGGAGTCGTCTTCCATCTCCCACCCGGCTCCCAGCGTCGTCGTCCAGACCATGCTCGGCCCCATCTTGAAGCAGTACCGCGTCCTCGACATCCAGGATGGCAGCATTGTGGCCATGACCGAGACGGGCGACGTCAAGCAGAACCTCCCCGTCCTCGAGCAGTCTAACCTCTGGAACCGTCTCCAGAGCTCTTTCGAGTCGGGCCGTGGCAGCATCCGTGTCCTGGTCGTCAGCGACCGGGGCCGTGAGCTCGCTGTCGACCTCAAGGTTGTGCACGGCTCTCGTCTGTAAATGCAGCCTTGTAACTTCACGATGATGATGCCTGGTTGGCTGCTGTAACGCCGTCGTCTAGTTATCGTCAGCCAGTGCACACATTGCTTTGCATAGACGCAGATCATGTTCTGCACATCCGGGTTCCTGTGTTCTAGGGTTGCTGCTTTTTGGAAGATTGGACAATATTCAGCACAGGGCGATGGTTTGGTTTTGGAGGGAAATGAAGGGGTGTCATGTGGAGGGTTAGAATAGTTAGTCGCCCCATGTACATGATCTGTAATGGAGTTGATTGTTCCTATTTGACTGTCTTGGAAACTTCTTGCCTCGTGAAAGGTATCTCGCCGTTTGCTAGCGTCCGCAACAACTATTTAGAGTAAGTGCCTGTATATCCAGAAATGGCAACACCGCAACAGCCCGATCTCATTCTGTTTTAGAGAGCGCACCGTACTCTCTCTGCTGTATAATTAACATCGCCTGAAGCTCAGCTTCGAGATGTGCAATATTTGTAATTTCATCCCCCGTCTCATTAGGATCACATGGTCGCCTTCGTGTGGTGGTTAGATAGGTAGATAAGAGCTTAACACCTTCTTGACTGGGAAACGCGCAAACTCCCCCGCATTGCGCCTTCAGCGCCCATCAAGGTTCCCCAGGGCGCACGCTTGATAACTTGACTAGCATTAGTCTCGCTCTGCGACTCAACCTGTTGAGCGGCTTCAACTGTTCAGTGACTTGCCTATCCAGCGAATTGCCTTTCCAGCGTCATCGTCGGCTCCAGGCAAAACATGGGCAACTCGCAATCCAGACCTTCTTCGCCAGGGGAGGTGGCACAAGAGAAGGCGCTCTTGGAACGCCTCCGTACCCTGCAGCTGGATAGGCAAGACGGCTGGGACGAGGACTACGTCTATGTCGGCGACAAGAAGCAGAATGACCAGATGAACGAGAAAGGCCCAGTCACCTCCGAACCCCGGGAGCCCCGCGAACCCGAGGGACTCTCCGTCTCGGAGGCTGAACGGTGGCAGACCGAACTTCTACGAGACCCCAAAAACAGGTGAGACAGGTCCTTTCGCTCCCCAACTCGGTCGACACCATCAGCGCTAACCTCGTCACCTCTCCCCCCCGCCCCCATGTCTCAGACTAGCCCTCTCGGTACTCAGCGCGGGCAACCCTCGCGAAGTGCTGACCTCGCGCGCGGCCACGATCGCGGACCAGCAGGTCTTCAACGTGCAGATCCCATTCGAAGGGGGGCCGATCACTAACCAGCGGTCGAGCGGGCGGTGCTGGCTCTTCGCGTCGACCAACGTGTTCCGGGTGGCGCTGATGCAGAAGTACAACCTCGACTCGTTCGAGCTGTCGCAGGCCTACCTGTTCTTCTGGGACAAGCTCGAGAAGGCCAACTGGTTCCTCGAGCAGGTCATCTCGACGGCCGGCGAGCCGCTCGATGGCCGCCTGGTCCAGACCCTGCTGCAGGAGCCCCTCAGTGACGGCGGTCAGTGGGACATGGTCTACAACCTCGTCGACAAGTACGGCCTCGTGCCCCAGGTCCTGTACCCGGACAGCTTCAACGCCCGCTCCAGCTCCGTCGTCAACAGCATTGTCTTCACCAAGCTGCGCCAAGGCGCCCTGGCCCTCCGCCGCCTAGCCGCCGCCTCGCCCTCCGGCACCACCACCACGGCGGAAGCCCTCTCGCGCGCCAAGGCCAAGCTGGTCAGGGAGATCCACGCCATCCTGACGCTGACCCTCGGGCCCCCGCCGGCCATCGACGCCGAGTTCGAGTGGGACTTCGTCGACAAGGCTGGGCACGCACGCGCCGTGCGCGCGACGCCGCGGGCCTTCGCGCAGGACTTACACAGCACCAGGCCCAACCCAACCGCAACCATAGCCGTGACGCCGGCCTCGGTCGCAGGCATGATCAGCCTCGTCCACGACCCGCGCCACCCTCCCCTGCGCCTGCTATCCGTAGACCGGCTGGGCAACGTGGTGGGGGGCCGGGGCGTGCGCTACGTCAACGTCGACATGCCGGGGCTCAAGCGCGCCTGCGTCGCCCAGCTGCGCGCGGGCCTGCCCGTCTTCTTCGGCTGCGACGTCGGCAAGTTCAGCAGTTCGGCCAGGGGCCTCATGGACACGGCGCTGATCGACTACCAGCTGGGCTTCCCGGGCGTCGACGTCCTGGGCGGTCTGGACAAGGCGGAGAGGCTGCGCACGGGGGAGAGCGCCATGACGCACGCCATGGTGCTGACGGCTGTGCACGTCGTCGACGAGGGCGTCGGCGGCAGCGGGGAGAGGAACAAGAAGAAGAAGGAGAAGGAGAAGAGGACGGTCCGGTGGCGCGTCCAGAACAGCTGGGGCGAGGACGCCGGCGACAAGGGCTGGTTCGTCATGACGGACGCGTGGATGGACCACTTTGTCTACCAGGCCGTCATCGACCCGCGCTTCCTCGGCAGCGAGGTCAGGGACGTGCTCCGCGGCGAGCCCATTGTGCTGCCGCTGTGGGATCCGATGGGGTCGCTGGCTTGAGGGGTTCCCCCCCACCCTCCGGACCCCCTCTTTTTTCCCCCCTCTCGTCTCCTTTTGTATTCCCCCCTTCCTTCAAGGTAACGGGGGAGAGATGATCTATCCGTCTCCTCTGTTGTATTCCGGGCGCTGGGAGGCTCAAGACGTCGTGACGAATACCTGATGCGCTAGACATGGGCTGATCCAAGTTTGGTTTCTCGATGAGCGAGTCAAGGATGTATCACTTCCGTAGCTGATCAAGTTCTTATCATTCTGGGTTGGTCTCGTGAATTCGTTTCGCAGCCAACTCGACTACCTGCCCACTGCCTTCGGCACAAAGCAGGCTATGAAATAAATTGAAACCCATTGTCCTGAGAACAAACAATGTGTGTTGCCACCACGCTTCTAGTCAGATACATTTTAGGACAGACGTCCAGCGAAGAAGGTGCTGTATTCTACTTTTTGTTCATTAAAAAGGTGGATCAAAGAGACCCCATCAGGAACCATAGCCCCAGAACCAAATAACACCCGAAACATGCCCTCCCGAGGGACCAAGACGAAGAAAAAGCAAACTGAGATAAGTGAGAATAGTTGAGAAGATAGACACGTTCCCCATTGCTCTCGCAGGTGTCATAATGCCGAGAGCAAGACAAACGTCAACAGCATGCGCTCCTGCAGGGATAAAACGCCGAGTGCGATGCCTCAGAATGGTGCCGAATCGAGGCCCATCGTATGCCATGTGTCACTCAAGAATATGTCCATCATTCTTCCTCATTCCTCTCTCCGCGGCGCATCCGTTCGTTCCACTTGCGTTTGCCAATGCGAGTCTCGAAGTGGGGGGCCACATCCTGCATGAAGGTCTCAGCTGCTGTGCGGGTCTTGTTTCGGTAGCAGTCCACTAGAAGACTTTGTTTAGCAACGGATCAACTCCAAGAGCGAGAGCAAGGCGACATAACATGTGTACGGCTGCCGGGAAAGGGGGGGGGAATGGGTGTGTGAAAAGAGGAAGATGACACCTACATGCGCGCTGCAGGAACACGGTCCGGCCAGCAAAGACCCGGCTCTGCAACCAGGCCATGCGATAGCCGAGATCATTGAGCCGCACCTCCTTCCCACGGGTCGCCTTCCGCATCCTCGGGATGGCTACCTGAGAATGCTGGTTCTCGCCGATGGGAACCTTGACAGTCATTGTTCCGGTGCTACGGCTACTACCGCGTCCGGTACCGCGTCCCTCGGTCTCGGTGTTTCCGTCGTCCTCGGCATCGTCAAGGTCGTTTGGGAAGAATTTGCTGCCCGTGGCGCTGGGCGGCGGAGACTGCATCTCCCTAGCGAAGTAGCTCCTCGGATATACGGAACTTCCCTTACGGAAGCTGTCTGGGATTTCCCGCGTGTCGACGCCTTCGAGCGTGACCCTAACGCGCAACCGTGACTGTCGGTCGAGGTCCTCGACGAGGATAAACTTGCGCTTCTTGGCCTCGGGAATGTCGGGGAACAGGTCGTCGGGCTCATCGGCACGCGAGCTTTCCCTCGCGCTGTTGGTCCGACGGGCGCCAATGGCTCTGCCTGCTTGCTGCGGCGAGCCACTCAGGGTGTCGTGGATGGAGGGCATGGCGGATGAGCCATGGGGGACCGTCCCAGGGTACTGGCCGTATCCGGTGAACACCTGGGCAGGCCGTTCCTCGGAACCGGCGTGGGAAGGGGTGGGGCGGTGATGGTCCGAGTCGTCCATATACTCGTCGCCTAGAGAAGAAAGAGAATGCACGTTAGCAATCTGCCCGAGGAGTCAAAACAGTTGCATAACATGGCCGAACCAAGTGCGATGTCTCTCAAAAGGCAACCAAAAGAAATAAGTCAAATCAGGGCGCCAAGGAGGGCAAGCCAACTTGGGCTTAAATACACAGAGGCGCTATCGACACGACCTTATCAGCCGTCCGCAGTGCCTCCCTCGCGAAAAGTCAGGATGTGTGTGAAGATGATGGTGTTGGTATGCGGCAAGCGATGCTGTACCAGTGGCAAATGCAGATGCCAGATAGCAAGGCAACGCCGGCTTTCGCCAGCAGCCAGACGGCTGAAGGACCGAGAACCAGCAAGCAAAACTAACAACAGCAAACGCGACTAGTGTAATGTACATATCTTCTTCTTTGTGCCAAATTTCCTGTATCGCCCAGGACAAAAGCTCGGGCATTGCGGCGTCGCGAGCTGGTCGGTATATAACAGAAGGACGAACAAGATGATCCCAAATTTAACATGGCCGACACGGAGCAAAGAAAAAAAAAACCAAGGGCCGAAAAAAGAGAGGAAGAAGAGACAAGGTAGGCAGGCACAGGTATAACAGTGGTTTGAAAGGTATCGCTGATAATCACAAGGCATTACGCCATCTGGTGAAACATACCGACTTCTTCTCCTCCTCCCTGGGCGTTCCCGTCGGCGTGTGCGTGGTGGTGGTGCATCTGACCCATGCTGCCCATCCCAGGCTTCCCGATGCTTCCCGCGCCACCGGGGCCCATGGCTCCTGGAGCAGGTATCCCTGCCGGACCACTGGGACCGGCCATGTGGCCAGGGTGCGAGGTCTGAACCGCCTTGCGATTGTTCATCTTGGCCATCCGGCGGACGCGTCGACTTCGAAGGCGTGGGTCTTGATTGCTGTTCCGCCAACTGTCGACGGCTCGCTGGATCAACCCTCGCTTCCCTCGGAGCGGGGGGTTCAGCTGGGCCAGGGCCCACCCAACCGTATTGCACTCCGTCTCATATTGCAACCGATTTCCCCTGTACTGATCCTTAGGACAGCAGGCCCGAGGATACACGCAGTTCTCCGTCTTGAATTCGGCCGAGAGCTCGTCCGTGTTCACCGACTCGACATCGCAGCGGATGGTGTACTCCATCTTCACCCGGTCGCGCGAATACTCGAAAGCAATCCATTGAACTCCGTTCTGGTCTTGTCGCACCACCAAGGGTGTCGTGGCAGGAATGGGTCCGGGAGCCGCGTTGGGGTTCGCCCCTGACGCCGACCCGGTTGGAGTTGAAAGCGCCGCTCCGTTCTGTGCGGTCTGAGGCGTTCCGAGGGGGCCGGGCGGTGCAGATCTTTGCAGTTGGGGGGGCATGCTGTGCGACTCGATCTTGGGGTGCCTAGGACTGGCCGTCATTCCCGCCTGTGCATGCTGACTTGCATGTTGGGTCATCTGATGCTGCGGGTTTGCGTGCGATATCATCATGCTAGGCTGTGAAGTCATGGGTTGGTGGGATTGTTGCGGATGCTGCGCATATGGAGACGGTGCTGCCTGCTGGGGGATCGACGAGTACTGCTGCTGAGGCGCGCCGTAGTACATGGACTGTTGATGCATCTGCGATGTCGGCTGCCCATACATGCTTCTTTGCTGGTCATGGCCGGAAGGTGATGCCACTGATGCAGGCGAGTTCGACTGCGGTGTGTGGTATGACATCGGGGGGTACGGTCTTGGTATTGCTGCAGCCATCATATCTGACGTGTCTGTTAGGCGAGTTAGCTCCCCAACACGTCCAGGCCTGTCGGCTCCTGAGCAATCCGGAACGTACCTGCGGACGTGTAGCCGCTTGTCGCGCCCGGCGTGCTGTAGGAACTCGGGTGATAGTAATTCAAGTCCTGCGCGTGCTGTGCACTCGTCGCCTGGGATTGCGGCTGATAGACTTGGTGGGTAGACGAGTAGGCGGAATGTTGCTGCTGCTGTGACGCGGGAGCCTGAGGATGGTGCTGCTGATGAGCAATGCTCGAGGGTCGAGGATGCTGTAGATGAGGAGGCGCTGGACCGTGCTGTTGATGCTGGGAATGTTGCTGCTGCTGCTGCGCCGAGAAAACAGCCATTAGTACGCGTGAGCATGTAATGCAAACCAAATGCGACAGGCGGGACGACGACAATCTACAATCTGTGCAAAAAAGAATAACGAGCGTGGAATAGTTACCCTGACACTGTCAAGGTCTGGGGTGGGTGGGAAGAGCCTGGTAAGTCTGGGCGGCCCTCCCCCTGATTGATAAAAGACGAGGATGTGGTGGGCTAGGCTCAAAAACACAATCCCGGAAACAAGTGGGGTGTGAGAACGGAGGGAACAAGACAAGGCCAACGCCAGTGATACAGGAGTGATTCAATGTAGAGAAAGAGAGGAATGGAAAAAGACAGACGGTGAATATCGAGATCCCCAGCGGGAGCTTATTGAGCAGACGTGAGAGAGCGATTGAGACTGACCGACAAACTTTTGGAGCAGAAACAACTGGATTGGGGCTCGAAATGTAGGGAGCAACAACCAAGACAGTAGAATGAACCGGGGGTCGAAGACTTGAGCTCTGGGGACAATAGCTACCCAAAAAAAAGGAGGGTGATGTGGGGAATGGCAATGGAGATGGGGTGCAGGGCTGTTGATTATGTATGCAGGAGGATGTTTATAATCCCGGGCCACTGCTATTATGTGCTGATTTCATGCCCGCTCAAGTTGGGGAGAGGAGGGCAGCACAGCACCAACAAACGGCGGTCCAGAATGCAGGAATTTTGGGAGATGGAATGAATCAGGGATAAGGGTGGGACTGTGCATGGTAGGAGCAGGGACAAGGGAGCAGCTGCATTTGGATGAAGTGGCCAATGACAGCGAGCTTGGGGATGCATCATCGCCGCCCAATTGAGGGACTGGTGAGCCAGCTCTGCGGCTAGCGTGCTAGCGCAGTGCAGTAGCGAGTAGCAACCGACCTAGTCGGTGGGCCGCGTTGTTTTGGACCGAGACGGGTTCCTCGTTTCTCATCCTTTCCCTGGGGATTCCTGGGCAAGGGTGTCAGGCGGTGTGAGAGGGGGGTCCCTGGTCGACTCCAACATTGGAGCTCCCCTGCTCTCCCGGCGAGTCCCAGAGCATGGCCACCCTCCAATAGCGTCCTTGTGGCGCCGCCCCATGTAACAATGACTGTGACACCGTCCAGATTTCGACAGCAGAGGCACTTGCCTCGCTCGATCGCGGCACCGTCGACACTGGGACATGATCCTCGAAGGATGGGCGAAGCCCGATTGGTGTGCATGACCACCACACGCGCAGGTTCAAACGCGACTGAGTAGCGTAGTCTTGCCCGGCATCGGCGCTTGTGGGTAGAAAAAGAAAATTGGCTGTCCCCACCGACCAACCCCCAAAAGTCACGAAACCCCAAGTAACGGAAGTTTGCTCCCCCGATTTCTTCACCAGGTTTCTAGACTCCCTGGCACACACTGTTGGGCGGTTTTGTCATGGATACCTACAGCGTGGCTAATCGAGATAGCTAGCTCGCAGCCAACAGATTTTATCGCGATAGCTTTAAAACGCTGAGATATTCTGCCGCCTTCCGCCGCGAGCTTGGCTCGTCATGGGCAGGGCAGGGGAAAGGGGGCAGGGGACTGGGCATGGGTGGAGGGTTCATTGTGTGGGAGATGCGCACTAAGCAACCCTACACATCCCCCTGTCGCATGTTACCGCAGCCCCGGCTGCTGGTGAAACAGGAACCCCCCTGCAATTACCGTCGACCCCGACTGGGTCTGCGATCTTCTGGAAACATTGCAGATTGCATGATTATTGTTCTCCCCCGCCTCAAGGTCGCCCAAGCCAGCGTCTGGGACTGCCCGTGACGGACCGGCGACCTCGGGTAGGGGAGGAAAACAAGGAAAGAGTCGGGAGACGAAGCGAACGAAAAAAAAAAAGAGAGGAAAGGAACCCCCAATGACAGAGGAACAGTAACAAACAAAACTGAAACTCACCGAGTCACCAGACTCTTCCTTGTATTGGCTCGGGGCCTGGCGTTGCTGAGCCATTGTCAATCCCATAGATGACTCGTCTCCGTTGTCGATTTCTGTGCTGCCAAACAGTCAGCATATTGCTTATCGCGTGGTCCTTGTCGATGCTCGTTGCATGCATCCCAAGCTGATCAACCGACAAACTTGTTGCCCGGTCCTCAATCCTGTGGAAAATCGTCGCCGGGGTAGGTTGGAGTAAACCGGGTTTTCCCAGCGCCGTCCGTGCGCCAAGTTGCAGGAACAAATGTTTGCGTCAACAGTTGGAGGGAAAGCCATGCAGACTCACCAAAGCTTCTTGCGGTAAGCCGACTGCCAACCAAAGTCTGCCTGGATTGTCTTCGACTGGCGGGATGACCCTTCTTGACAAAACTCGGAATTTTAAAGTTCAGGGTCTGAAATCAAAATTGCGCGCCGTGTTATCCTGAAAAAGGTAATCAGCAATCTCCATGCGTTTGTTTGGCTTGCACGGTGCGAATGTGTTGATGACTTCGAAGGAAGTCCTGAAATGCCCGATTGCCCGCCCAGATTAAAAATAGAAAATATGGTCAATCAATCAATCACACTTGGGGATCCTGACCAGAATTCCAAATTTCATGCAAGCCCACAGGTGGAGACTAGGGTGGAACGTTGCCGAGATTGAAACGGGATCGCTCGCAAGACCCCATGTTTAGTACTGCATAGTAGAGGCCCCGCCAAGAGTGGGGCACAGGAGATACGTTGTACCTCCTGAACAGAATTTCAATCGCCTCGCATCGCCGGTCGAAAAAAGAAATATCAAGGAAACGGGAAACTGATGACCGAGATAGAGAGAAAGTAAAACAGACGTAAGGTGGAGATAAGGGAAAGTTATAAAATAAAAACTAGTTGGGGAGATGAGAGATTCACGTACCCTCAGAGAGTTTAGGTTTGCCCGATCAGAGATCGCAGGCCAGTTAGAGTCCCAAGGATAGAGAGAAACTGTTTCCCGCAGGTCAGCTACCTGGAAATTTCCCGGGGGAGTGGGTAAGCAAGAGTAATGGAACAAGGTGCGTACCAACGACGTTATGGCAGAATAAGGTATTCGTTATGATACTTGAACTAAGCAGGGTCTGGTCAGTAGACGTCTCCCACAGAATTAATTCCGCCTTGTATCTCGACTTCTGTCATACAAGGTTTCCCTCAAAATTCGCCACCGCTTGGAGATGCAGCCGCCTGACATGGGGATGCATATGCTGGTGGAGCGAAATGGCGACTTGCCAGGGGGGTTATGCGCTGCAAACAACTCAGACATGCAGGGCCCAATGCGACAACCCACCAAAACCCTGTCTAAGCCATGCACGTCGCACGAGGAAAACAGTGCTTGGGTTGGGACGCTCGAGGACAATATCGAGTTTAAGTCGCATCGTCGAGGCTGATAACTGTTTGTCAAGGGATCTAGAACAAGCGCACTAACGCAAAGAGCCGCCCTTCGTGATGCACAGCGGGACAAAGCCGCATCTGGATCCATTCGCACCGACCGAAAGACGGACCAGACAGCAAGCCAGAGGGGAGAATTAATTGAATTTGCTTACTTCGCTCCCTCAGTCCTGCTTTCGACTTTTGCATTGGTATTGGCCTCGAGGTCGTCCAAGGTTCTCTCCAAGTCGTAAACCGTTGCCTGCAAATTCCAGTCTAGTCAGCAAAGGCTTGGAGTAACACATCCTGTTTATCAGGCCCGTCGAATGTCTGTCTCCTTGGTCGCTCAGCTGGTGCAGGGTTCTCATCGGGTGCTCTAGGCGCCTGTGTGCAGTGGGCATAGACAATAACCGAGATAACAGCGCATCATGAGCACTGCGCATTGTGCGCAGGTTGGCGACGTATGTGATCATTGCCGTGTGCGATGACCAGGCGGAGAGCGGACGGGCAAGTGGCGGGATAAGACTTACCAGCGCGCGCGATTCGGCGTCCAGATCGAAAGCTAGCTTACCGCTTGCTAGCAGGACAAGACCACGAGGTAAGTATTTAGGCAATCCCGAGTGTAGCGGTCGCGACGATCGAGTGCGGCGCGGTTCGGGGCGGTGAAGAGATGATATCGCGTTATGCCGTTATTCGGTAGGTTTCCTCAAGTTGCAGACAAGGGGGAAATCTCAGGTCGAGGATGCTTGGCGATTCGGAGGTAGGGATGGTAGCTGTTGTGGCGAAGATTCTGAAGTGACTGTACTAGCTTTGGTACAGACGTCAGCTAGGTACTGGGACGTTAACAACCATCGAGATGACAGCGTCAATGTCAAAGCCCCAGAATGTGAGGTGGACTTCGGTCGAGTGTGCTCAAGCAAGGTGAAAGCAAAACACGACGTGGGTTCAGGGTCCGACACGATTGAGCCGGTTATGACGCGTGCCGCGCGACTTTTGCTTCAAGTCCATGCAATAGCGCCACAGGGTGATAGGCAGTGTGAAATACTGCAATGAAAGAAGAGCGACCTACTAACGAATCGCATCTAGATCTAGGTAGTGTTCTGATTTTCGATGAATGGAGAGGTTTGCTGCCGACTTGGATATGTAACGTGGAGAAGATAGCGCGGAGGGGATGGAGACTCGTGCGGTTCTTTTTGCGCGCGCCAGGTGGTGCGGCTCAGTGGCGATACGCGTTCCTTCTTGGGTGATAAAAGATGGTCGCTGGCGCGGAATGGTGGTATGCGATTGGCTGCGTTATACTTTGCCTTCGAGATCGACTCGGAATAAGGGCAAAGATGGGTTGCAGCTTGGGAGGTATCGATGTCTGCAAACTAAGGGAAATTTCAGATGTTGCTGTCCTCGAAGGTAAAAATTTCCACCGTTCTCAATGGCAAATGCACCCAATGACGGCACGTGCAAGGCCCCCAGGCAGGAAGCTATCTAGGTACCTAGAGGTACCTGAAATAATGGAGGTCGGGGGGGATGGAAGCTAAGGTACTGTGTACAGGTACCTTCACTACCAGTCGCGACAAGATGGCAGCCTGGGTGGGTTAGTAGTGCACGGGCAAAAGAAAAAGAAGAGGGAAAGGACGGGAGCTGGATAAAAATGTAAACCGAGAAGGTACAGTAAATAACTACCTACCTACCTAAGGTAGGCACCTGGATTAAGGCAACTGATTTCGGATCTGTACGATGAAGGCGACAGCCCAGCTTCTGCAACTGCAAGTAGCGCAAGGGGTTGATTAGAAAGTCCAGTAGATCAGATCGCAGTCAATTGCTCTCATCAGAATCCGAGCTGAAGCTTACCTAGTAGATACGGGTGGACGAGCTGCAGTGGCTGAATCGGTGGCAGCAAGGATGTCAGGGCTGGACAAGGATTGTCTTGTCTGCCAACCGCCGTTAGGCCGTTGGAGTCTCCCAAGGTTGGAGAAACAGGCACCCTTGCAGGGGGGGTTCCAGTGTTGTGGGCGGCTTTGCAAGCCCGGTGTCTTGGACCTCAACCCTGGTCGTCTGCTGGGATCCGACGGGAAGGGGGAAGGGAACGACGTTTAAAGAAAAAATCGGGGAGACAGGGAGGTCGTCTTGGTGTGCACACTGGCAGGGGTGTGTGTTCTTCTTTAGCGCACCAAAGATGGTGACACGTTTGACAGACAAGACATGGAACCTATGAACCTTGAGATTGGCACTTTCCAGGTTGGAGGAAATGGGAAGTAAGGTAGAGCAGGAACGATGGCGGCTGGGGGGGGGGGAGGATAAAGTGTTCCTTTTAACCAAGTGCCCGCCTGCCTCCCCCGCAACTCGATGATCCCACGGCAAGACTAGGGAGGCAGGTTCTTCCCCATTTACCAGGGCGTCTCCTCTCTTTCCTTCCTTCTCGACCGTTCACTGGAAAGAAGAGGCCAGACGTTACCGAAACGCCAGCCATGATGGATACCTAGGTACTGGGCTCGCCTCCATTTCATTTACAGCATGGACGAGGAGTAGGTACAGCCAAAGCAAGAACAAAACAAGAACAAAACAAATCCAGCAAACGTTTGAACCATTCATATCCACCATTTGGAACCGTGGACACACAGACCGAGAATCTTCACCACACATCCCCCTGCTCCCACCCACTTCGTTCATCCACTCCACCAATGCGGGATGCGGGAGCTGGGGACCGGGGACTGGGAAGCCATCCGAATAGTGTACTACGCAGTTTTGGGGTCCTCAATTGGCAACATGTACGTACTATGTAGGATGCTTCGGATGTGCCGCATGCATCGAAGAATCGAAGAAGCTGCTGGCTTCTGCACGTCTTGCATTGGCTTCCATCCACTCTACCACATTACCTACTACAATTTGCAGAGTCTGTCCATCCAAGGTAAACTTCTGAGATGGAAGCTCAACAGTTCGAGCCCACACCACACACGGGTCAGGCGGCTGCTACGCCAATAGCATCACCGTCCATAGTACTATGTGCATTGCGCACATTGCAAGCAGCACTTAACATGCGTGGGTAGGGAGGTCGGGGGAGCCTGGCTTGTTCAGCCGGCAATCCTGTGTTTCGAATCCATCTTCAAGCTCGGTCACGACTCACGAACGGTGCTGTACAGAAGAGGAACGCGAGGTGACATTGACCCGCACTCTGCATCTCCTTGGAACAGCAAAGCATGAACTGGGCGATCAGCCTGCTATTTCCAGCTGCGGGCTTGCCGCTCACTCTTTTGGGGCTGGAACTCAGTGTTTCACAACGGAAGCCGGGTGTGCAGCTGCATGGCTGCATTTGACCCTTGAACGGTAGATCTGAGTTTGTATTCCCCAAAAGCAGACCCCTCCAGGCTCCAGCCAGCTCAAGCGACATGCACCCTGGCTGGCCACAGTGCTTGGCAGAACCAAGGGATGGCACCGAACTTCAATCAACATCAATCGTTTCATCTAAAACACATGGGCGGGTTGATATTGACAGTAGCATTGCCGCACCGTCGGCAGCTACGCTACAAGGGACCGAATTTAACGCGACGGTACCTTGCCTTACCGAATTATCTCGAGAGCTGTCACCTTGCACGAGGGACGGGGGATGCCCCTGCCGACATGGAAGCGAAAAACCCAGTCATCAAATTTTGGCGGCCATCCTTGTCGGTTGTCACCTTCCTGGCCCTGCACCCTCCTGGCAACAAACTAACTCTGTCCCAGTTGCTTGGAGATTTTCCCCTCTGTTTCTGTTCCAGGCATGCTCAAGGAGCCCCAGCAAATATCTAACACAACAGCGGATCACTGCACATGGATGCCACCCTTGCGCCCTCTCAAGGATCTGGACGTCTTCTCAGCACACCGTTGGATTCCCGCGGAACCACCCTTATATAAGTTAGGTGTGCAGGAGATACCTAGGTATCACGGGTTTCGCAGCCAGGAAAGGAGAGAGCGCCGAGCAGTTCTGCCACAAACCGCCCCAGTCACTGGTCCTCGTCAGCACTGCATGAGGAATGGAAATGGACTTTCCGAAATAACGAGGTACCAAGTTACTTCACCACTGCGCATGTTGCTCCAATCGCCCAATGGTGAACTCCAGGGGACTCACCTCAGTACTTTGCACGACAGGGAACATATAGTACTGGGCACCTACCTGGGGTATCTAAAGGTACCTGCTGGTTGACTGCTGACGTATATTGATTCATCAGTACTTGGCACGTAAAAACGTGGGCGTAATCCCTTGGCCTGAGGTACCTGGTACTCTTCCGGCGACCAAATCGGTAAGTACCTAACGCTTTTCGTTCGCCTGCGCGAAGTCCATGATTTCGGAATTTCCATCCACCCCCTTGGGACCCCACTAGTTAAAAGAGCTCCACTGTTGCTTCAGGGATGTCGGTGTGGCCGATGTACCATGGTACACCACATAGAAACGCGGGAGTTCACCGATCGCGACTGGGTTGCCCCTTCAATTTCTACACGTGTAATTATCCTGGTGTGTCCCATTCTTTTACGGAATCAGATCCTCGCCTTGGCCAATTTGCTCCAGGCTGAACCATCCCTATCCGGGGAGAAGCTCGCTCTATCTGGGTACTTAGGTACCAGGTACGAGTGGTGGTGGTTCCATGCAAGTCCCTTCCAGTTCAATCCTTCCAAACCAACTTGCACCAGTCCCAGCCGGCCGCGGGTCGACCCTCGGCAATTGTACTCCTCCAATGTCTCCATAATTGGTATTGACTACCAAGGTAGGTACTTTTACGTAGTAAGGACGCGTACCTACCTAGGTACCTGGTTACTTCCTATTTAGTCACCAAGACCCGGTGGGGGTTCATCCATGTTGGCTGCCCAGATCTAAAGGGGCATCAGCATCCTAGGGGATGGTATGTACATACATGTACATGTACCTCCAAATGGATCGCGAAACCGGGCACCTAGCCGGGGTTCGCGTTGGTGGGACTTTGGGCGAAAGCATGAAGTTTGGGAAACAAAAACATCAGTGCGCGAGAGTCTGGGTCGCGCGGTAAGCAGGAGGTTACCTTCAAAATGACATGATTCCGGTTAAAATTATTTCGAGTAATGACGGAAACGCGAAGAGCATTCGGGGATATTATCATGGATGACATTCGCTGTTCATTCGCCAGTCAAATAATAATGCTACAACATAATGGCTGGGTATACGTACTACCTCTCCCCAACGCCCCACCCTGAAAGAGCAATTCCGGGAACAAGCGCAACCTGAGCAGTTGACTCCCCCTGTTCCAATACCCAATGGCCCAATTGTTGTTGTTGCAACGGCCATCGGTTCTTGCATCACGACAAGCCTCTCCTTTCTCCTCCCCTCAGGGGATTGTCGAATATTATAATGCGTGCAAGAAAGGAAAATAACCTTCATTCTGCTTCACCAAGTGGCTCTGTTTGCAGGGTTAGGGGAGCCCTTGCGGATCCCATCCAGCCTTATGGAGGAGCCAGGTTTAGCAGACCCAGGCCATGTCCCCCGCGAAGCGTAAGGGTATATAGTGTACCTTAAGGTAGGTATGTATGTATGTATTTACAGTACGCATGTACGCTACTGTGGTATCTGCTGCAGACCAAAGGGGGCGTGGACAAAGATCTCAAAAGGGACCCCGCTGCACCAATGCTCTTCCTTTATCTTTGCTGCCGGGTACCCATGCCGGCGACATATCAGCAGGGATCCCCACAACACGCTTCATAATTGAAATTTCTCCTGCCTCTTTGGGATGTATTCAGGATTTCAGGGGAATATGAATTGAGGATGTGATGAGCTGAAGAAAGCCAAGGCTCAGGAGTCGACATCCCGATTTCACACAATCTGCACCTTGCGAAGCAAGAAAAAGCAACGGCTTCGACTCGCATGCCACTTTCTTGACCTCTTCGGCCGTTTCATACATGTGGGTGGTTTGTCTCCAACTCACAGGACTTCTCCGTCTCCCGCATGACGCTATTTTAGTTATTTATCTGCCTCTTCAACTCCCAACCTCCCATCCCCGAAGCAGATTATGTTTCCGGGAGGTGGATTCGCGGGTTGCTTCGTCTCTCCCCGGATTTCTTAGCCCGAGAGTCCGGCCACTGGCCACGGAGAACGGACAACGGCTCCGGGGCAAACCCTCCCCCCTCCCCCTCGCCAAAATGCGGCTCATGGCCCTTCTACCACGCCCACCAATAACACCCTCTGTTTGGCGAGGCGAGGCAATGCTAACCGAGTGATAACTCCGGGTGCTTCTCTGTAACTCACCGCTCGGCTTCCCGAAAGAATGGCATCAGATTCGGCCTCTTCCCCGACCCACGTCGTCTCTAAAGTGAGACAAACATGATTAGGCCAGTCTCACATCGCAGCTAGTCCACAAAAAGACGGTGTCTCTGGCGGCTCGGGCGGGTGTTTATGTCTCATGTCTCGATCCCTCCCTCCGCTATTTAAACCTCAGTCCTCAGACACGTCCAGCTTCGGGATGTTCAACTAGTAGGATTCTGAGCATGTGGGAGAGGGTATGTTCCCAACATGAGGTGGTTGGCGTCGCACAGCTCACATAGGTCTTCTCGATTGTGCCGTTTTTCAGATCCTTACCGCCAGATCTATCTCATATCTCGCTAGGTCAGGTTTGCACCCGGGCAATCAGGTGGACGGTCAGCTGGCTTGGGTATCCGCAGCAACCGCAGGAGGCGTTGAGCCGAGTTGTGACGCCACAAGTTGACCTGTCACTATGTGACAATCTCTGGTACTTGATACAGCAGAAACTCTCTTTGCCTTCCTGATAACTGACGAGGCCCTCTGTGTGTGTTTGCTAGGGAGACTGTTCTGACGCGATGCTGAGCGAAATCTAGTTGACAACATGGCAGTAAGCTATGCCCCATTATCGGTCACGATGACCCATTGTGATCACCCAATGTTCGAATGATCCCGTTGGATGCCGTGACAGCAGAGTAAGGCCCCAACACCTCGCATTTTGCTAGATCTCCTTGGTAGCACTGCCTGTTAAGTCAAGTTACGGTCCTGTATCCTAGGTAGCTCCCTGTGGTGGAGGGACGTCTTCTCAGGTCGAGGTCTTGGGAGTGCTCAGCCTAAGGATGGAATCCAAAAACTTGAAGCAGAAGAGATGGGTAAGAACCTACAACCAATCAGGATAGCTATTCGATCAGTCTGCCCAGAGCCCTCTCACCAACCTCGTCAACAAATCAACTCCACAACCCAGATGTGCCCTGATAGATAGTCATAGATAGCTTCTTACTTACCAGTCAGCAGGTTCTAATGTCAGGGCCTTCCACTTGAGCAGCCAAGTCAAGTCCCCTCACGCCAGATAGGGTTCACCCAGCAGTAGCATAGCATTGACCGACATCTGAGATCATCGTGCGGCAGCAGACCTCACGCCAGATAAGGTTTACTAGCAGTAGCCAGCATTAACTAACATCTGAGATGATCGTGCAGCAGCAGACCTGCAGATTAGCCTCCGCAACACTATCCGGCCTGGCAGGTTGAATTGCCTTTGGGAAATAGATATCTGCAAGTACTCCTGCAGGGGATGGAAGCTTGGAAGCTTCCATGCAGAGAGTAAGAGCTTGGATGCCGTATCGAAAGTCAATCAGGACTTCGGCTAGGCTTTGAGGTTTGGTCACCTCTGTTCCTCGCCAGCCGTCCAGCGTAATGGAGCTCTCTGGGGGGGATGAAGTGGGAGTTCCAAGGTGCTATCATTGAAGCTCGTCCATGAGGGTCTCAACGTAGGAACCGAAAGGTAACAAACAAGTGGTTGAGTGAGGCAAGACATTCTCGTGGCGCGTTTGTGAGATCCGAAACTTCCACTTGGATGCCCATCACACGATGGCCACGCGGAAATCTAGGCAGAAATGTGTGGCAAAGTGAGGAAAAAGCTGACGCCAGCCCCGAACCCCTTTTGATTTTCCTCTACCTGACTGTCCCCTATACATCCGCACTGCCCCTCTCCCCAAAAAGATCATCTAGCACGCTGAATTTAACCCGCTGAAAGATTCCAAAACCAAGTATATAGCAAAGTAAAGCACGCAAAGGACGAAAGCATCAAATGTAGCACATATATCTTGGTACCCATCACGTCATGACCTCAAAATCACCCCAGCCCGAGTTCATTCGGTACTAGTCCTCTCTTTCCATGGTAACTCCTGCCGCGGTGTTTCCAACAGTGCTAGCAACGGCAACCATGACCACGGCGTCCGACAGCTATCGGGGGTGAGGTTTGGGCTCCTAGTCATGCTTATTATCGTATTATCGTCTCAGAGGTGCCTGTGCCTATCCCGGTCACGGCCACGGCCGTTGTCGCGTTCTCGTTCTCGTTCTCGTTCCCGGTCCCGGTCCCGGTCCCGGTCCCGGGTTTTCCGGTCGTCGTCCTGCTCATCATCTCGTTCTCGGCGATGGCGATGTCTTCGTCGCCGGTCGTCATCTTCCTCTCGCTCTTGTCCGTACTCGTAATCTCTCACTTCTTTTTCATACTCTCTCCGTCGCCGTTCTGCAGTGGGCTGTCAGTAATTCTCATTCATTCGAGACTCATACTTGACGAGATGATGATGAGGAAGTGTCGGGTTGGCTGTGTAGGGAGGCCCGGCGATGTGACAGAAGAGTGAGGGAAGTTTAGGAGGAAGGACGTGAAATAAAGTGAGTCAAATCTGGACTGGGTGTGGAAGTCAAGTTTTGAGACCAGTAATGAAAGTGAAGTGATCCAAGGAACAACGAGGACCATGATGGATAGTGATGACGAAGAGGGGGAAAGGGCCCAATGCAAAATTGAGAAGCGAGGAAACGCTACAAACATACCTCTCAGCTGTGCCGTAGCAGCAGCATACGCCTGGATCTCCTCCTTACTCAGGACACGTAGGACTATGACGAAGTCATCCCGGACTTCGAACCTCTCCTTGCCAATAGTGAGGGCCTCGGGGTTGACGAGCTGTCGGTTGATCTTGGTCCACCGTGCGCCTGATGGAACATCCGCCTTCGTCTTGTCGTCCTTGTGGGGCGCAACGCCTTCGCGGACAGGGTTTGGCTCTTCGGGGAATTTGGAGCTCGGCTGCTTGAGAATGCCCTTTATGGGCTTCCTGTCATCCTTCTCTCGTGGCGGCGAGACAACGCGAACCTGTCTCTCCTCGTGAGGTGGCGGGACAAGCTCACGACCTCTTGCATCATCCCCCGTAGCAACGAGCTGCGTTTCACTGCTGGTAGACTCTCGCTTGTCAGCAGCCGATGAGGAGCTAGGTGACGGCTCCCTGATTGTTGGCTTTTCGGGCCCCTTCTCCTTATCTTCGCTCGCGGCCAATTGAGCCTTCAAGGCCATTATGCCGGCAGCATCATTTGGGTTGAATGCGGAAGACGTGCGTCTCCGGCGGGTTCGGCGTCTGCCCTTTGCTTCATCTTCGGAGGCAGACTGATCGCGGCTGGAATGCTCAACCGTCTCTCCGTTAAGCTTTGCTTCCGCTTGACGCCGATCTCGATCCCGATCCCGATCTCGGTCCCGAGCCTCGGTCGCAGACTCCGCTGGCCGCTCTCTCCTCGGGTACTCCCGATCTCGTGATGTCTCCACGGGTTGCAAGTCGTCGGGAATCAGCCGTTGTTTGTCAACTGGTTCTCTTTCACTTGGCCTATGCCGATCTCCGCCTCGAGCGTCTGAATCCTCAGAATCTCGGCGGCGGTCGTCATCGCCATCCTTGCGGCGTTTCGTCGGCGATCTGTCGTCCTTATCGTTCTTTCCATCCTTGTCTTTCATTATAGTCCCGATGCCAATACTTGCTGCGGCGAGCTCGAGTCCCGTCGTTACCTTGTCCTTGATTTTGTCCGTCTTGCTTTCGCGGTCTTCGTCGTCATGCACAGGGTCCTCCCTCGGGTCCTTTCGATGGCGGGCTCCGAGGTCGTCGTGGGCAGTCCTGTGATCTCGGTGGTCGTGTTCTCTCCGCTCCTCCCTTGGTTTGGCGGGTTGCCAGTCTTCGTCGGATCTTCTCTTGGGCTCGCGGTCGTCAAATTCCCTCCGAGACTCTCGTCGTTCCCGCCGCTCATCGCGGTACTTGGGATCTAAGTCTCGGCGGTAGTCGTCCTGGTCTCTCATGTCTGTGCGGATGCCAAATCCACGAGTCTTGACACTGTCGTCCAGGAAATGTTCTCGCTCGCGCTCACGGAGGTCTCGAGGGAGCAATGGGTCCTCGCGGCCACGGTAGAGGGGGTCGTCGTGGTGCGACCACCCCTGTCCTTCTTGGTATAGTGACACGGGGCGGGTACGAGAAGCTCCCCGCCGTTCGGACGTGGGACTGCCTGGAACAAGGTGGTGGCCGGAGCGACGGGCGGGGTCTGGTGCAAGTGGCACAGGTGGAGGTACAGGCATGCGAATCTGTGGACCGTCGTAGATGCCGGCCGCAGCGCTTCGGTTTACCTTGTCCAGTCCGCGAGTTGTGGGCGGGGGCCCACGCTGGCGCCTGTCATTCTGCTCATACGGGCGGCCGATGTCGGTCGTCACGCTGACGCTTGGTCGATAGTAATTACGATCGAAGCTCTCCCGGCGGGTCCGGTGTGGCCTGCTGGTATCGAGGTCATACCGGGCCAAGTCGCTTGGCTTCGTATATTCGTACCCTTCGTCACCGTAGTCGATGGCTGTCGTGTGGCGGGGGGGCAGATGGTGATACAGCGAGGTGGGCCGAGGCGGGCGGTACTCGGCGGGTCTCGAAGCATGGAGTCTCTCGTCGCCAGTCCTCTCTCTCAGCCGGGCATACTCGTCATTATCGAGTGCGGCACTAAATGGGGCGCGGGTACTGCTACGCGAACGTTGTACGGAAGATGCTGGCTGGGTCAAGTACGGGCCTTCTTCACTGGAGCGGTAGGGATCGCGCGAGGGGCTCTCGGGCCTTAGACTGGCAAGGGCATGAGTACCGGGGGGCACATGTGTTGTAGTGACAATGATGGGCGGGCGCTTGGAGGAGGAATCGATGGTCGAGGAACGGTGGACGCGGCCGCTGTCTCTCGCGCCGGTGGTTCCTTGGGGGTCTCGGTCTTTCCGGACGGCATAGGTGGTGGTTGTTATTGGCACGGGGTTGCTAGTGCGATAGTCGCCGGCTGCTCGAGATATGGACGAGTCATGGCGCGAAGTTGGCATGACGTGGACATCTCCATTGTAGGGAGTGTAGTTCATGCCAACAGGCAGGGAGGATCGCGCGGGGTTGTAGAGAACGGGAGAGCGCCGCCCGGACGGTGCAGCATATCGATACCTAGTAGGATCCGCCATGGTGGATGTGGTGGATGTGGACGAGAGCCTGCTTCAATGGTTTGCAACGGTTGGAGTTCCTGGCTTCAACCGGCGCAGCAGTGGCAGGCAGGAGGAGTGGCAGGCAGGATTGGGGACGGGATTACTTAGTATGGGCAGCGGGCGGAGCGGGAGGGAAGACGGGTGGGGTAGGCGTGGCTTGTCGGGTCAAGAGTACTCCGTATGTGCAGTCAATCAGGAATCAGTGGCGTCGCTTGTTGTGTCACAGTGGCAGAGCGATAATATTCATTACCAGCTTGCCCTGATTGGCTGGAGACGGCACTTAATTCCTTCGTGCCTTTGCTATTGGTGACTCACTCCTAGTAAGTGTCGGGCACTCTCAACCCAAAGCCTCGCGCTAGAGTCGACTGTACCCCGCCAACTATGGATACCTCTCACGTGGGGCAGACCTCTAGTCCCTGCTGATAGGTTTGTTCTTCTTGCCTTGTCCTCTTGCCTATTGTTTTGTGGACATCGCGGAAGAAGATGGGAGAAAGTCAAGTGAACTAGAAGCAAGTCAAGTGAAGTGGAAGGAAGGGAAAGTGAAGCAGCCAACAAGAATAAGCCACGTGATCCCCAATTCAGGGCTATAAAAAGGCCGCCGGTTGCACGCAACAACACGGCAACAACGCGTGGCAGAGCCGCAACACCAAAAAGCTCAGATCGCCAACCCCAACAGGATCTAACTAGCAAAGTCTCGCCAGCAAGCATTCACCATAAACAAAGATCCTTCTCTTGCGTCAACCAAAATGCCTTTCTCCTTCATCCCTCCGTTTCGGCCCTTGCGCTACCCTTCAATCCTCATAATTCAATCCCAGAAAATTGAAGAAATCATGGCCGCGGCTGTTTGTCAAGGTACAGTACATTGTATATTTCCCTCTTGTTTTGCCATGATGGCTTTGCTGATGAAAAAACCCTTCGCTGCACCAGACTTTCTGAATGGACCCCGCCAGGATGCCGGCCTGGCACATACGCTCTAGGGCAGCGTTGTTCCTGCTGGACCTGGAGAGGTTGTTATCCAGACGAATTTTGTCAATATGCGAGTCAATGTCACGGATCCTGAGATGGTCACAGCCGCCACCAATCTCCTAGACACTGCCATGACAGTCAATCTAGCTACCCTGAGATCGGGCCTGGTCTATCGCCACATTCTCCTCGGCGGTCTCCTCGGCGGCGGCCTGATTCTCCTTGGCGGCGGCCTGATTCTCTGGTTCACCGGCGGCCGTGAGCTGCTGCAAAGGCTTGCCGCGCGTAGGGAATAATCAATGCATCTTGTACGTAATTATCTTATCAACCTTCCTTGCAATGTCCTAACGCAACGCGTCTAACACATCTTATCTTGGTAGAGGAAGACTGTCACCAGGACTATCGATGGTACAAGGATTGCAGCAACCTAGAGAGAACGGAATAGGCATGCAGTCTAGGACTGGACAGATCGAAATGGGATACTGTGGTTAGACTGGACGTTGATGAAATGGGATATTTTTGTGGTTGGACTAGGCGCTGAAACAAGAGCAGCTCCCCAATGTAACTAATCCCAGGTTTCAACTGCCTGAAAATCAAAGCAAGGCTTCCTTTTCCACTGTTTGTCGCAACATCTAATCTGCAGGAATTGCTATTTGCAGCGATTTATATGCTTGCAGAGACACTTTTCGTCGGAGAAAAACGAAGAAAAAAATAAAAGAAAAACGCAGCACATACCAGGGTATCAACCCACGACGCAGCAGGTAGAGGTTGTCCAATGGGGATAGCACCGCGACATATCAGATTTCGGCCTTGATTTCATCGTCATCTTCTCCTTCTTCTCAGGTACTATACATGCAGATAATAAATACACTGCGAAAGGAGAGCATCGTCCATAGCTTGTGCCTCCAGACCAACCCAGAGCGTAGCCTTGGTCGCCCCCAAAGACCCAGGCCCAGACCCAGACCCAAACTCAAGCGTCAGCGTCTTCGTCTGCCGAGCCACTGTCGGCAGCGAAGCAGCCTTAAGCAGCCGCGCAGCAAGCTCATTATACCTTGGCTGGGCCTCGAATCCCCTCGAATCCCCTCGAGCAGATCAACAAGATACTTCTCTAGTACCACACTATACCTATAATACCGCACTGCCTTATCTAGATACGCCTCGATAACATCCTTGGCCTACTGCGGGTTGTTCCTTGGTGTTATCCTGGCTGCAGCCTGACCTAAATCCTTGCGTCGACCATGCCGGCTAGGAGCACGATTTTGGGGTGCGTGACGGTGTTGATGTGCCGCACCTTGCCGAGCAGGCGGCGCGTGTCGAGCTCTAAGGTTGCGGAGACGCTTGGAGGCTTTGTAGGACTGGAAGGCTGCGTAGACGGCCTTGAAGGGGGTGGCGGTGGGGGAGGGAGTTGTTGGTGGTGGTATCGGAATGGCAATCCTAGCTGGTGGAGGAGGAGGATGGCGACGATGGGGTTATTAAGCAGGTGTTGGACTACAGCCATGTCCACTTCTATCCCCCGCCACGAGTACTATTTCTGCCAAATATGTTCAGTCTGCCCCGTTGACCAGGCTGCTATATCAGCCTCAGCCCTGGCATCAGCATCAGCATCAGCAAAATTGCCAGCCCCATCGTCACTACCCCTATCATCATGCATTGGCAGAGGCAGATTAATCTTAAGCACTCTCTCCTTAACCCCTTCCACAATCCCTACCAACCCCTCTGCCTGCCTTCCCAACCGCCCAACACACCAAACAACACCGAGCTGCCTCCCTCCGGCCTCCTTGCCCGCGCAATACGCTCCTGTTCCTTCTGGATTGTATCCTTCAACTCAAACAAGCTCTCTATACCTGGCGACATTGGCTTCTTACCCGCGTCACTATCGTCGTCGTGCTCCTGGATACACCACACGACATTGTCCCTCCCCAGTCTGTGCCGACACTCGGTTGGGACGACGGGTGGGCTGAGGGTATTGCGGGTGAGGGAGAAGATGCGGAGGCCTAGCTTGTGGATGACTTTGTGCCAGCAATCGCTCTCTGTGTTTAGTTCTCCTCGGGCCGATGAAGCTCCATTCCCAGACGCAAACTTTTCGTCGGCTCCTCTAGAGAGCGTCACACGCGTGCAGGTCTTTTCCAACGAGACTGGTCATTGTAGATCTCTTTTGTTTGCGTACGAATACGGGGCCCGTCGTGCAGTGAGTGGGTAGTTGTCGACTCGGGTTCGACCCCGTCACGGTGTGCACGAAGCCTCTGCGCCTCTGTTTTCGCACAGCCAACTTTCGACAGGGGACGAGGGTAGAGCTTCAGGCAGTCCAAGTGGAATGCAGCGGCAGCGAGTCGAGGCATAGTCACTGTGAAGACAGTTGGACCTACATACCTCTTTTCAGAGAGGACATAGGACTAAAGACTGATTCCCCTCTCCGAGGCCGAATACCCACCACCATTCCATCATATGGGAAGCTATTTCGTGGTCCCCTTGCCCTTCATATCTAATGTTCAGGCGTAGTACTGTGTGCCTGACTGGCACCTCTATGTACTCACGGAGGGCCCATCTGCCTGATTTGACGGCGTATCGCCACTCACTCTTGGAAAAAAGCGTTGCCCAGAATGCGAGCACCCCTTGAATCCGACGATGAACGTCCTAATAGCCACAAAATAAATAAAAGGAAATGCAACCAAGATTCGGGGTATAGTTATGTACACGCTTGAGAGAAGGTCTTCCCACCTTGTCACTGCCGTTATACTTCTGCCAAGACTTGGGAAACTGGTTGATATTCACGAAAAGTGCTGGGGAGGTGAGAGCACTGATCATCAACCTTCAAACTACCCTCTCAGGTGATGCAACATTGCACTGCAGCTAAAAATATCGCCTCGCTCTAGATAGTCAACTCAGCAATATGCTAATGAAACGAAATGGGAAAACGGGGAAAGAGAAGGGGGAAAAGTAGAAGGGGGAAAGTAAAAAGGGGGGAAATAAAAAGGGGGGAAGAAAAAGGGGAGAGGAGAAAGACTAGCCCGGATACGTGTGTGGCACTACACAAACTACCTACACTACGTAGGGAGTGTACGGCTAACACTTGTTGATTCGCAATACCATGGCAATGACATCAGTGTTGATAGCAGCGCATCCAATATAAATTCACCACTAAAAGGGGTTTCGCCTATCAACTAACTTGTCCCCGTCCCGTGCGTTCGTCACTCCTTGCCACCGGTCGGGATCTTGAACAGCACTGCTCGGCCTTGGGGTCCCTGACCAACGGGCTTGTCCACGCGGAAGTAGCCGATACGCTCTAGCTGGAGGAAGTCATTTTCCTTCAAGCCGGCTAGGTTGGCATCGCAAAGTGCTTCCGCCATCGAGGACGTGACTGGAGCTAGGAAATCGTCCAGCTCATCATCCTTCTCCAGCGTGTCCTTGGTGAGAAGGTGGCTGAACTCCCACAACTCGGCCTCGACGAGCTTGCTTCCCTCCACCGCCAGCCAGGTGACCTTCTTCTCTGTGGTCTTGAAGTCCCCTTCCAGGTGCAGCTCTAGTTGGGCATCCGTGACAGCACTTTCCGATTTGTTCAGCTGCCTCACAATTGCATTTCCCCAGCCCATCAGAGTAATCTCTTCGTCAGGCTTGAATGTTGCTACATCCGCCTGATTAAGATAGACCTTGTTCCCAAACGTCACGCTCTTGGTACCAAGCGCGGCGTTCTTGACGTGTTTGGGCTTCTCCTCGCTGTACGGTGTCTCCGGCCCGCCGGCGATCGTGGCCGCAACGATGTCCTTCTTATAGATGGCCACGTGTCGCGGAACGACAGGATCTAGCATCTTCTTGTTTACCGCCCAGAGGGTTGTCCAGTCCATGGTGACGACATTGCGGCTTGGCCCTTGCTTGAGCATGAAGTCGTGGAGAGCAGCGGGAGTTAAGCCACGACGCAGAATTCCGCGGATCGTTGGCATGCGGGGGTCATCCCACCCGTCTACCCTCTTCGTATCCACGACCTTTGTAAGCTTCCGTTTCGACAAGAACGTCCTGATGAAATTAAGACGCGCATACTCCCAAAGGTTGACCTTGCGGAGATTTAGCGCCTCGATAAACCAGTGGTATTGCTCGATCCGGTCGGCGTATTCCGTCGTGCGCAGGGCATGGGTAACGCCTTCTATGCTGTCGACAAGCGGGCACGCAAAGTCGTATGTCGGATAGATTTGCCACGTCCAACCAGTGCGGTGGTGAGGTTGGGGTTCCTTGTCTCCGAAGTTGGGGAATCGATACATGACAGGGTCTCTCATAGCGCCGTTGTTCGAATCGAAGGTGATACGAGCTCTGATGCAGTGTTTTCTGCCAAATTCTGTCCCTTCCTTCATCTCCTTGAAAGCGGCGAGACTTTCTTCGGGAGGGCGGTCCCGCCGGCTGCTCGGGCGACGGTTTTTGCGGTCTTCCTTCTGCACCTCAGGATCGGTGTCATCGGCGTAGGCCTTGCCCTCGCGTATCATCTGCTCGCCGAGTTCGTACAGCTCCTGGAAATAGTCGCTTGTGTGTGTCACCCGGTCCGGTTTGATGCCTAGCGATTCCAAATCGAGGACGATACTATCCTCGTACTCCTGTTTCTCTCGTGATGGGTTCGTATCGTCGAATCGAACAATCAGCTTCCCCTTGAAGGCTTCGTGAGCGAAGTAGTTATTCAGGTAGGCGGCCTTGGCGTGACCGATATGCAAATAGCCGCTGTTCAAGTTAGCTTGGTTGAAAATGAACGGTCAGTAAGCATTTCTGGGAGGTCTCACGAAGGCTCAGGTGGGAACCTGGTCACCACGCCATTTTCGGTGTCTTTCAATCCAATGTCGTAGTTCGCGCCTTGTGGGCCGCCTGCCGCGCGCTTCGCCTTGGCCTCCTTGTTGACCTCTTCCTTGATCTCCGGGTGCGCAGCTTCAATGTAATTGAACCAGCGGGTGACATTGGGGAAGCCCCCTTTGCGGATGATGCCAGATGCGACCTTATTTTTAAGCAGAGTAGCCCATGTGTTCTTCTCAGACAAGCCGAGCTCGTAGCCGCTCAAATAGGTTCGAAGAGTGAGGAACTTGTCGAGCTGGGCGAGCAGCGCCTCGACCGTTTTGTAGTCCGAAACTGACAGCTGGGAGGCCAGCCCCTCGATGTCGATACTGCCCATGACGATATTCAAGTTGTAGATTCTTGAGGATGATTTCTTGTGGAGGGGTCAGATGCGTGACTCGAGAGAAATTCGAAGTGGAAGGCGGGGCATTGAGAATTGGTGGGGCTAGGTACCTATGGACGGGACCCGGCGAGGCCTGACCGGATGAAAATGTTCCCGCTATCCGGCTGTCCATGGAACCCTAACCCTAACCCCGAACGTCGAGCGAGCCCCTGAACTTTGGGCTGAGCTTGATCCAGTTGAGACTCACAAGATCGTGAAGTCGAACGGTAAGTGAGAATACAGAGGCAACCTTCTGCTTATATCCGGCTACTAACCTAGCCTCACAGAAATCCAAGTGCTGTGTCCCCAACCTTGTCGTAGCCAGACCGGCTCTCCCAGAAAAAGGGCCAACAACAGTCAATGAGTTCCCGGTCGGCATTGAGACAACTTCAACAAGCCCGTCGCTGGCTGCCCGAGTAGCCCGAGGCGGGCGTGTTCTCTTTCCGAAGGGGCCATTTTGTGCTCCAAAGAGTACACACGTCACTCGCTCTGGGCATTATCGACCGGAACGGCCGTCGCCCCGTGCTGCGGCAGCATGAAGGCTCAGCAACCGTGTCCGGGGCCCGTCATCAACGACGGCGCGCCCACCGGCTACTAGTTCCCAACGCCTTGTATCTCGGGACGGCGCAGCCAAAGTGATGTGTGAAGATGGGAAGCAGTCATCGTGGATTTGCATGGCCCGGTCCGACCCCGGGCACGGGCCGCACTCCGGAGTACCTATCCATGATTCCGCGATGATCAGCTTCAAAACTGAACTAAGATAGGGAGGGGTTCATCGCCGGCTTTTTGCTCCTCGGGCGGGCAAACCCCGTTTTGAGACAAGATGATCAACAACGGAGTAACAGATAGAAGCCTCCTTGTTTGTTTTGGAGGCGCTCATCACTTCAGGAAAGCTAGCAATATTTATGTCTCTCAATATGCAGCCACAATGACCCGTCACATTGACCCATCTGTGCCGTCGAATAGATGGTTCTAGACTACCTACGTGAAGGTGGGGCCAAATCTTGTGTGTGCGATTCCAGGCTCCGAATACGCAGTCTGTCTAGTGCAGTGTTACATGGTGTCAAATAGGTAGTGACCCTTAGCGCGCCTTGAACACTGAACAGTCCCGAGGCATCTCCTAGCCAGGATATGTCAAACACCTGCCGGGTATTATAGTACTGAGTCTGTATGACACGAAATCCAGCGGTCCGAAGCATATTACCCTACAACTCGGACAGACCCGAATGAAAGAAGAAGAACTCTTCTTATTGGCGCTCGGGTTAGTGGTGATGAGGGACGGGAGGAGGAGGGGGGAAGAAAAGGAAGAAAGAAGAAAAAGCAAGACAACGGTTGGCATACCATGCCCAATGAAGTTGCAGAACACAAGCCTGGCGAGAGGAGGCGCCACTTTCTGGGGCAATTAGTGGAGTGTTGCGTCTCTACATAATGTAGCTAATGTACTAATAATATCTGACTAGCCGCGATGCTGGTTGTTATTTCAATTAAAGCATACTCTTCTCCTTGCCGTCTTGCTTGACCATGGAAGTGTCACTCTGAGCTCTCAGGCCTCAGAGTAAGCGTTTCTGTTGGTAGTTCAATGAACCAGGAACACGACCTGAGCTGGACAAATATAGGCCTCTTGAGCTGTGGATTCCTGGGCGAGTCCATACTGCGCCTACCGTATTCGACAACATACAGCAGCATCAGTGACGACCTGCCTCGATCACTGGATCTATCCTGTCTCGATTTAATCCATGAAGACGTAAGACCTGGGTACTGAGACATTAGTGTGCTGAATCCCGCTCGGGATCAACTGGAGGCTTCTGAGCTGAGCCTGTCTCTTGGTTTGCGCGAAAATGGATCGACAAGATACCGACTCTGCCATCTCGGTGGCCATTAGCCATGATGGCCCACTGAAGGAAGGAAGGCCGCCTGGCGAAGGTGCGTTGCCAGCAACCGGTCTCGATTTCCCACCTCCGAACGTGGACACCAAGGCAGCCTCGGAGAGCCATTCTGCAACAACATCCCAAGCACCCAGTGTCCCAACAGCCGACTTGTCTCGGGCGCAACAGGAGCAACAGGCGCAACATGTTTCGACACCACAACCAACTCTAACGGCCGACCCGGAAACAAGTGTCCCCAAGTCCTTCGTACCGTCCCTAGCCGGGGGCTCGACGGTGATTCCCGAATTTAGCATTCCAGAGGCTTCGGTGCTGTCAGCACCACCCCCGGGGCAGGCCACAAGCGAGGGCATCAGTGGCACGGCGCCGGAGGACCCGGAGGCCTTGGAGGCCTTGGAGGACCTGGAGGCGGCGCAGCAGGTCGTGGAGGGCAGCAGCATCGTGGTGGACCAGGACGATGTGGCCACGGACGCCGGGTACGAGAGCGACACGCGCACGGCGGCGTCGACGTCGCTGGCCAGCAGCGTGCGCGACTACGCCTTCGAGAACGGCCGCCGCTACCACAAGTTCCGCGAGGGCCGCTACAACTTCCCCAACGACGACGTCGAGCAGGAGCGCGAGGACATGAAGCACGCCATGGTCAAGCTGCTGTGCCAGCAGCTGCACTTTGCCCCCATCGGCGACAACCCGCAGCAGATACTGGATATTGGGACGGGAACGGGGATCTGGGCGATCGAGAGTGAGTTTTTAACCTCTCCCCTCCCCCCTCCCATCTCCCCCTTGTGGCACCGATCATCTCGAGGGGACAACCGATACCCGTGGCGTGTACTGATTCGCATGCTTCACGGTAGTGGCCGACCAGTTTGAGAGCGCAAATGTGCTGGGCGTAGATCTCAGTGCTATACAGCCGGAATGGGTACCACCAAATGTTAAATTCATGGTTGACGATGTTGAGAGCCCGTAAGTTGACTTCGTCTTCGACCCACCCATCTCCTTGATCATCAATCTCGAACCAGATTAGGCCGAATTGTTAACACTGACGTTCCCAGCTGGCTTCATCCGAGGAACTATTTCGACTACATTCACTCGCGGCACACCGTGATGGCTATAAAAGACTGGCCGCGACTGTTCCGGCGAGCCCTAGAGTGAGCAACCCCCCCCTTCCCACCTGCCCGCCACCCCACTACCCAAAGCCTTATTGCTCACTCTCCCATCAGGCATCTCCGACCTGGAGGCTGGATGGAGATGCAAGAGGTCCACCACTCCCCCATGTCGGCCAACAACACCCTGACGCCGGACCACCCGGTGGCGCAGTACTGGTCGCTCATCAGCGAGGGGCTCGGCAACCTGGGGGTGGACTTCCAGATCGCGGCGGGCGGGCGGCTCGCCGACATGATGCGCGAGTGCGGCTTCGTCAACGTGACGGAGCGGGTGCTGCACATCCCGCTGGGCACGTGGCCCAAGAACAAGGTGCTCAAGACGGCCGGGCTATATTGGCGCACCATCCTGCTGGACGGCATCCAGGCCATCGCCCTGGGGCCCCTGACGCGCGGCTGCGGCTGGACGAGGGAGCAGGTCGAGGTGTTCCTCGTGCAGGTGCGCAGGTCGTACCACGACAATAGCTGCCTGCTGTACATGCCGTTGCATATCGTCTGTGGCCAGAAGGCGGAACATGGATAATGATACGGCTTGGGCATTTATCGCATGGATGGCAATACGATACCAGAGAAATAAAGTCAACCGATCCAACGGGGCATGGCGTTTGAAAAGGGGGGTTGGGGGGGGAGGAGGGCCTTTTTTTTTTTGATCTGATCACCAACATTAAAATACCAGGGAGGCTGTTGTCGTTTTTGTCATTTTGTGAGGTATCAGCAGTTGCTCCCTGTCAGCGGTGTCACATCTAGCAAGCCGGGGGCGTGGGACTTCCATTGGAGGTTGACTGCCACGGCACGGAGCCTCATTTGTTTCCGGGGCTTTGGTCCCAGCATTATTCAAAACCCGGAAAACTGGGAAATCGTTGGGGGGACAATATCTTACGTGCACGTGGTCGTGGAACAGTCTCCATTATTAGGGCCGTGGTTGGATATAGAATCCTAGGATCTGATTTTACTGTCCTTTCTTTAGGTTCTCAAACCTGACCATCATGGGCTTTAGAAAGGAACTCGGAGGCTGGACTGGCAACAGGAAAAGGACCTACGCTGACAGGCCAGGTTCATTTTCCAGGCAACCTAGCAGCAGGCCTGTGTTAGACGAAACCCAAAACCATGCGCGGCACCTCCCGCTACCGGCTTTTTACTCCATATATTCCAACGATAGCGTTACACGAAAGATCTTACTGTACCTGGCACCCGATATCTATGAAGAATGTATGTACAGTACATAGTAATAAGTATAATAAGTAAGAAACAAGAACCGAGAATCCAAGTTAAATGCACCAAATGATCTTTTCTCAGCCGGGTCTCTACCCAGACACCAGAGCGGTCGCGCACTGCGCTACGCACCACACTAGAGGGTTGGCGTGCCACTATTGGCAGCGGGGTGGGGGTACTGCAGGCATTTGCACCTCTGCACATGTGCACTTCTGAACGGCAGGGACGCTCCACTATGCATGCACGTTGAGCTCCCCGTTCCTCCGCCCTCGCTCCGATGGCCGTACTCTGTACACTGGAATCTCCAGCTGAGACGGTGCAATAATCCATGTAGCGCCCACGTTCCTCCCACGAGGCTCGGCGGGTTGTTTTTCTGGTTCATGCTGCTCGGGATAGTTCATTTTGCATCCGGACCAAAAGCAGCTACAGCTCTCCTCGCTTGCAAGCTCCAATTGCACACATTACCGCCAAGTGGCCCGACTAATTTAACGGATCACCCCTGCAAGCTACGACCCCAGAGATCGATCCCACCTCAGCAAAATGGTGACAGGGGAAGCTCGAACCAGACCCCAAGGCGGGGGGGATCACTTGGGAATGCGGAGCACGCTATAAAGCGGCAATGTCTCGGTTGATACACTCGCATTCTAAGTATAGTAATCTCGTCGATGGCCTGGCATCCGCGGATATATATTCCCATCTTGTTACCTTGTTTTCCCATCGTCAATTGAGCCTGCTAGCATTCGCTTGCTTTCACTAGTGCGGCTGACACTCTATCGCCCTGTCTCCTGTATCCTCCACCGCTTGACTTTTCACCAGGAAGCCAAGATCACTGCGTTATCAACCAGAGCGCTGAGACTTCAAAGCTCTGTCAAAGAGCGAAAGGGGGCTACACAGGTCTTGGAAGCCAGCTGAATACATTACCTCTAGTTGCCTAGGATGGCCAAGTTCAGGCTAAGTTCCCTTTTTAGTGGGAGCTCCTCCTCCAACGGGAGTGCCGATGTCAAGAAGCAGAACCGTCGCTCTTTCTCTGGCTTGTCGGCGAGGTCGCCTCGGAAACCAAGGCAGGAGGATTCCCAGAGCGACGGGACGACCCTAGCCGCCCTTCCTGCTGATGCGGCTGAGGAATCTCCGTCTAGAATGGTCGCGTTAGCCCAGACGATCACGAGGGAGACGGAGAAGTTCGAGGCCTACTTCAAGGCTAACGGGCTTCCGCTACCTAGCTTCGATGCTCAGGCCCCAGCTGACCTCCCCCGGCTTCCCAAGGAAATCCAGAAGAGCAGGCAGGACATCATCTTCGCCACCAAGCAGTTGAGAGACCTCGCAGTTGGCCCACGAGAGTCTGTTCGATGGGGCACCTGGGGAGTACGTTTCTTGCGCCCCCCTTTCTTTTGCCGGACGGGGACTGGTTTCTAACATAAACTATCCAGCATCTCGATGTCTTGGCCTTGCAAATTTTGAACCACTTTGGCATTCGTGAGCAGCCCCTCAAGACTCCTCCTGGCCGCCGAAGCAGCATTGTTGAGGCCACAACTGACAACCCGTAGCCAAGCTGGTCCCTGTTGATGGTACCATCACGCTCTCCGAGCTCCAGACCAAGACTCCGCTTGACCCCGTAAATCTCGCCCGGATCATGCGGGTTGGCATTACAAATAACATTGTAAGGATCCTCAGGCTTGACATTGGCTCCCGAGAATCTACATCAGGGGCAAATGCACGATGATCCTCAATGCCCGCACCTCCCGCGCACAAGACTTTGTTAGAACAGGACTCCTAACACATGGCAGTTCGCCGAGCCCTCGCCCGGCGTGATCGCGCACACGGCCGCGTCCCGGGTCATGGCCGAGGACGAGGACCTGCAGGCGTGGGTCGGCTTCAACACGGAGGACATCTTCCCGGCGTCGGCGCACGTCCTCCAGGCCCTCCAGCGGTATCCCGAGGCGATCCACCTCACCCAGACGGGGTTCAACTTCGCCTTCGACACGGTTGACAAGGAGCCCATGTTCGTCACCTTCGGCAAGGACCCCGCCCGCGCGAAGCGCATGGGCCGCGCCATGGCAAGCCTGACGGGCGGCGAGGGCTACGAGTTGTCCTACCTGGTGGACGTTGAGAACGGCGGCTACGACTTTGGTGCCGTCGATGCCGCCGAGGGGACGTTTGTCGATATCGGCGGCAGCCACGGGGTACGTTTTCCCTCCTTTGCGTGGAACACCGGGCGCGCCCCCTAACTAGATTGGACTAGTTCGTCTGCGTCGACCTCGCAAAGCGGTACAAGAACATGAAGTTCGTCGTGCAGGATCTCCAGAAGACGGTGGATTCCGCCCCGAAGCCCATCTCGGAGGACGCCCAGATGGCCGAGAGGATCACCCTTCAGGCGCATGACTTCTTCACCGAGCAGCCGGTGAAGGGTGCGGATGGTAGGTCCCCAGTTCCCATCTCCCCTTTGTCCTCCCCCCCTTCCCCCCAAGAAATCTAGCCCCCACAGGGTCAAAACTAAAAACGAGACCCAAAAAAAGTCTACTTCTTCCGCTGGATCATACACAACTACTCCAACCCCTACGCCGTCAAGATCCTCCGCGCTCTGATCCCGGCCCTCAAGCCCGGCGCCCGCGTCCTCATCAACGACAACTGCCTGTCCGAGGCCGGCAGCGAGAACCCCTGGGACGAGGCGCGCATGCACCGCATGGACCTGGTCATGCTGGCCCTGCTGAACGCCCAGGAGCGCACCGAGGCCGAATTCAGGGAGCTGTTCCGGACCGTCGACGAGGGCTTCGTCTTCAAGGTACGGTTTTCTGTTTTATGTTGTGTGGCCTTCCTTCCCACCCACCCTTTCCACGCGGGGAAGAAAAAAAAGGGAAAGTTGGGGGTTTGTGACAAAGTAGCCGGAGACTAACTGTTGGTGTAGGGCGCCACTCGGCCACCGGGCTCCAGAATGAGCATCGTCGAGGCTGTGTGGAGGCCGGATCTGGTGGAGGGGGCTGCTGAGGAGCCTGCGGCTGCGGCTGCGGCTGCGGCTGCGACGGTGACAACAGCGGACGAGCAGGCTGTTGGAGCTCCTTCTGAGGACAAGGCCGAGGAGTTGGAGCCGGCGGGGGAGCCGAAGTCGGAGCCAGAGACCGCGAAGGTGTAAGTTTGGATGGTGTTACGTCGATGTGTTGGTTCCGAGTAGGATGTGCTCGGCGGGCTTCGGGTCGCTGGCCCGAGGCTTTGCCGTGATGTTTGGATTGATACCCCTTCGATGGACGAGTTCAGACTCTGCAGTTGTCGTTATTATTAAATCCCCCCCCCGCCCCCCCCTATTTATATATTATATAGTTCCTCAATGTAAATTATTCTTTGCGAATACTCCTTGGCGTCGCCTGGCTCTGAAGTGGTAAGAAGACCCCCTTTGGTCTAGTATCACTTTACACACACCTTGCGATGAACCAGTTGTCCTGTATCTCAGGTTGTCTTATCTCAGACCAGTTGGAATCAATGCCATACGACATGTTGCACCCAAGTTAAGGAGGGACAGAATTAGGTGAGCATATCAGGACGAGAAAGCACTCGCTTTCTACATCTTAAGGCAACGTCTGGCCCCTTGGCCTGGTCGTGTCAAGGCCTCTGAGAAGTGAGGGTTTCTGGCGTTGAAGGATGGAGGAGAAACAGGGCGGCTGAACGGGGCATCCCTTCATTCCATCAAGAACATCTAGCAGGTAGGGGGATCACAGCGAGAGGCTAAGATGAGCCAGTTTGTGTCACCTGTAAGTGGCGGGAAGGAGAGAGATTGTGATCAAAGCTCGAAGACATCATTATCAGACAATTGATTCATCAAGTGTGTACAGATTATGTATACTTCAAATCGACCCCCAACCCCTCTACGGTAGCTTACCTCCCTCCCTCGTAGCCTTCCCGACCTCGGATTGCGTGGTGTCCTCGGCGTATCTCTTATACACCGCGATATACTGCTCCTCGTCGCTCCACGTCTGCCGAATACTCTCCCTCTGCACAACGGCCTCGAACCACGTTTCCCACCTCGCCCAGACATCCTCATCCCCACCCCTCTGCCCCCTGGCCGGAATGCCCACGCCGCCAGGCTTATAATGGTCAATCAGGAACAGCCTCTTCGCCCAGGGCGCCAGCGCCACGTCGACGAGACTGAACCTCTCCCCGAGGAACCAGGGCCCGGCGCCCCCCATCTCGCGCGCAAACGCCTTGAGGTGGCCGTGCAGCTGCTCGCGCGCCTCCCCGACGCCGTACGCCTTGTAGGGCGTGTGCTGCAGCAGCCTGTAGAAGGCCGGCACGACGCGCGACGCGACGTGGTCGATCCACAGGCGGCAGCGGGCGCGCTCGTACGGGTCCGCGGGAAAGAGGCGCGGGCCCGGGCCCGAGTCTGGGTAGGCCTCGTCCAGGTACTCGCAGATCACGGTGCTCTCGTAGAGGGGCTTGAGCGCCCCCGCGCCGGTCCCGACCTGTACGGCTAGGGTCGGGACTAGGCCGCGCGGATTCAGGGCTAGGAAGGACGGGTCCTTGTTGTACGGGTTGATCTCGATGTACTGGTGCGGGATGGACTTCTCGACGAGGACGATCCAGGCACGCTGCACAAAGGGGCAGAACCAGCCGCCGTAGAGCTTGAGCGGGTGGTCCGCCTTGTGGGCTTCTGCCAACTCCGCGGCGGCCCCTGTGGTGTGGGGCTGGATGGAGGTGTCGACGTTGGACATGGCTATTATGGCGGGAGGTGAGCGGGAAGGTGAGTGGGGTTTAGTGTTGTTGTGAAAGGCTTTGACTCGGGGTGAGGCTCTCGGGATCGATTGCCGGTGGCCTCGGACCGAAAAGGTTGACGATGCGGTTCGTCGTAGAGCCCCGGAAATAGGTAGAGCGGGCGATGACGTCTGCACTGTCATTGGGCTTCCCCATCGGACTCTCCCGTCATTGCAAGATGCACCCTGCTTGCATTAATAACCTGGGGAAAGGAAACTGCTTTTTACTTTTATTTTGACCTCATCTCTCCTCTATATCTAGGGTCAGTTCCTCGGCATCTTGGACCCTGATTTCTCCTTGACAGGGTCCTACTATGTAATGACTTGCACACCCAATAATGCAATTGAGCTGCCCCCTCCCAAGCACAGAGCCTTGAATTGGCAGAATGTAATGTACAGCAATTCATGTCAGATTCTGTTGACTAGGTGCCTACTCCTGTCAACTTGACCTGGACCTGTGGCACTACGTGTCTCCTCGTGACCCTTCCACTGGGGCGGGCTATGTAGTACACCTGTCAAATGTAAGACGCCCGATCGACGGGAGACAAGTAACCCTGTTTTTGAGATCGGCAATCTTGCGGGTGGTGGGGTGTCGATCCGCAACAGCAAGCGATCTTCTCATAGGTAAGGTACTTCAGCGGTAGAGGGAATGTATGGGCCTGCCACTTCAATGATGCCCTCACGGCGGCTGGTGTTCCTCAAGGTGTCAAACTGGCCTTTAATTGAGTCCCTAGGTAGATTCGTCGAGTGTCTAGGAATGACATGGAAAGTGACACCCTGGTTACTGCCTACCTAGGTAAACATCTGAGGTACACCTGAGCCTGATTTATAGGTACTTGAACATAGGTAGGTAAATGGCCTTCTTGAGCAATGGCCTGGCTGGGTGGAAATCAATGACCTATCCTTCCTCAATGAACACAGCTAGGAACTGCCTGACATTCGAATGTTTTTGCATAGTAATACAAGAAGAGATGTCTGACGCTACAATGTAAACTTTTGATCAGCACCGCTTGGCACGGAGTCTCTCGGATGATGACGTAGATTAAACTGCCTCCATTGGTTAGGTTCCTCTTCACTTACCACTAAAGGGAACTTAATTTATTTATTTACTTACTTATTTAGTTAGTTGGCGGGGCTGTCACCGCCCAACGTATGTTTGCTTGATGAGTTCTGTGAACTTCGTCAATCGTCATTCGTCACTGAGCCTGACCTCATGCCAATGGAAGCTTGCCTGCAGCTTCTCCCATCCGCTGTTCCGCTGTTCTTGGAGCACAAGCACACCTTAGTCTGCCTCTATTCCCAGACTAACTGTGCCGCTAATTGCTTGGTGAATGTGTCTAATCGTAACTTGATGTAATCGATCAAGCTGTTCGACCGGAAAGAACTTCCATTCCGACGGAGCTCACCACCTTTTTCTAGGTATCTTTCCTACCTTTTCCTTCCTCTTCTACCTCTCCCTACCTCTCCCACCGCTTCCTCATCAGATCGTTCCACCAACTTCCCTCGAAGCTTGTCCAAGCCGTGACGTGGTCCATTCCAAAGTCAGGTATGTATACCTACCCTGGTGACTGTTACGGATCCGTACACCTCCCGACTTCTCCCAAACTTGCGTTCTTGTGCTTCGTCACATCTCGGGTATCCAAAACAGCCAAAATCCTGACTTCGGCTTCATCTCACAGGCATACTTGATTCCATCGCAAGCTCGCATACTTTAGAAACAACGGTCAGCGACCCCTGCGCAATACTCCACCCCATCGTGGGCGCCAGAGACACGCTCTTGCACAGCTTCGTCATCGTCGAGACGAGATCCGAACAAGAATGGCTGCAGCTCGTAAGCCCGCAAAAGCATTCCAAACCCCGTCACGGACCAACGGCGATCGCTGACATGGAACCAAATCCACAGGTCCAGCCCTCGGGATCGCCGGCTTGATCCTGCTCGCCGGCTCGCTGGTGATGCTCTGGTTCGTCATCCTGTCCGGCGTGACGAACTCGACGCCGCTCAACCGCACCTACTTCCTGCGAGCCGACACGTCGGGCATCACGGGGGCCCGCCCCGTCACGCAGTGGACCTTCTTCCGCCTCTGCGGCCTGGGCAACACCGACTGCCGCTCCTTTGCAGACCCGCCCATCGGCAAGGCCTGGTCCAGTAACCCGACCGGCGCCCCCGCCGGCCTGGTCGGCAACCACGGCGGCGGCACCACCAGCTTCCACTACTTCTACATGTGGCGCTTCGGCTGGGCATTCTACATCATCACCCTCTTCTTCGAGACCCTCGCCTTCTTCGCCGGCTTCCTCGGCTGCTGCGGCCGCCTGGGCGCGGCCATCTCGGGGTTCATGGCCTTGATCGCCCTGTTCTTCAACACCATTGCTGTTTCGCTCATGACGTGAGTAGCCTCCCCCCCCACCCCCAGAACCCCTAAAAAGGGAAAGAAGGGGGCAAAGCAAAGAACAATTTTAAACTGACCAATCCCGATCAAGTGCCGTCTTCGTCCAAGCCCGCAACGCCTTCAACCGCGACGGCCGCAGCGCCAGACTGGGCCGGTACGCCTTCGGCTTCTGCTGGGCGTCGTGGACGGCGCTGCTGCTCGCGACGGTGCTCTTCTTCATCGGCGTCGGCGGCCGAAAGGACCGCGACTCGGGCCTGAACCGCGGCCAGAGCACCCGCAGCCGCAAGTCGTACGACCTCGGGGGCCGGCGCGTGAAGGACGATTATTCGTGATAGGAATTGAGAGAGAGCAAAAATAAGGGAGGGGGTGGGGCAGAGGCGACGCGAGGTGAGGTCGTGTTGGTTTCATCGCGCCGTCACTGCACCGTGGACGCTAGTATGAGTGGCGCATGGGAGGAGGCGTGGGAGGGAGATAATGTTTTGGCTGGTGCATGGGCTTCAGGGAGGAAGCATTGGCGTAATGGACCCGGGGTCTGATCCTGGGCATAAGGGGTGGGTATCTCGGCTACCAGGTGCTGGAAGGGGTAGGGGATCAGGGGGACTACGGCCCATGTCGTTGAAGGTCTGGCCTGATCTGACCTGGTGCAAACGTTCTCGGCGTCCTTGATGGTCATGTTGGCTTTTTTATTTTTTTCATTCCAAATTCAACTGATTTTGAAGCTTGCGCAAACGGGGGAGAATGTCAGCTCAGAACCATATCTCACGAACCTTGTTCTTTCTAAACTAGATGGGCTCCTAATGTCTACTCAACTATATTGATGTCCTTGGCACCCCGCCTAGAAGACTTGGTAAAATGCCTTAAAAGAGTTCGGTTACAAAGTTAGAAGGAGATGGTGGGAGGCAAGAACTTGCACCCAGGCCACTGTCCCTCGCGGCCTTTCATGATATGGTTATACTTCGTATATATGTACAAATCAATCGCTCACTGTATGCGTATTTGTATGTGTGCACGCGCTCGAGGACAACGTCCCAAAACAAAAGCTAGACCGCCGCCAAAGAAAACCCGGACAAGGGGGAGAAAACCCTGTGATACACCTCTCCCCATGCAAATCTGCGCGAAAAATGAGATAGATGCCGTATATGCTTGAGAAGAACGCGGGGAATATGTGGAAAGAAAAAAAAAGATGCTAAACCCGGGGCTGAGTGAGCCCCTGCCTCCTCCATTCAAGCTATGGCGATGCATTTCCATTTGCGTTTGCCTTCCCCATAGCATCGCCATCCCATCCAACCCCACCCTTACCCAATCCGCCAAGAAACATGGCGCACGCTCAAAACGAAAGGGCCAGCCCCCTGTCCGGTTTGCGCCGTCCCCATGCAGACATTCCTCGAATCGTGTTTTTCTATCGCGTCGCTAAAGAAGCAAGAAGTGACAGAGAGGAAAATAAGATAGATAAAGAGAGAGAGAGAGAGAGAGAGAGAAAGAGAGAGAGTATGTGTGTGTGCAGGACCCCGGGAGTTGGGCCTAGAAATCAAGGATCCGCGTGCCCGTCCGTCCCGTCACCAGTCCTTCTGGGCCCCGTCCGCCTGGCTGCTGAGGGGGCTGAGGCCGTCCAGGGGCGCGGCGTGCAGCGCGGGGCGGAGAGTCTCCTGATTCGCCTGGCCCTGGTCCGCGTGGCCGGCACTCTTCCGCTCGAGGGAGCGCCGCACCCACTCGGCCACCTCCCAGTCGTAGACGCCGTCGCCGTCGATGCCGCCGAGGTTCAGCTTCCCGGCCGCGTCTGCGAGATCGTGGCCGTGCGCCGCGGCCTCCTCGCCCTCGGCGTCCTCGTCGATGGTCTCGGGTTTCGCGAGGGCCTTTAGCCATGGATGCGTAAGCAGCATGGGGTACGTGTGACGCTTGGAGGGGATCTTGTTGACGCAGGCCCGCACGAAGTCTTGGGCTACTGACGAGTAGTCGTCGCTGGGCAGGCGTGGTGGTTCACCTTCGACAATGGCCTTCATTCTGCGTCAGTATTTTGTCTTGGTTGTTTCTTCTTGTCTCCCCTGAGAGAAGAGGGAGGGCATGGAAAGGGAAGTTACGGAAGTTACTTACGCTCAGTTGGCTGAAGATAGTACTCGACACCTCGGGCGGATAGGGATACTTCCCCATAGCGCACTCGATGATCGTCAGCCCCAAACTCCAGATGTCGCTCTGTACGCTGTATGTGCCGTTCGCGACGCCGCCTGCCGTCGACATGCCGCCACCGCTGATCCTCTCAGGAGCCATGTAACTTTGGCAGCCGATGTTCGTCTTCGCGATGCTGGCCACGAGATTACCCGAGACACCAAAGTCGCATATCTTGATCTGGCCCCTGGTGTTGGCCAGTATATTCGTCGGCTTCACGTCGCGGTGGATGATGTTGTGGTCGTCTTTCAGCGACTTCAGGCCCATGATGGTCGCATACGTGATCTTCCGCAGTACGGGCTCGGGAATGCCGCCACTGTAGAGCTTGTCGATGCTGCCCCCGTCCATGTATTCGATACACATGTATACGGCTCCTTCTTGGAAGAAGGCTCCGTAGAAATCAATAATATACGGAGAAACACACTCGTGAAGAATGACAAGCTCCTTGAGGATGGTGGTGAACTTCGATTCGTCCAGTTCAAGGCGGATTTCCTTCATTGCCATGACCACGCCCGAGGTCGCACGGACAGAGCCGGATGATGAGGGGGAAATCGGCGAATTGTCTGCCGGAGTCTCGTCTTTGTCGGACATGGAGGCCTGCCTGGAAATCCCCTTGACACCGCCCAGTCCCTGACCGAAGCGAGGGGCCGTGGGCCGGCTATGTCGGACCTTGTAAACCGTGCCGTAATTGCCCTTTCCAAGTTCCTCCATCACCTCAACCTCGTTTAGCGAGATGGAGAAGGTTTGGCCGTTGATAAAACTGACTCCATCCCGCGTGATCGTCGCCGCGCCCTCGAACGTAATCCAGCCCTTCTCGGCATCGATGTAGTTCTTGAAATCGCTCAGACTCGATCCCCTTCCCTCCCCGTTGATTGACGGTCTATTTCCCCCGGCGTCCCCGTTCATGTCTGACAACTTCGGCGTCCCGCTTGTTGTGGGCGACCCGGAGCCCGATAGCCCGCCGAGCTTCATGGCCCTCCTCTCGCTCAAACTCGGCGGTTTCCTCCCGACTCCTGCGCTTGGGACGACGGGCGCGGATTTGCGAAATCCAGGCGGTAGCGGCCGTCCCATGTTAGTCGGCATTCTCAAGTTCCCTGGTATGCCACCGGATAGGCCGCCTCCCATGTTCATGTTGCCGATCGGGGAGCCTGCGCCGTTCACTTGCGGTTCCATGCTCTGGGCCGAGGCGCTAGACGTTGTCGCTAGCATTGGCCGGCTCACCAGGCCCATCCGTTGTTGTTGCAGGGCCCGAGCCTTCTGCATGAGATCCAGCGGTAAGCTGCCGGCGCTCGGGGGCGGTCTCCTTGCATTGCTCAGAGTGCCGCAGACGGTTGAGGAGGGGCTCATGCGACTGCTATATTCAGGGTCGGACACAGTCTTGCCAAGAGGCGGCACCCGGCGCAGGACGTCGGGGGTCCCCGGGGATGTGCTCGAGGTCATTGGTGAAATGCCGTCTGAGGAGGAGCTTGAGAGGTCGAGCTGTGTGCTTGCTTCTGAGGAGTCGTCGGCAAAAGTTGGAGAGACTGGGTTGGAATCGAACAGCTCGTCTGGTGTTGAGGGTACCGAGTCTGCGTCATAGTGGCCGGACATCGTACCGTGATCCGTCAGAGCGAGAGAAATGTTTGGTGCTGCTACTTCGTGTTTCTGTTTTATCTCGTGGGCGGCATGTGCAGGCAAGTGTTATGGGTGTGCAATGTGGTAGAGATATCTCTCGCGTTGCGGAAAAGCGCCCTTGACGTCGCAAAGATCAAGCTCAACGCGTGGCTCGTCCGGTCTAGAGGAGACTGGGCAGCGAATGCGGCTCGGAGAATGGCCCGTGATCAATATAATTGGGTGCCGCGATAGGTGAATCGAGAGTTGGGAAACGATCGGTGGCGACTTTTTGTGGTGGCAGTGTGTTATCCAACCAAGCCTTCGCAGACCGGAACCTCCGAATCGGCTGCCCCGCGGTGGGTTGCTGACTGATCCTGTTTTGTGGGCTGTTTGGTGGGGAATTTGCTGCGCCGCACCCGTCCAGCTGGGGTCTTGGAGGTTTCTCGGGGAGGCGAAAACTATGCGTACGCTTAGAAGGAAAAGAAGAAAAAGAAAAGAAAATCCTTCCCCGTCTGCTGATTGTTTGACGTTAGGTATTCCCCGAGCTCCGAGGAACGCGGGGGTGATGCCAAGTTGACTAGCCCTATGAACAAGCAATGCGAAGGCGGAAGTGACCGTCAGTCGACAGGGCAGAATATATAAGGACCTTGTAGAGGCCGAGTGAGATGCTGAGGCAGTTAATAAGATCGCGGTTCGCATTATTATATGCCACTGCCGTGCCATGTGCGCATATCAACCAGGAAATCAGAACTGGAACTGGAAACCCACGAGTTACTGGATATGTCACTCAATGTCACTTAGCAGGAGCTTTTCCTCCGCCAAACGGAGTGTACACTGGAGACCAAGACCCCATTCTCTCAAATCCACAATCCACTCTCGAGTCCCTCTCTCTGTTTTCTTTTGACCCCTTTTAATTTAAACAGGAGGACAAAACCGCACGTAGCCATCTCGCAAGTGGCTGAAGGCAGTTGCACTTCTTAATTTGTTACGGTTTTCTCTTGAAAATTTTATAATCTCTCATCCCCTTCTCTGCTTTTCAATCTGGAGGTCGTTGGAGTAGGGGACTTAACGGTACCTCTGACCAACTCCAGGCCTTGAGCACAAAACGCAGGGAGACAACAGAGCATCAATGACGTCGATGGTGTCATTGGGGAAGCAGGTGTGGCTTGACACGGCTCCTGCGAAGGCTTTCATCTTCTGCTTCAACCTGAGACAACACCATGGGAGACGATGGCTGGATGGGTAATCTTCAAAATGCGATCTTCATTTCGCATATTGTCTTTAGCGGTTCTTGGTCTGCGTTGAGCGCTGCATGTCGGTCCAATCAAGAGCGACATCTGCCTTGGAACAGGAAATTCCAAGTCCCTGATGTCGTAGCCTTTGACTCATAGTTCCACCTTCATACGGTACACTTACAGGATCAGGGTTTCCCCAGGCTCTTTGCACGTGATTAGTTTCTTAATTGGCTAAAACATACGTAGAAAGAATCGCCGAAGAGCGGTGCTATTATTTGAATGTAGCAGGAGCGAATTGACAAAATACAGTCCCGGAGCCGTCAAAACCCCTGGTTGACGCATCTAATACTAACCTGTTGGATAGGTATCATATGGCTCCCTGAATATGAACATAGCCTTGGAGATTCATATGTGGGGTTCCAGGCTATACACGTAAAGAAGCAAGAAATATCTTTTGCGTCATATCTACTTGGGCCCTTGGGGTCGGGAATAGGGCCCCAACCTACCAAACCTCGCTGGCGCCTTATCACCGCTTTCATACAAATGCACCTCTTATTGGAGACAGTTTCAAGCTTGGCCTGCATATCTGTAGTACGACGTAAGACACTCCGTACACCGTAAGGACATAGGAGCAGCTTCACAAATACATCAACCCCCAGCCAGTTTTGCAGAGTACTATGTAGCACAGGGCGGTGCACACAGTACAGGACTGCCGCACCGAATGACAGGAAGCCATTGGGACACGTTGACGGGAGGAAGCGTTTCGAGATAAAGTGGGTCTAACAATTCAGCTACCTCTAGGGTTGGAGATGACCCAGAGCCGACCTTATCGGCTGGAACTTGGAAGGCACCCAATTGGAGCAAAGACGAAATGGAGAGCTAAGATATCGTCATCTTTGCACGGCCTCCCTGCTCAAGCTTCGGGCTCGATTTCACATTTTGGCGGGGCTACCTGGGTACCTACCTTAGAAATGGCACTTAGTGTAGAACTTTTAGCTTGCGCAGTCAAGGCCGTGTAAAAGACGTTTCACTACTCAGCCCTGAAGTTCCTACCCTGCTAGATAGGTACCTAGTAGCTGAGACTCTGCACTGTGCAGGTTACTGACGTATTGGTCCGACGTTTCCAGATTTAGGTGCTTCCATTGCTTGCTATCATGGCCCTTCCCCGATCTTCCCTCACATCTCAAGCTCTCAAGGTGTATGTCCCAACGCCACCAAGCTTGCTTGTCGTTAATATTGCTATCTCGACATATATAGGTAGTTGCCCTGGAAAGGCCTCAGGCAGCCCCTCGACTGACCCTGACTGGGTGACTTTCAAGCCCGGAGCTTTGATAGTTCAATAGTCTAATGGTCATGTACGTACCACCACCGCTGAACTCTCCTCTTGCTCAACCCGAGTCGCGGCAACTGGCATAAGGAGGTAAGTTCATATCCGAAAGTCTACCAGATAAGGTATCATTCTTGTTTTAACCATAAAGTTGCAGAAGAACGAGGACTTGTCGTGCGCCACCCCCATTCTCGGATTCAGTGTCTCAACAGCATCCTCGATCTCCCATTCCCGACTGCGTGTGAAAGATGGGTTTTCTCGGCCTGCGGCCACCGACATCATTCCTGCAGCTCGCTGTGGGCGACGGCTCTGCTATGTCCTTGGACCAGATGGCAGACTCGTCGACCCCGCCGTTTGTCGTCCTCGCGAACCAGTCTCACGAGTCGCATCCTTCGTTCGACCGCTTAGTCCTCCTCGTCTTCGAGGCTGTCATGGAGGTTGTCTGCGTCTGCCTGCCGGGATATGTTATCGCGAGGTTGGGCCATTTCGACGCTGACAAGCAGAAGTTCTTGGCCAACTTGAACGTCATGCTGTTCACGCCTTGTCTGAGTAAGTTTTCGGGTCCTGGCTGCTGCTCTTGCAACCTGCTGATGAGCTGTTAGTCTTCACGAAACTCGCATCCCAACTCAACGCCTCTAGGCTGGCAGAGCTCGGCGTTATTCCAGTCATCTTCCTGATCCAAACTCTGGTGTCCTACCTAGTCTCCACCCTGGTTGCCCGGTGTTTCCGCTTCAACAAGCGGGCGTCAAACTTCGTCACCGCCATGGGAGTGTTTGGAAACTCGAACTCGCTACCCATCTCACTAGTCATCTCCCTGTCGCAGACCCTGAAGGGCCTGCATTGGGACAAGATCCCGGGCGACAACGACGACGAGGTTGCGGCGCGAGGCATCCTGTACCTGTTGGTCTTTCAACAACTCGGCCAGCTTGTCCGATGGAGTTGGGGATATCATGTCCTCCTGGCCCCGAAACATAAGTATAGCGAGTACCAGAATGAGCTCATCGAGGAGGGACGCCCGCTTATCGAGGAGGGGGAGGAGGACCACGACAGCAACCGAGGCGCCGATGGGTTGAGTCAATCTGTCGATAACCAGGATATGACGAGCAACAACGTAGTTCGGCATCACCATAGAAGGGGTACGAACTCGGATGACTCGGCGATATACGACCCTGCGGGCCGGACACCTGTCCCCAGCACATCAGGAGAAACTCCCAACGATTCGGAAGACGAGGAGGAGGAAGGACCGAAGAAGCTGAACGGCAAGCCGCATATTGTCGGATGTGTCAGCCTCAAGGCCTCCCATACTGAGGAACTCCATGGCGCCCTCGACGAGATAGAGTCCTTCCCGCCCATTCGCAGCAACGACGAGGCAGAAGTGCCGGAGGGGATGAAGGCCCTTACTGTCCGGATCCGGCACTTCGCACAGAGAAGTTCGAGCAGCGTCTCCCACTACTTCGCCACCCAAGGACGCCGTATCTTCGCCGCTCTCCCCAGACCTCTGCAGGGCACCCTCACCGCCGTGTCGCGGGTGTCACAGCGCATCTATGCCTTCCTCTGGGATTTCATGAACCCACCTCTGTGGGCCATGCTCATCGCTCTGGTCGTGGCCTCCGTCCCCAACCTACAGAAACTCTTCTTCCAGGAGGGATCGTTTGTCAACAACAGTGTCACCACGGCCATCACGCAGTCGGCCGGGGTGGCCGTCCCCCTGATCCTGGTTGTCCTCGGCGCAAACCTTGCCCGGAATACCCAGGCGCACGGGGCCCTGGATCCCGAAGAAAAGGAGATCGGCACCCGGCTCCTGGTCGCCTCGTTGATCAGCCGCATGCTCCTGCCGACCCTAATCATGGCGCCAATCCTCGCCCTCTTTGCGAAATTCGTCCCCGTCAGCATCCTAGACGACCCAATATTCATCATCGTCTGCTTCCTACTCACGGGTGCCCCGAGCGCGCTACAACTGGCGCAGATCTGCCAGATCAACGGCGTGTACGAGAACCGGATGAGCCAGATCCTCTTCCAGAGCTACGTCGTGTGGTGAGTTATTGCCCCTTTTCGTGGTTCCATCCTGGCTGTGCAGACGTTAATTAATAATAAAATAGGATCCTCCCATCGACGCTCATTCTGGTCTTGTGCGCGCTCGAGGTGGTGGAATGGGCCAAATGAGCGAGGACCATATTCGGCCTGCTCGCCATGGCAGAATTACGTCTCTCTTGATGACCAACTTCTGGCGCAATTTCGGTTGGCTTTCTTTGCGAGGTTTTTCTTCTCTCGTGTCCCAGCTGCGATTTGTATTGCATTGTATCTCACTCCCAGCGGTGGGAGTGAAGGAAGTCTTTGCGGGGGCGCTTGGCGTTTTTGAGGGGTAGCATTAACAAGTACATCCAGTTGAGCAAGTCATGGGATACACAGGGGTCATGGTCGCGGTCACGGCCACGGTCACGGTCACGGTCTGTTTCTCTACAAAAGCAAGCACCAGGGCTTGAAAAGGGGCAAGTCAACTCCGGGTTTCAAAAGGAACATTAAATTGTAGAATGGAAACTTAGGGCGGGAATATGGGGAAGGACAGGGAGCTGTTCTGGTACTTAGACAAAACCCAAACGTGAAGTTTGGAGGCTTCCATAGTCTACAAGAGCCCCTAACTGGCAAAAACGGTCCTTCATGCTCTGGTTTAAAAGATCTTCCAACTTAACGCATTCCACGCGTGGCTCATACCACACTCACCTGACCCCATTAACCAGCCCGCTCCCTGCCTCTACTTCCCCCTCGACCGGCACAAGCACCCAATCCCTCACAGCCCCCTTCCAATCGCTAATCCTGACATCCCTGATCCCCACGACAATAACCCTGACCTCGCCCTCCCCCGCACCCCCGAACCGGGCCCAGTCCCCGGCCCCGGCCCCGGCTCCGGCCCCAGCAGCGGCGGCGGCGGCGGGCGACGCGCCAAAGACGGGACCCTCTGCGTCGAATGTGTTGTTCTCGAGGTGGCGGTCGCGGTAGAAGGACTCCTCGGCGGAGCCGGCGGGGGACAGGTGGGCGGCGCCGTTGATGGTGGCCGAGATGGAGGACACGGCGCTGTTGTTGAGGTTCAGCAGCAGCGAGGCCAGGCTGCTCGGCCGGTGCTCCGGGGCCGGCGAGGCGCCGCTGCCGCTGTCGCCTGAGAGGCGCCGGTGCTGGGTCGTCGGGGGCCGGTGGGAGACCCAGTCGTGGACGAGGAGGGAGACGTTGGGGTTGGCGGCTAGGTTGGTCATCTTCTTGCTTGAGGGGTTGGTGGTCATGACTATGACGGGGGTGGTTGAGTAGGGGGACGACGGGAGGTAGGTATAGTTCATGAGGGAGACGTGTGGGATGTTGTCGGTGCAGGTTGCGAGGTGGAGCTGGGGGGTTGCAGCGAGTGTTAGCCATTTCTTGTCTCGGGACGTTCGGACAGGTGTGAGGGGGATAGAAGGTGACGGGGATGAGCTACAAATCGGGCGTTCTCGAGGCATTGCACGACTTCTTGTGGTAGGGCGTCGGTCAGTTGCTTGTTCGTGTCGCCCGCTGAGGGCTCGTGGCTGAGTGGTATCTGATCCATGGTTGTTGGGATCGTCCGTGGCAGTGGTTCTGAGTGGGAGAATGGCAAAGTATAGAAGCTCAATTGTACGTGGTTCTGTGTCGAGGTTGGTTGATCTAGAGCACCATTGGCAGGATCTTGGGCGTCGCAAAGGAGGAGAACGAGAGAAAGTGACAATGGTCCGAGGGAGGAAGCTATTCGCACGGGTGGGGCCAGAATAGAAACGACGGATGGCGGGGTATTTTTACTGCCTCAGGTAAACAATTATCTAAGAATAATACTGTTCGTAGGTTCAACTTCGATTTAATTGCTGGCCTCGAACTATTTTAGCTAGAGCTGAGTATAGGTGTTTCTTGAGAGCACCTGTCACAGATACTCACTCTTAACTCCAAGTTGGTTGGGACAACAGGACAGGTGAGCCCGACCCAGGGTTAGGGTCAACCCAAGGCTCAGGCCGGATGACGTCTTTGCACAGGCCACTTCAACTCGCTTTATTTCAGGTCCCCGGCTACCGTCGGCTTTCCCTCCTCCAGATCCCTTAGAACGACAACCTCTTCTCTTCAACGTGCCCGTCTTTCTCTACCACCACAGAAGACGACCTATCCAGCTCTCAATTGTATGGCCATTGAGGAGACGGTGTGCTTCTAGATCAGACTTCGATTGACTACTAAGAGAGCCCACCAACCCAACTCCAACATGCGGTCCCTCAAGCGCAGCCAGCGCCAGCTCCGCGCCCTCCCCCTCCGCCTTCGATCGACTCTCCCACCAGCCACTCAAGCGCACCCGGCCTCCCAATGCGCCAGCATAACCAGCCACTCGTCATCCTCGGGCGAGACTACGACCGTCACGCCAATCACCTCCCTCCTGATCGCCAACCGCGGCGAGATCGCGCTGCGGATCGCCCGCACCGCCGCCGCCATGGGCATCGCGACGACGACGCTGTACACGGACGCGGACGCGCGGTCGCAGCACGCGGGCGCCTCCCCGCACAGCATCGGCCTCGGCCCACCCGCGGCCTACCTCGACGGTGACCGCATCATTGCCCTGGCCCGCCGGCGCGGCATCCAGGCCCTGCACCCGGGGTACGGGTTCCTGAGCGAGAATGCCGCGTTCGCGCGCAAGTGCGCCGACGCTGGCATCGTCTTTGTCGGGCCCCCTCCAACGGCCATGTCTGAGATGGGCGACAAGGCTAGGAGCAAGGAGATCATGACCGCTGCCGGGGTGCCGTGTGTGCCAGGGTACCACGGTGGGGAGCAGGAGCCGGCCCAGCTGCTGTCCCGGGCCAGGGAGGTCAGGTTCCCCGTGCTGCTGAAGAGTGTCAAGGGCGGCGGGGGCAAGGGGATGCGGATCGTGGAGAGGGAGGAAGAGTTCGAGGCCCAGCTAAGGAGCGCGAGGGCAGAGGCCAGGGCCAGCTTTGGCGAGGGCGGCGAAGTCATGCTAGTGGAGAGGTACGTTGTCCGGCCGCGGCACGTCGAGGTACAGGTGTTCGCCGATCGCCACGGTAATTGCGTCGCGCTCGGCGAGAGGGACTGCAGTGTGCAGCGCAGGCACCAGAAGATTCTGGAGGAATCACCGGCACCGTTGCTCGACGATCTAACCAGGAAGGATCTTTGGGACAAGGCGAGGACGGCCGCTTTGGCGGTTGGGTACGTCGGCGCCGGCACCGTCGAGTTTATCCTCGATAAAGACACCGGCGAATTCTTCTTCATGGAGATGAACACGCGGTTGCAGGTCGAGCACCCTGTCAGCGAGATGGTCACGGGTACCGATCTGGTGGAGTGGCAGTTCAGGGTTGCCGCCGGGGAGAGGCTGCCGTTGACCCAAGACGAAATCGAGACGAGGATCAACGAGAGGGGCGCAGCCATTGAAGCGAGGATATACGCTGAGAACCCCGAGAAGGGCTTCTTCCCTGATTCGGGAAAGCTGGTGCACCTCGCAACCCCCAAGACGGACGAGGACGTGCGGATAGACGCCGGCTTCGTCGAGGGCGACACAGTCTCGGAGGCGTACGACGGCATGATCGCGAAGCTGATCGTCAGGGGCAGGGATCGAGAAACGGCGATCCGGAAGATGTACCTCGCGCTCCAGGACTACGAGGTCGTGGGCTTGAGCACGAATATCGAGTTCTTGAAGAGGTTATGTCAGAGCAAAGCATTCATCGAGGGCGATGTTGAAACGGGCTTCATCGAGAAGTGGAGGTCGGAGCTCTTCGAGGCTCGCCACACCGACAACGAGGTCTTTGTCCAAGCAGCCCTCGGGTTGCTAGGGAAGGAGCTGGATAAGAACGCCGGACTAGGCGAACTCAGCAGCGAATCTCTCGGATTCGGCGCTGCAAGCACTCAAAACCAGAGGAGATTTGCCTTCAGGGTTCGAGATGACACTACCGCCGAGGAGGGCGATGTCGTGGAGGTTCAGCTCACCCAAAGGGGGACCTCATTGTTCGACGCTCGCGTATCCCGCAAGGATACGGACCCTGAGACGTTTGAGAACGTAGTCTCCGAATCAAGGACACCGTCAACAACGAAGACAACATTGACTACCTTCTATCCCTCGACGCGGATAGAGACAACGGTGGTGCAAAACCCGGACGACAAGGAGAAACTGACCATTTTCCAACACGGCGTCAAAACCGAACTCGAGCTGATAGCCCCGCAGTGGTTCGAGAAAGCCCTGGGATTAAAGGAAGCTACTGCGAGCGTTGTCGCGCCCATGCCTTGTAAGATCCTGAGGAACGAGGTTGCCGAGGGCCAGACAGTAGAGAAGGGCGCACCACTAGTAGTGTAAGTGCATCACCAGATTCTCGTTCTGCAGAATTGCCGCTGACAACTATGGTTTGTAGTATCGAGTCCATGAAGATGGAAACTGTGATTCGGTCGCCGCAAGACGGAGTCATCAAGAAGTTGGCCCACAAGGAAGGGGTAAGGATCCAACAACCTTCTCATGCCGAGCTAATACTAACATCAGAGAAAGGATATCTGCAAGGCTGGGACAGTGCTAGTACTTTTTGAGGAAGGGCAGGAACATATAGAGCAGTGAGATATAGGCAGGACTTGGTAAGAGCAGCAGCTCGATAGGGACATCCATCTAGGAAGACTCGGGGTTGGCTAGGATACCCACAACAGTGATACACAAATATATCATCATTTGCTCGGTCTCTTAGTGGTGGATGCAAAGAAAATCAGCTGCGAAATCTCTCCGAAGCCCATAGCAGTTCATCGCCGTGCCTTAGTATCTATCTGTCCCCTGAGGGATGGCGAAATAATTTTAAAAATATGAAACAAAAGAAAAAGGAAAAAATATCTCTATGCGGCTCGAACAAAAGAGTTCGGACTCGGTGTCGAGTGTCCTAATCTCTTTGTCGTCGGGCCGGTTGTTGATTTTGTCGAGTGTCGCTCATTACCACTCCACCACAAGACCACAGTTTGACCTGAACAACATGGCCATGTTGCCGCCTGCTGTGGTCCTTGAGAAATACTTTCTAACCCTGATATATATGTCTTTTGAAAACATACCGTACCAACACATGCCACCCACACGTGCCTCCCACACGTGCCTCCATACATCTTTCCCCCATTCACCCCCTACTCACACTCCCCTACACACTCCCCTACTGACCCTCCGCTGTTTACCCTCGCCCACCTGGTATCAACTCACCTTTCGCTACTCACATTCGTTCACATGCTTCCATCCACACACCTTCCTCTACACACGTGCCTGGATAAAACTACACGTCTACACACGCCCTGCAAGCACGCCGTTTCTCATGGTGACAAGATACTGGGGGACAGACTATCTATTCCTCCGAACCAACCTGGATATCAAAGTCCCCCTGGCCATGTTATTTACAGTCTAATACCATCAGTGCCTATTTATTTACTTGTTTATTTTCCTCATCTTGACCGAGATATTGGGCCGCTGATGTGACCCCTGTCACCCCAAACAAAGCCATGCTGCGAGAGAATTTGCGACTCAGTCCTGCCCCTCCAATTCCAATCCCACACTCGCCGTCTATCTCATCATTTGCAACCTTACTCAAGGTCTTGACGAAGCCCCCTACACCTCTACTGCTAAACTCCCTCTCAGGAACATGGCTGCATAGGCTGGCATGTCGTAAACAACAGGCAAAGCACCCCCCCCCCCCCAGTGAATGTTGACAGTGTTTGGCACTACAGTTTTCCCCCCAGACATTACTCACCCTCAGGTATCGTCCAAGGACCCCCTGGCTTGCCAGGATATATTGCAAACCCATGGTATGGACTTCGTGAACGTCAACAAACATGTCACCAGGGCAACACGTGGAAGCGCGAGAAATCGACGAGGAAACATCCATCTAGAGGTAAGTGGGTGGGGTGCCGTAAGGCTATCATATATATGCATATATACGTCCTATTCATGATTCGCATCATTTGTAACATAGACACACTCTAAACACATCCATACTTTATACCCATCTCACGCCAACTCGGCAATTCCAGGAACGAAGGCATCGTCCAGACCCAATCCTTCAAACCCATCCTCGACAGTCCACGACCGGCCCTTCTCGGGAGTATACAACGCCTCGCATGCCCCGCCCACAACCAACAGCCCGGGCGGACGGCTCCCTTCCTGCTCGATCGCCTCCGCCACGAACCTCAGCGTCGTCCGGATAACCCTCTGGTCAGGACAGCTCGCCCGCTCGATGACCGCGCACGGCGTATCGAGAGGCCATAACCGGCGAGAAGCCGGACCGTCTATTCCAGCCGCCTCTTCCTTCCGCCCAGACACCTCACCCTCGCTCTCAATCTCCACATGCGTCGTCAGCTCCCTCACCAACCCAACAATGCGATGCAGCGCCATCAAGAACACAACCGTCCTACTAGGCACAAACTCCGGCGGCTCAGGCGCCCTCCCCTGCCTCCCGGTACCAGTGCAAACCAGCACCTGGTCAGCGACCCCCCTCTGCGTAGGCGGCACGCCCGCGAAGAGCGGCGCGCTGAGCGCGCTCGTGACGCCCGGCAGCACCACGACGCGCGCGCCGAGCCCCCGGCGGCGGAAGAAGTCCACCTCCTCGCCGCCGCGCCCGTACACGAACGGGTCCCCTTGCTTGAGCCGCAGCACCGTCCGCCCCGCCAGCACGCCCTCGAGCGCCTGGCCCAGCAGCTCCTCCTGCGCCCGCTCCGCGTTGCCCGGGAACTTGCGCGCGATCCGCACGGGCGTGCGCCGCGGCACCAGCTCCAGCACGCCCGCCGGCACGAGCTTGTCCGCCAGCACCAGGTCCGCCGCCTGGATCGCCTTGTGCGTCGCCCGCGTCAGGAGGTCCGGGTGGCCTGGTCCGCTGCCAGCGAGGATGATGCGGCCTAGGCGGGGAGACGGTGACGGAGAAGGGGGTTGGTCGGCGGCGGCGGCGGTGGTGCTGATGCCGCCCGGGTATGACTCGAGCAGGGCGTCGACGTCGGCGTCGGTGACGGCCGCCAGGCGCTTGAGCGGCCAGTACTCGCACACCTGCGCCAGCCAGCGCATCCGGCGGTTCTTGGCGGCCTTGTAGTCCGAGCCCGCCGCCACGAGCCGGTTGAACGCCGCCGTCTGGTCGACCGAGTCGTCGAGGTCTCCGTCGTCGACGCCGTCGTCGTCCGTCGCCGCGTAGTCGCAGTCACCACCACCCCTAGCCGCCCGCTCGGCCTTCTCAGTAGCGGTAGCTGCAGCAACGGCAGCAGCGGCCCGGTCCTCCTCCTGCACGCGCCGCCTCGCGTCCCCGAGGCGCGCGCAGGCGGCGCCCAGCCCCGGCGGCAGCGAGGCCGCGACCTCCCTGCGGATGCGGCCGGCGAGCTTGCAGCCCCTCCCGTTGGTGGTGACGCCCACCTGCAAGGGGCCGTCGGAGTGGGTGCTCAGGAGGGAGAAGGAGCACAGGGCGGGGCTGTCGGCGACGTTGACGGGGACGCGGAGGCGCCGGCAGAGGCCCGATATGCGGGCGGCCTCCTCGGCGCCCGTCCCGGTGACGAAGACGGCGTCAACGAAGCCGTCGGTCGCGTCCCGGCCCAGGGTGCGCAGGTCGGCGTCGTCGAAGTCGCGACGCAGCCAGCGGAGGGCGCCCGAGTCGACGTGGCGCTGCACGCCGTGGTGCAGCGGGGTGGAGGTCCGCGGGGCGATCAGGACGGGCGTCGCGCCCGCGGAGAGGGACTGGTTCGCCCGGGCGGCGGCGAGCGGGCTCGAGCCGAGTATAAGGTGCACGTGGCCGCGGCAGTCGGTCGCCGTGAGGAGGGAGGTGTGGAAGGAGGGCGGCGGCGGGGGTGGGGGTAGGGACGCCATCATCGGCCAGGACTGTGTAGTTTGGACTATGGCTTACGATTTTTTGAGGTGGAAAAAAAGGAGAAGGTCAAGATGGTCTCGAGTACGATGAAGACGCCACTAGCATCACGGACATCTCATGTTGCTCAGGGGAAACACAATATGGTGGGCGCGGCGGGAGATAGGTAGATATGAGAGATAAGAGATCGATGACAGATAGTAGAAGAGATAAGTCACCTTTAACGTTGGTAATGCAGACAGTGAATGGTGAATAGATTTGGTTGGATGTTAGGATATCTACAGATATCAGGGGTCTACTAGAGTCTGGAGTTCCATCATCCCAAGCTTGCTTGGCTTTTACAGATTAGACAAAGACCGTAAATTTAGTCACGCAAACTTTTTTAAATCCCGAGTGACGCCATCCCGGAATCCCAAACTGTCATACGGCAGTCGGTGCCGGCCGAGCTTAGACCAACTGGAGATGGGTCCTTTTTTCCTTTCCTTCCCCTCGTTGATATTTTACCAGGGGCAGACTGACCGCGACAAGTCGATATACATAGATTTAACGAGACTGGTCAATTCTGCGACCTCGTTGCCCACGTACACCTCTCTCTCGTCCGATGTTCTACACGCAAGGCAACGTCAATCAGAAGCAGCCTCCACGAATACAATCACCGCTACATCTTGAAATATCTGAGTTCAGAGCTCTTCCGACTCTCTCATCTAGCCTTTCTGCTTAATTAAAACACACTATGAGGCTACTCCGCCCAGGTCTAACGTGAACCTCTTTAGCATATACAAAGGAGAATGATCATCAGTAGGCTGCCGCGACATAATCTTGCGTGCAACCGACCTCCTCGACTAGACCAAAGTCCATCGTCCGAAGTCCGGCTATCTGAGGTCTGACTTTCTAGCCCGCCCAACTGGCCGGGCTTCTCCCTAGAAAGGAAATGAGAGGTAAGGAATGCCCCCAATTAGGTATACAGTGTAAGTGCCGTCAAAAATATGTACAGACCAAAAACTCGAAAGAAGGAGGGGCCATGATCGTGGGTGGTTCGTGTTGCTTGCGGGAAACAGTATGGCCTGAGGGGTATGCCAGATAATGGAAAAAAGGACGGCAAATGATGGGATGACCGCTAGACGCCAACGCCTGATGGTTAGAAATGGTCGTGGGTATCCTCCCAGGTTCATACATGGTTGTTGAGGTGCCCCCTGCTTGTTGTAGGGAGTGTGCTGCTCTTCTGACTGCGGGGAGTAGCAGCGATAAGAAGGCGTCGCCAAAGCCGGGAGAAGAAAGTGTGCACTGCGCTCATGGCCTACATCACGCAGCACTGGGAATCCTCGCGGTCCTTCTTGACGCTGAGCGCGACGCGTGCCGCCTCAGTGAAGGCCTCATTCACACCCCTATTGCGCATGGCCGAGCACTCGAGATATCTCAGGGCGTTGATGCGGCGGGCAACCTCCAGCCCTTGGTCGTAGTTGATCATGGGCTTCTTCTCGCGCGGCCCGCTGACGGAGTCCGGGTCGGCCGCATTCGCTCCATCCTCATCATCGTCGCCTGCTTCGCGCAGGTCGCACTTCAGAGCCACCAGCACCAGCTTCACGCCGGGGCAGTTATCTGCGATCTCGCCGACCCACTTGCTTTCGACGTTCTCGAGGGAGTCTTTGCTGTCGACCGAATAGCAGAGCATGATAAGATCCGTATCATCTGCTCCAGATGTCAGTTTCGCGAGATCCTGTGGGGTCCTGAGCCACGCCACGGTGTACTGACCATATGAAAGGCTCCGCAACCTGTCGAATTCTTCCTGCCCTGCGGTATCCCAGAGAGAAAGTTCGATGTGTACATTGTCCACAAATATATCTGACAGGCTAGAGTATTAGTCTCCCCTGTTCTGTTCGAGTATTTCGTATTTTGCCTGCCATGCCTAGGGTAGGCATCATCGACCGAAAGCAAGACGAGGTATAACACACCATGAACATAGTTCTCAAACACAGTTGGCTCGTAGACTGTGGGGAAATATCCTCTTGTGAAGACGTTCAATAGCGAGGTCTTGCCGCATGCGCCGTCGCCACTGTTGAAGAATCATGGTCAGCACCCCTATTGATGACGTCGCAAGACCGGTTGCGCCTGGGCCACTGAAACCTGGGGCAACTCACAGCAAGACCAGCTTGCGCTGGACTGTTTTTGAGCCGCCTATGCCGCAGGGCATCGTGGTGGTGGTGATGGCGGTATGTCTGGTTGGAGGTGGATGTATCGATTGGCAGGACAGGTGGGAGGCGGGAGGCGGAAGGCGGGTGGTGCTAGAAATTGGGTAACCTAGAAAGGAGCCGCGTCCTGGGCGGGTAGAGGCGAGGATGCACGAAGTGAAGATGATGCAAAGTGTGAAGGAGCGAGAGAATATGTGTATATGTTGTATGTGTGTGTCTGATTTTGTTGGGAGGAATTGCCAAAATATGCAGGCAATCAAGAAGCTGGAATGAAGTCGAGGTGAAGCGAGTGGGCAGAGCAATGGGCAAGAGGCGCCGGAGATGAAATCAATGAAATTGAAGACTACGCCGTCCACTGCTAGCGTAATGCGCTAAATTTGGGTTGTCGTGAACGCAGGCATGCTTGACTGTGCATGGTCCACAATTCGATGTCAAAGCTGCGGAGACAGGCCTGCACTGGGGCCTTGCAAGGGATGCAATTTGGCCTCTCTTCCCTTTTCTCTGCCTTCCAGATGCCCCATCCAACTAGGTACCTTATATTTGGTGGGTAGGCAGTCTTCCGCCCCTCGCAATCCCAATAAATCGGCACGCCCAGTAAACCCAGAAAGCCTCTGCTGCACCTCGGGCTACTAATCACGAGCTGAAGAGCCACTGCTGCAAATGCCTGGTACTGCTGCAGGATGTCCAGGGGTGGAGCCTGAGCCTTGGAACCGACCCTCCTTTACTTCCAAAGTTCCACCATCTACTGATATTGAGCCTCCAACTTGGGATTAGAGGTTCTAGATCACCATTTGCAGGGTCGCTCGACCCTCCCCCCCAAAAAGGTGGCCTGGACCATGGATTTCACGCCTGTTGCCGTAGTCAATGCTCGACTTGGGATTATTGATATTCGAAGACTGGCATGCAGTTTTCGGCATCCCGTCGGCCCTTCTAGCAGGTACATCGACTCAGCAGAAACAACGCATCTTAAACTGTTCGTCCAGGTCCAACGAATTGAGTCTGCCGAATGGCGACTGCCGAGTCCTACCAGTCGGACTTCGTATTAAAACCCCACGCAGTCCCCCTGCTTTCGTCTCCAGCCCCAGCTTGCTCACAATTCCACAATTCCACAGGTCTTATTTGACGGAAACTAACGGTACGTAACGTGCAACGGCGAACACTGGAAAGTGGAACCCGCACACATCGTCGCTCCTGGAAAGCACATGCAGAAATGCTCCAAGTGACGCATGTCTTGCAGCTGTCTTGGATTATTTTCCTTTCCCCTCGGAGATCGTCCGGAGGGCCACGCCGTTTTATATGTAACAAGCGGGGGTTCGACAGCCGAGCCAGAAATCAGCATAAGCATTCATATTATACCACGTAGTCCCATTGCCCGACGCCATCCTCCTCCGTTCCGTGCTCTATCTGGAGAGCAGCATATTTCCGATTTTCCATCCCCAACAGAGCATGCCACTCTGCTAAGCTTCGTCACGCTGCAGCCCTTGCCTTCCCCGGCCAATGCGTTCCGCTAGATTTATCTCGCTGGCTTTGTGATGGAGGCTGTTCACGAAATGCCTGTCTCCTCCAAGCTTTTTGGACCGTTGACGGGCCTTGTCCTCGGCCTCGCGAGCCGCTTTCTCCGTGTCCTCCAGAGCAGCTAGGCGAAGCTCGCGCTCCTTGTCGAGATCTGACGCAGCTGCTTGCATGGCGGCCAACTTTCGAGCCCGCTCGTCTCCATCTTGCTCTTTTCTGCCCTGGCTATCGCTAGATCTCTTGCCATTATATCTCGGCCTGTCTTGATTGTATCTCGGCCTGTCTTGCCCATTGTAATCTCTGGGACGCCGGCTGGAAGTGTCGTTTCGCTCCTCTCGGTAATTATCGCGACGCCCATCGTATCGGTCACGTGAGTCATCTCGACGCCTGCGGGGAGGAGAGCGAGAGCTGCTTTTCTCTCTCGGGCGGCTGTCCCGCTTATCCCGATAGTTTCTGCTGCTGGAGTGGGACCGCTTCTCGGCTGGCGAGCGTCTTCTCCTTCTGCGCGTATCCTCGTCTTCTGACTCGTACCGCCTCGGCGTCCTTGACCGATCTCGAGAACGAGAACCCGACCTCCTCCTCTTGCGCGACCGCTCCTCGTCGTCCTCGTCGTCATCGCGATGGCGACGCCGATGGTGATGTCTGTGTTTATGTCGCCTTTCCTCCTTGCTCTTCGACTTGGCCATTGGATCGTCGATGCCCATCGAGGCCAGGAGCTGCCGTCTCTTTATAGGGTCGTTCATCATGGCACCGTAGGCCTCCGCCTCTTGGCGCCGTATGGCGAGGAGCGGATCTTCTCGGATCTTAGATGCTGTGTCCCGGGCGGTGTTGACAGTCTGGGCAGGCGTGAGGCTGTCATGGCTCGCCTGCTTCTGTAGCTCCTTGGCCTCGTTGTCTTGTGAGACTAATAGCTTGTCTAGCGTGCGCTTTCCCAGGAGGAAGGCTTCGTTGGCGGCCGAATCTCCATTCTGGCCATCACCTGGACCGCCCGAGTACATCCATTCGACTCTCTGTGTGACAGGCTTCCCACCGGCTGCGGCCAGTTGCTTCTGAATCTCCTCCTTCTTTCTCTCTTCTTTTATTTCATTTAGTCGTAGAGCGAGCTTCTTCCTCTCGGCTATCGCATCCGCCTCAGCTTTGGCGATGGCCGAGATGTTGGCAGCTCTGCCAACGTGCCAGCTCTTCTTCAGGTTAAGGTCGCTGGAACCCATGTTTTATGGTGGCACCAAAGTGCGGACTAACAGTCGTTGCGACGAGGATGGCGGCGATGGTTGTGGTCCTGAACAGGCGTCGACGGGAGAACAAATCAATTTGATGCTGTGGCGAAACGGCGTGGGCTGGTAGTAAATGTTTTATTTAGTGGAGGTGTGGCTGGTCTGTGCATGTGCTAGTGGAGTGTACGCAGTAGCAAGGCTGTGGAGCAGATAAGCGCCAACCCCACCAACAAATAGTGCTTCACCTCAGCCTTACGCCAATTAACCTCACGTCTGTAGAGCTCGCCATCGCGCAATCAGAGAGCCAAATTAGTTGAGCAACAGCTACATATCTGAGAATCGATAGCCCATTTCCGAAATAGATATGTCTGACGACGATTTTATGCAAGCCTCTGACGAGGAGTACGATTTCGAGTATGAAGACGAGGAGGACGACGACTCGGGCGATGCCGATATCGAGAACAAGTACTACAACGCCAAGCAGCTCAAGGCTTCCGATCCCGAGGAAGCCGTCAATGAGTTTCTGAGCATTCCTTCCTTGGAGCCAGAGAAGGCAGAATGGGGATTCAAAGGCTTGAAACAGGCCATCAAGCTCGAGTTCAAGCTGCAACGGTATCAAAAGGTTTGGTCCCCCGGCTGAGCATCGATCATCGACGCGCCCGCTCTCTAACAAGACCTACAGGCTACGGAACATTACGAGGAGCTCCTCACATACGTTAAATCGGCTGTGACGAGGAACTATTCCGAAAAGTCGATCGACAACATGTTGAATTTCATCGAGAAAGCCTCGGATGACCCCGCCGCGGTCCAGTGCATGGAGCGGCTCTACTCGCTCACGCTGCAGTGTTTCCAGAGTACCAACAACGAGCGGCTATGGCTGAAGACGAACATCAAGCTGGCGAAACTGCTCTTGGACCGCAAGGACTACCAGGGCGTTACCCGGAAGCTCCGCGACCTGCACAAGGCCTGCCGGAGGGAAGATGGGAGCGACGACCCCAGCAAGGGCACCTATTCCCTGGAGATCTACGCACTAGAGATCCAAATGTACGCTGAGACTAAGAACAACAAGCAGCTGAAGCGGTTGTACCAGCGAGCACTCAAGGTTCGGTCGGCCGTGCCGCATCCCAAGATCCAGGGCATCATCCGCGAGTGCGGAGGCAAGATGCACATGAGCGAGGAGAACTGGAAGGACGCGCAGATCGACTTCTTTGAGTCTTTTCGTAACTACGATGAGGCGGGCGACCTGCGCCGCATCCAAGTGCTCAAGTACCTTCTCCTGACGACGATGCTCATGAAGTCGGACATCAACCCCTTCGACAGCCAGGAGACCAAGCCGTATAAGAACGACCCCCGGATAGCGGCCATGACGGACCTGGTCGACGCGTACCAGCGCGACGACATCCACAAGTACGAGGACGTGCTGCAGACGAATAAGGACCTGCTAGCGGACCAGTTCATCGCCGAGAACATCGACGAGGTGACGCGCAACATGCGCACCAAGGCCGTGCTCAAGCTCATCGCGCCGTACACGCGCATGCGCCTATCGTGGATCGCCGGCCAGCTGCGCATCGGCGAGGCCGAGGTGCAGGACATTGTCGGCTTCCTCATCGTCGACGGCCGCGTGCGCGGCACCATCGACCAGCGCGAGGGCACGCTCGAGGTCGAGTCGGGCGCCGACCACGACCGCGTCGCCGCCATCCGCTGCCTCGCCGAGGCGGCCGCGGAGCTCTTCGCCACCGTGCTCAAGGAGGGCGACGGCTTCCGCAGCAAGCCCGCCGAGATAACGTCCCTGCTGTCCGAGGCGGGGTCCGACCTGTCGTCGATGCTGGTGGACACGAGATCTGGTAGGCACGGGCCAAAATTGGCGCGTCGGGGCGGTAGGGGCGCCTTGTTCGTTTAATGGGTTGACGGACGGGGGGAGACCTACCTCTACACCTATATTATGCCTCGGTGAGGATGCGGGGTCTCACCGGTCAGTGGGATGACCGGGAACTGCGGCGACGATGGGCTTGGCGCAGGGTCCTGCGCTCGGGTCGGGTCCAAGGTTCTTTGGGAGTTGGCTTACTGTAACGACAGCATAAGAAAACCGAGGCGAGGCGTTGATAGACATCCATATTGGAATCGACTGGTTTGAGTTTATTCCCGTTGTTCTCCCCGTCACCCGTGGCCCTCCCTATCTTGGATTTCAACTAGGCATACATAGCTATCGCTATCTCCCTACTGGCCTGCCTATCAGGCTTCACGAAGTCTTCAACCGCGTGGAGACGTAAGGGACGGCTCAGATTGCCGCAGCTGGCCACCGTAGCAGTGCTCCTCCATGCCTGGCCCGTCCCATCGCGGGTTTTTTCGCCGTGCTGCAAGAGCGGCAGCCCGCAGCAACGCCATTATTAGCAAGGGAGGCCGCCTTCCGGGGCCGAGACGGGAGGGGCAAAGGGGGCCAGCATGATGACGCCCACTTGTAGTCTACAGGGGGTTGAAGGCGAAGAAAGTTTCTTGACAAGTATCTGGTGTTTCGTTTGGTTCTAAAAGGGGGCTTGGTGAGGAGGAAGGAGATCAATCTAGAGACAGGGGTCTTGACTTGAGGTTCTGAACATGATGATTTTTGTTTTGGTTTTCGTTTCAGGAGAGGATGAACAGGTACAGTAGAAGCCGCAGCGGAACCACAGATCGCATGAGTTTGGATTGGGCGGCCCGGATGCGGGTGCGACATCCCTCGGACCAATGCCTGGTCTGCGATTTCGCGGCACGTAGCCCTGCCTGCCAGGCGAAGTTCGAACGAACTTGCTGGTTGCCTACCACTTACTCACTTACCTACCTACCTAGGTAGGTAGGTAGTTGCTTGCTCGGTGCACTAGAGGAGCCCGAGCATGGGAAATCTTGAAGAGGTTAGTTGTCATTCTTGCTCGGTGGGATTCGATTCATGTGCGTCGGTGAGATACTTTGTATGCAGGTATCCGTCAAATGGCTTGGAAGGTTTTGTCCGGATTTGACTGGAGGGAAGCCAGTGGCGGGGCCATATCAGGATGAGGACCGCAGACTATCGATTTGAGGCTGGGGCCGATGGGCTGAGTAAGTGGAACCTAGACCTGCCATCATGTCGTCAAGTTGCCTACCCACCCAACTTTGCTACCATAGTAGGTTGGCTTCAGGCGTCGTGATCCGAGGGGTAGGTCTACGTTGGTGGCCCTGGTCCAACGAGTGATTTGCCACTCACACAACATACATTGCCAAGACCTGGCAAGGGGGAAACTTGAGGGCTGGAGAGGGGGCTTGAGGGTTGATTTGCCTCGGACGAGTTTGACTTAGCCAGGTAGCATGGTTGGGGTGGGGAGGAACGGCAGGCCACGTCCTTGGTAGCAGCGATATGAGTGCTTGCTGCAGAGTGTCTTGCACCGCAGACGACGTGACGCAGCAACCCGGGTTTCCTCTCGCGAATGGATAGTACTGGATAATATGATGGCACAGAGAGAACCTGCTGAGGATGGAAGGTAACAGCGGGCAGGTATTGGAGAGGAGCAACGCTCCGGCACAGTTACAGATCCATGGGTACTCGGGCAGATTCGGATTCCAAGTCTGCATCGAGAGGGACTATATGCTGACTTGAAGTTATGAGCGCCATTTGTCAGAGTTATTAGATGCCCCTGTTGGCATAACCCAAGCTTGCACCCTGCTTTGACAGATCCCAGTTGGATTTCACAACGAGGTTTTACACTGCGTTTGTGGTACGTAATGCGGATCCGTACAGATCACAGATCTCCCATCCAAGCAAGGTAGGTAAATTTAGGTACTGTACCACCCGTACATCGATCCTAGCTGCAGTCTTGTAGAGTTGAAGAATTTGCAATGGTAGGTCCCGTGCCAATCGTCGCGGCAGGCAATGCCCCGCGATCCCGTGGCATGGCGAAAGGGTGGGTGTCGTTTCTTATTCGTCTGCACATGCGCTGTCCGCTGTCTGCTGTCCGCTGTACGGGCGCCGTACCTACCTCGTTCTTCGTTTCTTCTGTACTAGTGGCATTTGGCATCGGAGGATTGAAGGGCATCCCATGCCCCGCCCTCTTCCAACCCACTGCCACAAATCGGATCGATCTTTAGTTGTCCTCTCCCCACGACACCCCACGAGTGGCTGCCGGTGACCAACAGGGAGCTGTTGATGTCTGCATTTTGTCCCATGTAATGTCTCCCAAGCCAACAGCCGATGAACCCGGAGGTCGGCACCAAGGGACTCCCCGGTAGCGGTGGAGTGGGAGGTATTACCTAACCCACCAGGCACGCACCAGCCACTGGCAGGGAGTGGGGCGGGCGGAAACCAATTGAGGTTACACAACGACTGAACAACATCTGCCCAGATGCACTACGGAGAGGAGGATTGGCAGGCTGGCGTCCCTCCAGTCTTGCCACATCTTGTCCATGATTTCATGCCACACCAGTGCGACGATCATTGAAAGGCGGAAAAGGCCACCCTTGCACCCCTGTCATCGGTGTGGGTTGCAGATTGCACAGTACACTAGAGTGCGCTAGCGTAGTGTATTACGGATTACTCCATTGGACGTTGCTTCTGTGGGGTCGCGGATGGTTGATCGATTTGACCAGGGCCAGGACCAGGACCAGGAAAGGACAGGCGGCACAGTCCGGCCAGCACATCAAGACCGGGCGCATCACAGCGGCGGCGCCGTAACCAACAGACCTAACCTCAGAATCTTCAGAGGCGGCAGCGACCGCGGTGGAGTAACAGGGTGATACGAGTGGGACACTCGACACTGCAAACTACCTACCTAAGGCGCTGCACTCTGTACTGGACGTTCCATGTCATGCCTGTGCCATCGAGGGGTGTCAACCAGCTAAGCTGCATCGAGGTCGTTTCTCATGTGCGAGCGTCCGTGCTTGCTTGAAGAAACTGTTCTCCCAACTTCAGGGAGGGCAGGCATTGTTAAACAAGATCCTACCAAACATAACCCGAGCTCGCCATGTCTCGTCTGCTCCTCTGCCCCATTGCAAACCTAGCAAAACCCAGCAAAACCCAGCAAAACCCAAACAAGATCCTCGACTCGAGGCACACATGGAGTAATCTGTACATCCATAAAGATAGTCTGGATTGCTGATCTTCCCGCGCGGGCCACGGCAGACCAGGAAAATAACCATCCCCCTCCCCTTCCCCTAGTTACAGCTCCACCGCCGAGCCTCGCGTGCAGTAGAGCCCGCCCGTTCTAACTTATAAGCAGCGGGCCAGTGCGTCTACTTGTTTCTCCAACAGCAAGGGTTTTACTCCCTCCCCGCCTGCCACCAAGAGTGGACAGCCAGCAATAATAATAATAAGAATTTAGTTGCAGGCTGGCCCAGGACCAGGCCAGGCTCTGCTAGAACCCTTTTGTCCCCTCGTCTTTCCTCTTCCTTCTCCTCAGCTCCTCTCTCTAATCTCCTACCCTCTTTTCCCTCTTCTCTCATCCTCTTCCCTCTCCACTCTCTCTCCTCTTTCACTCCTCTTCCCGTTTATTTGCTCTTTTCCAATTCCCTCTGCCCTCTGCCCATTTCAAACCCTCGCCGAGCCCGCCGTCCCTAGTACTCTGTCTGGCCTGACGCGGGCGGTTGCTGCTGCTGCTGTTGTCGTTGTTGGTTGTTGTTGCTGCTGCCGCCGGGCCGTACGCCGTTGATGCTGTCGAGTTTGCCTGTCCCCGGAGTAGATTGGATGTGGTGTACTTGCACTAGCCGACACTGGAGGCACAGAGGCATACAAGCCAGAGGGAGGCTTCGTCAGACTGGTTGCTGAATGCAATATTGGCTCTTCCCAATTCCACACCCCCACCCGCCTCTTGAATCCCATCGTCTTTCTTCCTTGGCTGGCCGTGTGCCGAAGCGACAGTTGCAAACTTGCATGTCCTTCCCGTGCCTCTTCCCGCTGCCAAATAACCATCCGCACAATCAAACCTAAACTTATTATTAAGTTCGGCCCAGCAACGAGACAAGCCAGCTCAACCCAGCTTCCCGCACACAGCGCATAGCTTCAGCGCTCGGGTCTCGCGCTAGCTAGCCGGGACGCTACCTGCTGGAACATTTTAAAACAGGGTGCGCATTGATAGATCCCGACGCGGACCGAGAACCCACAGCTCAGATCAAGATCCCCAGATCCCGATTCCCCGAGTTCACATTCCTAGACTCTAGATTCGGTTGCAGCTCCGAATCCGGCATGTTTCAACCTCAGCCGACACCGTATGCATCGTTCGCTGCCTATGGGCCTGGTTCCGGTATCCTAGATTACCCTTTTCAGCAGGCCCAAGTAGCGTCCTCAGCCGGGGGTGGCGCTGGCTGGTTGACACTGGAAGGAGCGACTTGCGGAGCTACAGCCGGTCCACAGGCTGAACCGTCCCTGCTTTTCGCAACCCCCGCCCTCGCATCTCGACCCGGGCCCGCCGCCTTCGCACCCTTCAACGCCAACAACCAAACCCCGCCTCTCCAGAACGTCAAGATGGAATCGAACATCAGCGACGATCGGGCAGCACAAGAAGCCGCCGCCAGGGATTATCAGCCCCAGATCCAAGTATGAAATTCCAATCCCGCGGAAACAAACAGACTCACATTCCGCATTCCACGTTCCCCCCAGCCAGACTCTATTTGGACCTGCCACTAACCTCACCCTCCCGTTTTCCCAGGGTCCTCTTGTCGGCGAAAAGACACCAAGCCACATCATCACTGAGGAATACGCTAAGGCCGATCCCGTATATGTGCAAAAGACCGTCGTAAGCCTCGTGTGCTCTCCCCGGACTGGCACTGGCTTGTCTCGCTAACAAGCTGCGCACAGGCTCTTCCTCAATCATACTCTCATTACCGACCCATTCGGGGCGATGGCAACTGCGGATGGCGAGGTGAGTGCCGATCCAGTCCTGGCTTGTGGTGTGCCAAGACTGCCGTCAATGGGGCCTCACCATCCACTAACTGTATATGTAACTAGCAATTGCCTTCTCGTACTTTGAGGCCCTTATCCGCACCGGCGACAGGGACCTTGTGGATGCGGAATACATCCGTCTCACGCAGGCTCCGATTATTGGTCATGATGAGTTCGTCTATGAAGACATGAGGGAGGAGACCGGGATACTCATGAAGGAGATATCCTCGAGGATCGGTAACCAACAGGAGGCCATGGCCGTCCTTCTAGAAAAATTCAATGACCCGGAGATCGCCAGCCCGATACTTTACTACCTACGACTGCTCGCAAGTTCGTGGCTCAAGGGAGACAGCCGCGCCGCCGAACTTATTGACTTCATCCCCGATGGCCTCGGAGTCCAGGGCTACTCCCAGGACTACATCGAGCTCCCTGGTCGGGAGATTGAGCATCTTGGAATTGTCATCCTCTCCAACGTCTTGCTAAAGCCGGTGGGATTCGTGCTCGAGATAGCCTATCTCGATCGGACCCCTAGCCCGACCGTGAACACGTACCGCTTCCCCGATGAAGCCAACAACCAAGATCTCTCCACTCTCGGCCCCATCATCCACCTTCTATTCCGCCCGGACCATTACGATATCCTCTACCGGGATCCTCCTACTAGCCCCCTCGACATCCAAGTCAACCGCGCCAGCTCCTTCTCCCACCGCCACGAGATCACGAGTAATACGCCGAGCTTGGATAGCTTTGCTGGCGTTGATCTCGGACCGTTAGCACTAATACCCGGTTTCACTGGTCTCGGGCCGGGTCTGTCCAGTTTAGCAGTCACTAGCACGTCGCCGCTCGACTCGTACACATCCAGCGCGTCGCAATCCTGGCTCACGCCACAATTCTCGGGCACTGGCACCGTCTCGCTACCAGAACGGCCACCACCACCATCCATGAACCCGGCGCCCCCGCGGAGCAGCACACCACCTCTCCGATTCAGCGAATACTGCCACCCCTCTTTCGTGGAGAGTGATGCATGGCACGAACCTACCTTCACCACCAACACCTTCAAGAACAGCCACTTCAACGTCGCCCACTACAACAACCCGAACTTCCAACCCGAGGAATATAGGCCGGACAGTGACGACGCTGCTGAGGCAAGAGGGGGTGGGCGGAAGAAGAGTAATGCCTAGATCCCACCCCGTAACTGGATGGCCAAGGTCTGAAGAGAAGGTGGTGATGATAGATTGGGAAGGAAATTAATGGAGAGCAAAGGAATGCCGGAGGTGGAGAAAGGACAAGGCCTGCGCTATCGGCTTCTCCATGACGACATGACTCATGGCCCCTATTATTGACGATTCCTTTGCTCAAAGAACCCTCCCAGATTGAGAGATTCGAAAGGCCAGGGTTCCGGGCATACATTTCTCGGGGGAGCTCACCAACCAACCAACCACCACTAATTCGGACTTTGGTGGACATAAGATTTTGTCGATTGTATGGAACGGCAGACTGGACAAAATGCATCATGATACCGGAGGGCTTGGGGCGGTTGCTAATGCCGAAAATTTCTTTCCATCATTGTACACCAAAAGGGGAGTTCAGCAGACAGGAGTTGTATCGTTTGGGTCCATTTCATCATTGCAAGACGGCGGTGACCTAGGAGAGAGCCGGGGAACTTTTAGCAGGGAAGCAGGAACCCGGGGGGATGAGGCCCAAACAAGGAGAGATGGGGGGAAACAGGAACCACGAGCTTCGCATTCCTCATTCGTGGGACATGCTGGCTACCAAGGATGATTCGACTGGCTCCGGTGGTTGAACTCATGGCACCCTCATAGCACTGGCGTTCTCTGAAAATACCATTAATGTATTGCATTATGTTTCTATATCTCTGTCCGCCTCTATATGCGTAAGCAGTCGTCGCGTTGAGGAGTTGCTGTAAGGCGGTACTTCTCATCCTCCTATCCCCAAGTATACGTGTTGTCTTATACAATGGGTCGAAAATGCAAGAGTAGTTATCCCCATACAATGTCCAACTCTGAACGGGGTTGTCAAACGGAATCATACCAGATGACCACCCCCCAACGACGAGCAACCCCGAAGTCCACGACCAACAAACCGCTTAAACACCCAAACCTCACTCACAACTCACCTGCGCCCTCCTCCCTCCACAAGCCGCCATCTTCTCTCACCATCGCCACAAGCTCCGCCACCTCATCCCCACCTACGCGATCAACGCCCCCGGCCCCTAGCCCCCGCGCAAACTCCTCCGCCCAAGCGACAGCGACCTCCTCCGGACCAGGCAGCAGCGGCGGTGCCCCCGTGCTCCGGCCGGAGCGCGCCGCCGCCGCCGCCACCTCGGCGGCCGCGCTGGTCACGCCTCTCCCCTCGAGCCCGCACGCGACGATGCGGGCCCAGGGGTCGGACGCCTGGTCGCCCCGGCCGACGTCGGCGGGGAAGTCCAGGTTGACGGCCACGCCCAGGGCGGAGACGTGGCGGCGGAGGTGGACGCCCAGGGCGGCGATCTTGCGCGGCGGCGGTGGTGGGGGGGAGGGGGGATGATGGTGATGATGGTGATGGTGGTGATGGGACCCCCCCACCCAGACGCCTGGGTCGGAGGTGGTGAAGGCTTCGAGGCCGTGGAGGCGGGAGAGGGTTTGTATGGTTGTGGACTCCAGGAGGCGGGCGTAGCAGCGGACTGTTAAGGGGGGGAGGGGGTTGGGGCTTGGGGGTCGGAGGTCGGTTATAGGCCAGAGGACGAGTTGGCCCGGGCCGTGGTAGGTTGTCAGGCCGCCGCGGGGGGAGGGGAGGACGGCCGGGTGGTAGGTGTGGGTGTAGGTGTTGGTGTCATCCCGGCTGTGGGCGGCGGCGTTGGGGGGGAAGCGGATGTGGAGGGGTGCCCGGAGGCGGGCTAGCTCGGCCGGGGCGAGGGGCGCGGTCTGGCGGCGGCCGAGGGTGTAGGTCGGCTGTGGGGTGAAGGAGAGGAGGGTCGGCGGCGGGTGGTGGCGGCCGGGGGTACGGGGCGCGTCCTTGGCGTCGAGGAGCTGGCGCCGGAGGTGCCCCTGGATGGAAGCTGCGAGGCGGTAGGACGGGAAGGTGGGGGGCGAGGAAGGGAGGTGGATGTGTCGGAGGCGCATTGCGGGTTTCTTTTTTCTTGCCCTTGTTGCCCCTCTCTTATTCTTTCCCACTCTCTTATTGGGTCTTCATCTTCACCTTCTCGGGAAATTAGAAAGGGGGGCTGGGCGAGTGGTGATCTCAGGTTTCCAATCGGGATATATTTGAATGCTGTGGCCCGCAGCACCTAGGAATGCGCCAATGATCAGTTGAGAGTTGAGACGCGAGACGGAGAAAGCCGTGAGAAGAACTGAGTTCGACAACCACGGCAGTTCGTCATTTGAGATGGCAGCTCCGAGCTTTGGGCAGAATTTTAGCTGGTGCAACATCGGACTTGCGCTAATGTAGGCGGATTCCCTAGCGCCCAAATAGATCGCGTCCCCAGTGGTCCCGCAGCGGGATATGCCGCTGGCCCGCAGCTTGCCCCGGTGCACCGGGCAGGGACGGCACAGACTTTCCGAGCTTAAGGATGTTTCAAGTTTTCGACCAAGAACTCGGGACCCCACATCTGTTTTCTGCAGCCCGGTCTTTGTGGAAATGACTGATCAATAGTGCTAGCGACGGCGATGACCCTGGCTTACAGTGGGACGGACGGGGAATTTGAACTTTTGGGTGCAACTAGCTGATGGGCACCAAGGCAATTTCCTTGGAATTTGCTGCAAGGAGCTTATGGCAGCTCGAGATCACCTTTCTCATCAAGTGTGTGCTTGGGGATGCCATGGATTGTACAGCGAATATGTGATCCCCCGCCGGTAGACCAATGCCATTTTTAATATACATGACACGCCCTGGTCCTCCTTTATCTATACATAAATACACACATAGGATTATACACATTCTCGGCTTTCCATTGCCTAATGCTAGGAGACGCCGGACCTCACAGCTTCTTCTCTAACTCCCGCCAATCCTTCGCCATGTCATCCTCCACACCCTCCATCCCCTCCAGCAAATCCGCAATCTTGACCCTGCGACCCCCCTTGGTCCTCCTCTCCACCGGGGCCCTGCCACCCGGGACCCTCTCCTGCGCGCCCAAGACCCCCCTGCGCGGGTCGACGCTCAGCTCCACGACGGGCGTCTTGCCCTTCCTGGAGAGGCGCTGCGCCTCCCTGGTGGCCCGCACGCCGCCGTCGTTGGCGACGGCGGTGGCGGCGGCGGCCGTGCCCTCGGCGGCGCCGTTGCGGCCGAGGCGCACCTCCCTGCGGACGCGGGTCTTGGCGCCCAGGGCCCACAGGTCGCCCCAGCGGGCCTTGCGGGCGTCGTGGTAAGCCTGCTTGCCGAAGGAGCGCGGCACCGTCCAGCGCTCGAGCGCGCCCGCCGGCGTGCACACGTCGAGCGTCACGTGGCCGCGCCGCTTGAGCGGCGGGAGGATGTTGCGTGGGAGCGAGAGCGGGTGCGGGTGCGGGCCCGTGGCGACCGTTGTCGACGAGTCGGCCGCCCCGCCGTAGCCGGCGAATGCGCGGTCTGCAGCCTCGGGCCCTTGCTCAAATGGAGTGGTAATGGTGGGGCCGGTGTCGGATGCCGTCGTAGAGTCTGAGAGGGAGGAGGATATGAGAGGGGAAGGGTGCGCGCCACGCTGCGCTGCTATGAAGCTGAATTTGATGTCTTCATGGTTGCGGTGCGATCCCCCGACAACGCGTTGGAGGAACGGCGGCCGAATGAAGCGCTGACTGAAGTGACAGAAATCCTTACGGCCAGGACTTAGGCCAGGCGTGAGGTACATGGGACATTTGGTGTGGTTCGTACACGGCGCAATTATCATCCCCGGTTCCCGCACTCGGTCGCCTTCGGACTGAATCTCAGGGGCAGGTTCAGGGGTAGGAGGAATGATGAACTCATCGAGAAGCCGCTGGCGCACATCGGCCACGGCTTCAAAGCCACGGGGGTGTCCCTTTTCTAGGACGATGAGAACTCCACCTTCTGGGGAGAGAAGTGCCCACAGGTTGTCCAAGAGCTCCTTGCGCCTATAGGGTTTGTCGAGGGGCATCAGAAGGTGACTAGCAATGATCACGTCAAAAGTCTTTCTAGGCTGCGGCGTGGCCGGGGCATCGAGTAACCGGTGGGCGTTCTCGAAGGAGTGCATGTAATCCGGAAGCCGTGGGATGAAGGTAGTGTTGTTCAAGAAACGTGAAATCCTGTGTCGTAGGTTATCAGATCCCACAACGACCGTCTTCTTTCCAGGTGGTTCTCGGACAGTAACCTCGCCTCTCTCTCTGAGAGCCTCCCACTCGGCATGCAGAATCGCTTCCCAGGCCGCCAGGCCGGCTCCTCCAGCTCCTACATCGAGAACGCGGGGGCCTTGACCGTCGCCCCTTGCGATGAGCCTCCTCATCCAGTCGGTCCCGAGCCTCTTGCGTACCTCAACCAAGGTGCTCATGACCGACGCATACACCCCCGGCAGGACTGTCGCAATATAGGCATCCGAGTCGATATCAGACATTCTATGATGTCCTGCCTCCATCGAGATTGGCTTCATGGGCAGGTTCTTCTTGGACTCGGGGGTCGCAGGCGAGTATGGCAGTCCAACTCCTCCGAATGCTCTCTCGGCGGCCTCGCGAACGTGTGTGCTATTGGACCTCCCCAATAGCTTGGTAATCGGGGCCACAAATTGGGTCGTAGGTAGGTGCAGAGTGCTAGGACTTGTCTTGAATTGGCCGGTAATGGTCAACTCGTGTAAGCGCGGGTTGGGGGTCTCGGGGCCCCAGAATGTTGCGTCGGGCTCTCCTTCGTCTCCCTCGTCTTCATTCTCATCTTCCTCCGGTTCTTCCTGTTCCTCCTGTTCCTCTTGAATTTCCTCTTCCTCCTCAATCGGCCGTAGACTGGCTACTTCAAAGTCACGGTGAAGGGTCACGAGCGCATCAAACTCGCGCTGGCTGTTCGCCTTGACAGTGAGATATTCCATCTGGCTCTCAGTCAACGGCGGTAATGGGTCAATAGCCCCTGCTTCGAGAAGTTCTTTCCCGACGTCGGGGGCCGTGGCGCCCTCGACAGTGTATTCCACCTCCTCCAAGGTCCCGAACTCGGTTTCTTTCAGCAGTGTGTTCTTGGACAGGTCGCCATCATCCATTTCGCCCTGGAACGGTATCCCCACATCTTCGGGCTGGGTGGCTCTTAGGGGAGGCCCGTATAAGCGCTCGTAGAGTTTGTATTCCTCCTCGGACAGAAATCCTGGTGGCAAGGTGCTACCAAAAGTTTGCCTTGCTTGACGGACAGTCGTTTCGATATTATCTTCCGGCCCGGGCACTGGATTTACTATCCCGGTATCTTGGAGTGTCGATCTTGTAGAAGAGAAGGCCCTGACAGAGGTTCGTGGCGCTCCACCTCTTACAAAAGGAAGCGCGGAATTTGCGATCCCGGAACGTACAGGTCGTCGAGGCCTTCCGACCGGGAGCAGGTCGGCGAATCCAGACTCGTAAAACCTCAATACTTGGGCCCGGCACTGCGGGCACCCAGTTGGGAGCCTTCTAGCTGAAAGCATGGCGAATTGGTCCTTGGAACGCGACCTGTTGGTGTCTGCTGGAGGTTGCGCATCGAAGCTCTCAATCTCAAAAATATTTGCAGGGCACAAGGCATGTGATACGCTATGTTGGTAGGGGAGGTGTCAGCAATACGCAGCTCCTGATTGGTCTCTATGTGCGAATGGAGCACAGTGCGATGAGCTAAAAACGGGGCCTGGACTCTGCAGCTTTAGCGACCGCGATGAGATAGAACCCTGCTTACTTAGAAAGTGATATGCAGCAGTTCAGGTCTTTATTATGAAGGCTCAAGAGATGCCAATACACAAACATAGTGGTTTTCTACTGTGTACTATATACTAGGGACGGATTATGTCGGTGTATGTCGGTGTATTACAGCATCTCTTGAGCATGACCTTCGCGACCATGAATAACACTCTCTACGGATATAAAAAAAACCATCAAGAAAACAGACATAATGCAACCCGCTCAGTGCAAACCCCATTAACTCCGTTTTCAAACGCCCATCTCATCCTTCCTAGTTCCCCAGGTCGGCCATCGTCTTGAACGTCGCCCGCGATGCCGGCTTTTGGCCAGCACCGCCCCCTGCCCGTTGCGAGCGCGGAGGATTCATTTTGTTGAATTGTGAGTTCTCGGCAGCTTTGTAGGGGTCGAACTGCACGGTTATGCGGATTAGCAACCATGTTACGGGTGTGACAGCGGGGACTCTAGGGTCAGCGACTCACAGAGAAAAGGGATACAAAGTACAGGCCGAAGAAGGTCACGATCGGACCGAGCAACGAGTTGAGGCTCCAGCGGACCTGCCGTCGGAGCGGGATCCCACCCGATTGTCCCACGCCGCTGCCGCCCAGCCGCTGGCCCTGGGTGCGGAACACAGGACCGGCGGCGGGCCCGGCGAGCTTGATGGCCTTCTCCACGGCGGCTGCAAGGGCCGGCGGGCTGGCGCCCTTGATGGTGTTGACGACGGACCCGTTGTGGAGTACGAGGAAGGTCGGCATGGCGGAGACACCGTACTGCTGAGCCACGTCGCGCTGGTTGTCGACGTTGACCTTGCAGAATGTGATCTTCTTGGGTTTGGAGTACTTGACCGAGAGGGACTCGAAGGTCGGCGCAATCATCTTGCACGGCCCGCACCAATCGGCGTAGACTATATGGCGGAGAGAGACTTGTGTTAGCAACGGATTGACAGTACAACACGTCCTAGAGGAGGCTCGGCATAATCCCAGCTTATTAGATACGTACAATCAGCGATAACCACGCTCGACGAGCTCAGCACCTGGCGCCATTCTCCTGACGATCCGATATTGACGGTTGGGCTCATCTTGTTTCGTTTTGATTTTGTAGTCTGGGGTGCTGGCGTTCGTGGACTGCGCGGTATATGGGGCAAGGATCAGGATGAAGAGGCGACGTCGACATCATTGTCCAACGGTTGGTTAGCTCCCCATAATGGGAAAGTTGTTAAAATGGCAGTTCTTCGGAGCTAGGACTTCCGAAAGAGGAAGGCGGTCAGCGCTTCAGGGTGGTTCTGCCGGAATTTTCCAAGTCTTATCGCAAGAAACTTTTCGGCGGGGAGTTGCAGATCAAAGCCCAGTATTGGTACCTACTCAGGAACCAACCCTTCCCAACTCGTTCATTCCTTACTCAGGTTGAACTCGACCGACTACTCAGAATGGCACCGCCAATGGCCAAAGTGAGTCTCATCGCCACGTACGCAGTGAAGGAAGGATCAAGACTCAGTGCAAGTGCGCTTCGTCTTTAGCCAGCCAAGCGATCCACCAATCTCTCCGTGTCACTTTAAATGGCGTCTCGGGGAAGCAGCCATTGAACTCAGAAATCGCTAATTCGATTTGCTTAGAAGCGGCGACTAGATAACGAAGATGAACAAACCGATACGTTCAAGCCGTCGGCAAGATTCACACCCACAGAGTCCAGAGACTGGACGGTGTCAGTTGCAGTGCCCACGAGCTTAATCACAGAGTAAGGCAACCCGATGCCTTTCTTACGGGATCCTCACCCTTAAACTGACACGGACTATAGCTGCGTGACAAGGGAACAGCGGACCACGAACGTTGGTCGGATCGCAAGAGCCCTGGCCGTCTTCGCCGTTGACGAGATCGTCATATTTGACGATAGCCCAATGGAGACGCGCATGGCCTCGGTCGACATGGACAGCTACACGGGCGACACGGATCCGGCCCACTTCATGACCCATATCCTGTCCTACTTGGAAACGCCGCCGTTTATGCGCAAGACCCTGTTCCCCCTGCACCCAAACCTGAGGTCGCAGGGCCTGCTGCCCAGCCTGGACATGCCTCACCACCCCCACAAGGACGAATGGCTTCCGTACCGAGAGGGTATGACGATCCCGGGGAAGACCAGGTCAGGAAAGGGGTAGGTTCTAGCATCCCATCCAGAGTGATCAATCTCAACTGACAAGTACAGGACGCTCGTCGATATCGGCATGAGGGAGCCAGTCAGCATATCAGAGTCCATCCCGCCCAAGACCAGGTTAACCCTTCACATCCCAGAGGCCTCTGCGGACCCCGAGCCCGTCCACCCCAACGCGCCACGGACGGACGCGGGCTACTTCTGGGGCTACAGCGTCAGGAAATGCAGCTCCCTCTCCAAGGTGTTCACCGAGAGCGCGTTCGAGGATGGTTACGACTTGAGTATCGGCACATCGGAGAGGGGCCTATCGGTGTCGAGGGCGTTCCCCGACGCGGGGACGACCGCCGAGTTCAACCACCTGCTGATCGTCTTCGGCGGACCGCGCGGCCTCGAGTACGCGGCGATGAACGACCCCGAGCTGAGCGAGATGAGCGTCGGGGGAGGACGGACGAAGGAGCTGTTTGACTACTGGCTGAACGTGTTGCCGAACCAGGGCAGCAGGACGATCAGGACGGAGGAGGCTATCCTCGTTGCCTTGACGGGGCTGAGGAGGCTGTGGCATCAAAGTTGATCCGACTTGAAGTAGTTGGTCTTTTGCCGTTGGTCAGCCTGAGATATCCGCCAGCATGGGGTGATGGAGTTTTAAAAGAATATGTCTTGAGGCGCAAGTGAATTATGAGATCTTTCTCAAACTGAGCTATGTGACCTTTTGGCCACTCGGAATTTCTCGACGCAATTGTGTGGTTAGTAGTTGAACGCTTGTGCCTCCTCGTGCTGGCCTTGCGTTAGCACGGCAGGGCAGGAGATGTGCCCAGATCCTGCAGTGAAGCGAAGAATACTCCAATTTTCCCGGGGGTACTGCCCCTTGTCAAGGCCTCCTTGTACGGAATGGACAGTCTATGACTGCATGTTTTGTAAATCAGACCTCCTGAATATGAGGTTACAAGACTCTACCACTGGTGTCGACTGAGTTTACAAGAAGAGGAAGCCCACAGCTTGGTCGCGCCGATTTCATACTTCACACTTTCGGTTCGTCACCTGGTGCCGTATCACCTTCCATCAACTTTGCCTGAGACATATAGACAGTTCAGTCACATGAAATCCACCTCTAGAGCAACGAGGAAATCACAATAAACTCAAGGACTACTCCAGCCCAGTCAGGATACAAGACAGAAGGTAGATACCCAGGAAATTTCTATTATACAATATGTCTCTACAAGATTATACTACTGCCTAGTTATTGACAAAGGAAACTTCCAAACCCGCCTCAATTAACACCTCCCGGTTCTCGTCCCCTTCGGCAGGCCTCTGACGACAAAACTCGAAAGTCGAGCAAGACGTTGCTCTTCTAAGCTCCACGCCAAGAAAAATAATAAATTACTCCAAGTAAAGAGACAAAAGGGTGTGGATAGGATAAGGAACGACGCAGTTGCATGTACTCTATAGTGCTCTTCTTGCTAGCACAGCAGATCCCACTCGGTGATGTTGGGGGGGACACCTGGGCGAGCAGCTCAGACAGGCGGAGGGGCAAAATTAGTCCCAAGGCAGTTTAGTTCTTATCAAACCATCACTGCCCGCTATCGATCTGGTCGGGGATATGGGTGTTCGTCCAGGCGCCCCAGTCGCGGCACGTCTGGGCGACGGTCCCGGGTATCCTGTACTGGGTGACGCGCTCGGGCTGGACCAGGAAGCTGGCGAAGAAGCCGCCCGACGCGTGCCACGCCGTGTGGCAGTGGAACGGCCACACGCCCGGGTTGTTGTTGTCGAACTGCACCACGAGGTGCCCGTACGGCCGCAGCAGCGCCACGTCCCGCCTCTGCGGGTTCCGCGGCCTCACCACCGTGCCGTCCCAGGCGCCGTCGCCCTCGTGGAGCACGTAAAAGTTGTACCCGTGGATGTGCATGGGGTGGCTTGGCAAGTGGTGAGGGTCAGCGCTCAGTCCGAGGGGGGGGGGGGGGGGGGTTCGCGGCCTCGGGAGAAGCCTGGGGTTGGAGGACTTACGGTGCGGGGCTGTTGTTGTTCATGACGATTCGGACGGACGTATTGGTGCCAAAGTCTTTGACATTCCACTCGGGTGGGTAGCTGAAATTGCCCATGTTTGCAAGGAGGAGCGGCGGGGCATTGTAGTTTGCCCGGAAGTCTTGCCCGTCGAAGCTCCAGAGAGTTACGTCGGACTCGTTGACGAACAGCCCGATATCCATGGTCTTGGTGACGCTTGGGTCGGGCAGGGGGATCGGAAACATGGGTTCTGTGATCTCCAGGGGGTCGTTCGTACACGAGTTCCGGTCAGGGGCATCCCACGGGGTGCTTGTGGGCAACTTGTTCGTGTCGGCGCCGTCGTAGTAGAGCGCGGCGACAGCATAAGGCTGCTTGGCAAGTGAGCATTCTGTCTGGTTCGAGCGTATCCAGAAGGAAGACCTCGGGCCGCCCGCGTTGGCCTTGACGAGTACATCGGCACGCTGGCCGATGCCGAGAGTGACCACTTTCGTGTCGTACGGCTTTACGGGGACGAAGTCGTTGGCAATGACCGTCATAACGTGGTCGTCGATCGAGAAGCGCTGATCGCCCGCGGCGCCCGTGTTGATCAGGCGCAAGCGGTGGGTCTTGCCGGTCTGGAACTTGAATTTGGAGATGCCGGCATGGCTATTGCACGGAGTCTTGTCACCGGACGCGACAGTCGAACAGTCAAAGTTCATCTTCCCGTTGATCATAGTGTTGTCTGAGTAGACCATGGGGCTGCCACCGGGCGCCAGCATCTTCTTCACGATGGTCAAGTAATCATCATGGTACCAGTCTGTTGGAAGTTAGTTTCCCCCCGTGTGCGCCCAAGAGGTGGGTTGGAAGGTAAATAAACGACTTGGACTAACCGCTCAACAGGATGGGACCAATGTCAATGGCATACTCAAGCTTCGAAGGACCATGAATGACGATGGGACCAAGAACTCCATCGGCATACTGACCGGAGTAGTGTGCATGGTACCAGGATGTCCCATAAAGAGTGGCCTTGATCTCGTAGGTGAAGTTCTTCCCAGGGGCAATGGGGCATTGCGTAATACCCGGCACACCATCCTGCCATGGCGTCTCTGTTTGCAGGAAGCCATGCCAGTGCATGGCGGTGCCCTCTTCCGGTCCGGTGATGTTGTTGTGAACTGTGATGACGATCTTGTCGCCCCAGTTTGCCTCAATCGTAGGGCCAGGAAAGGCTCCGTTCACCAGCAACATGTCTTTCTGATAACCGTCCGGTGCGATCATTCCTCGACTGATTGTAAAATCATAATTCCTGGTGACCCCGGTTGTAGGGAAGTCCCGGTAAGGATTGTGGCCCCAGTCAGTCCGACTACCCCAGGGGAATCCATGGGGTAGAGGGTTATCAAGCAGAAAGAACGGCAGTATGGGTGCCAATAACGTCCCATACACCGACTTTCTACACCGTGTTAGCACATTTCCCTCCAACCAAACCGTATGTATCCCTTACCCGTTGGTCAACTCTTGAGTCAATGTCGTGGCCGTATCTACTGTTCTGCTCAAGATGCCGCCGACGATCTTCCCGATCAAACCCATGTTGAAAACCAGGAAAGGGCAAGGACAATTTTCAACGCAAGAACACAAGGGGCAGGCCCGAATTAAAGGTTGCTGGCCAATGTCTGAAGGATCGGGCCTTGGCTTGGCGGCGAGACACTGTTAAATAGGATGAGAGATGAATACACCTAGCAACTCGGGTCACTACGGAGCACGACAGGGCTTGCACTGCGATATCTGCAGAGAACGATGCTGCTCCTTGCCACATTCACGCCTCCCAACCTGGAGCTAGCACATCATGGAGGGGCGAGGGCAGTCGGCACATCCCTCGGGGACAAGGTTTCTTGGTATACAGCACGGTTCCTTGCCTTGGCATTGTCGTCGAGGACATCTTGACATCCCTGGTTCGCCGACCTTGCATGGCCTAGGATCGACGTGCCACAAACTTGACGTTGTGAGCACTCGACAGGAGCTCGGCCGCTCGGCTTCCAGTCGTTGCCAACCCAACATAGGCAACGGGTGGTGCTGTGCAGCATGGATGGGCTCGAGTCTGCAGCTGTATATCGGCCAGCAACAGGCATGCCAAGCGGTACCTTGCAGGATACTTCCAGGGATCAGCATAGTACATCATCGACAGCCAGCCATCATGACAGCCTGACGGATATAGGTATGGTATCGTCTCTTTGCAACACGAAGGCGCTCCCTCCATCTTCGGATACTATGGAAAGGGGGTGGGTGCCGCACCCCAACACCCGCAGCTCAACTAGAGCACGGAAAGCCATAAAGGGGCATAAGTGTTCAGTCTGAGATCCACCAAGTTCGTCCTCGTGTTGGACTAGATTAAGGGCCATATGCTATGCGATGCCAAAGATCTCGCGACGAAAGCCAGGAATCAAAAGCCAAGCTCTGTCTCTCTTTCCGCATTCAAGCAGGTTGTCCCGGCAGTGAGGAGCAGGACTCGGATTGCCGTCGGAGCGGGAAATAGGAAGGAAATGCGGGAAACAAGGAGCGAGAAAATAGCATTGGGTGAACAACAGCCCCCCGGAAGGATCCGCGACACCCGGCCTGGTCCAATGCAGTGGGAAAGGACAAGCCTAGGTCACCGATCCTCGCCTCGAGGTGCACGAAGCTGCTTTAGCTAGATGTGAATCAAGCTCGCGTGCTTATAATTTGATGACAACCATGTCACAGAGGTGATTGCTCACGGAAAGCTCCTCCACTGGTTTTCAGTCAGGGCGGAGGCGCTCGGCCAGTGATCTATCATCCTGGTCGTCGGGTATGAAAATAGTATCCGGCCAAGGCGCCGCCATCAAGCCCTTGAGATTCTGTACACGCTGTCCCATCTTCCAATCCCATAGCTCTGGGCAACGCTACACCATAGTCATGTAGCGTGACGGAAAACTCTAGAACCCGGGGTTGTATCGCACCGCCCAGGTTGTCGGTATGAGACCACCCTGCGCTCTCACCAAATCAGAAAGGAGAAAGGCGTGGACCAAGACCGAGGGGTTTGTCTGGGACTCTAATAACTGTGACTAGAGCAGAGGCGAATCCAAGGTTGTTGATATCGTAAATCACCGCATTATGGCCGAGAAGTAGAAGCCTCATGTGATCGGGATAGATCTGTTGTCCACTGGCAAAAACTTGCGCCTCGCCCTAGGAGGGGCAACTGGAAACCAATTTCACACTGCCGTGGCGTTCAAAATCATCGCCTATGGTATCGGTCCTCGAGTCTGGGCCTGTACGTGGTGAACGTGGGAAACAGTAGTCGAGACTCGAGACCACCTCGAGTCCATGGCTCGATGCCAAAATTAATTTGATAGCCCGTGCTCTGCGTGCAGTCACTTGTGCTGCTCAAGAGCCTTGCATATATCAATTCCCGGTCGAGGACCTGGCGGCCCTGACCATGTTCCTTCGGCAGCGGCTGACTGCAGCTTCGGGTTCATTCTTTTTCGTCTGTAAATTGAGCTTCGTCCGACGTCAGGGGCCTGGTCCGGCGATCGAGTGGCCCCCCTCTAGTTGCCGGCCGATTTCACCGCCGGACGGAGCTGCCAAACCTCGATTCTGGCTGCTTAAAGCAATATGGACATATTTAATTATCGTATTCGCCACTTCGGCACTACAGTCAGTAATGACCGATCTAACCGATCAGACGGTCAGTCTTAACCGCCGTGGACGCAGCTCATCTTAGGGGATATCAAGCTTCCCCCAATGACGCAATCGTGAAACCCCCCTTTACTGGCAGGCTGCGAAGGTGGACAAAGAGGAAACGCAGAAGGACGAAAGAAGTGTAATTCGAAGCGATTTGGCCATCTCAGCTGAAAGCGTCACTGGATGGCGTTGCCCAACGTGTAAAGTCGCCGTCGCCGTCGCCGTCGCAGTCGCCTTACGTTGGGGCCACTTGTTTGATGCGCAGAATGAATTTGTGACATCCGGAATGAGTTGTCTCCATTTCTTCGCCCTGTCATTCTCTTTTGAAAAGGAATTCGTATGTACATGAATTATCTTAGTGTGACACTGGACTGGCTATTCCCTGCCCGGGATTATGGGTCGGATCGCCGCGGAAGCGGTGCTCGGTAGGCCTGCGCAGCCATGATAATGGGCCGCCGCCGAGAACGGGCATAGGCTTCCTGGATTATCGGAGAGGAATCGGATCTGATGACGCTGCCAATAGACATGAAGAACCTAGCAAGTCCGCCGTTAGCAGGGCCAGATTCTCATATGGGTCGGGATGTTACCGTACCCGAAAGTCGCGCCAGAACCCAGCATGTATTGGCCCAGGGTCCTCATAATGCCGTTTGGTCCAGCTCCGTACCTAAAGATGGTGACGGTCCCTGAGCTTTTGTCAGCAACCGCGGGAAGGCTCAAGTTCCTCGGCAGGGGCAAGTACCGAAAATGAAGCCAATAATGACGCCAACGGCTAGGAAGTGATTCAATCAGCACCTGTCCACAAGGCAGTTGATCAATTAGCATACTTCCACCCATCATTGCTCCCATCCTGACTGTAGCAAGCAAGTTAGCAAATATGCTCTATCTGCGTCAGGCGCAACATGACATGACAAACGTTTGTCAAGGTTAGAGGGCCCGACGGCTCCTCCATGGCTGCTGACTGGCACCGGCATGGCTATGGGTTTGAGGCTCGTCAATCGAGGGCTAATTAGGTAGGCTTTGTGTTGGCGGCTGAGAAGTGTTCAGCACTTGAATCAGATGATACTGTCACAGGCAAATGGACTTTGCTTGAGCTTGTTCCTTGCAGATTCAGCCTCGCTGCGCAGGACCCAATAAAGCAAAGTCATGTGCTTTGGGAGCACGGATCACCTTACCCAAGTTCTAGGGGGAAAACGCGTGACCTGTCGCGTGACTATACCCAAAAGGGTGACAATGGGAAAGTACTGGCACTTGCAAATATGAGTCTGGCAGCCTATTGTAGACCTTGTGGTATCTTCTGTATTGATCTTCTCTGTTATGAATTCCAGCTCATGGCAGTTTGAGTTGCGTCCCTTCATGTTCTTGTCGCGGTCAAAGACAAGGTGGGGATCGCTTGGATCACCACCACTCACCAGAGACCTTTGTCACGCTAGCAAGCGCTTAGCGAGACGGGCAAGACCTCACGCTCAAGCTACCTTTCGTTCAAACCTCCAAATATTTGCACGACGTACCTCTGAAGAGGCGTCATTTCCGCCTCTATCAATTGAGCAGTATGTGTATCTCCCTCTGCAAGCCCCTTTATTGTATCTTGTGGCCACCTGTTCGTTGTTACAGGCTAGGCAGGCCGTCGCAATTGCTGCAACTATCCTTTGAAGGCGAAGGCTAATCTGGTTTCGTTCCATCTCTAGGAGCATTTATTCGCGGTCTCCATACAAGGCAACGAAGCGGAACAAGATATATCATCCTTGGAGCGGCTCACAGTTTTAGCTGCGCATATCAAAATCACCCATTTCCCGGGGGGAGACGCAAGCAGGAGACGAGCCGCTCGATCGCCACCGCTACCCCCATCGCATCCATACCCCGTCCGACATTTTATTCCCACCCACCAACATAACCGACTTCCTCATGACCGCTGTAGCGAATCCCCCTAGTTTTGCCAACTTAAACCGGCCGGCATGGGGCATTAATGGTGGGCAGACGATCAACACCATGAATCCTGAAGGTCGAGGCATGTTTGCCCCTCGAAAAACCATCCAAAGAACGAACTCTTCATCTTCGATAACCTCCTCATCATCCGCCTCTTCGACTGGCACTGTTACTTCAAGTCAACATACGAACGGGAATGCCATGCCAGCCGCCGGAGAGCTGGGTGGGTGGCCAGGCCCTGCGCCTCGGAAGAGGCCCCAACCGAAAGGCCAATGGCCGGCAGGAAAACCAGACGGGCAGCCTGGTGACTTTGTGAGAATGGCAGCTGGACGTCCGCCAATGCCGAACGGCGTGAACGGTGTCTCGTCCTTGCACCAGCCGTCGTCGATTCTCGCGTCCCAGAATCAGATGATGTCACAGAGCGGCATGCCTCGGCAGGGCGCAGAAGCGCTTGCTGCTGGCGGGCAGCCTGTGCTATACCTGCTCTCTCTCAACGGGACTTTCGAACGGAAAACAATTTCGGTCCCCTTCTATCCGGACACCTTGCGAATCGGCCGACAGACCAATGCAAAGACGGTGCCCACGCCTATCAACGGGTTCTTCGACAGCAAGGTCCTCTCGAGGCAACACGCCGAAATCTGGGCGGACAGGAACGGCAAGATCTGGATTCGTGATGTCAAATCCTCCAACGGGACATTTGTGAACGGCACGCGCTTGTCTCCTGAGAACCGCGAGTCGGAACAGCACGAGCTACAGACCCAAGACCACCTCGAATTAGGCATTGATATTGTGAGCGAGGATCAGAAGACGGTCGTCCACCACAAGGTTGCAGCTAAGGTGGAGCATGCCGGCTTTGTCAGTCCGTCCAACAACCTTCACGAGATGAACTTCGGAGACTTGGATCCCTCGAATAGCGGAATGGCGCCCCTGGGAGGAATGCCCTTCAGGGGGAGAACTGGTAGCCAATCCTCCATCAACAGCCGCATGGGCCCTGCTGGAGGCGTGGTGAGTGCGCAGGCAAACGGGATGGCACATCAGCGCCAATACTGGGTCAACCCGGTGACTACAGAACATATTATAAAACGGCTTCATGTATGTGGATCTTATCCCACTCGGTTGGTCATGTCACTAACAAGTCACAGAATGAGATGCGCAATGCTCGTCTCCAGAGCCAAGACCTGAATCGCACAGGGCAGTTTCTCAACGCTCTCTTGTCGAAGGACGAGATAAAGAATCAGGAGAAGCCGGAAGCCCCCGAACCTCAAAAGGCTCCCGTTGTTAACGGCAGTGGCTTATCATTCCGATCGGATGGCGGGAAGACCAGATTCTCCGATCCCCCTGCGCCTCCTCCGTCGCAACCTCTGCCAGAGAAGCCTGATGTTGCCAGGCCGCACCATTCCGACATTCCGTCCCTCAAGCGAGCGATAACTGAGCGGCCTAAATCGCACCCTACGAACACTGCCCCTCCTGTGCGACAAGACAACCTGGGCCAGATTATTCAGCTCACCGAAGCCCTCAACAGCGCCAAGAGAGAAATTGATAACCACAGTGCTAGGGTGCGCGAGTTGGAGGAGATGTTTCACAAAGAGCGCGAGGCTCGATTGCAGGCGGAGGACCTGGTCCATAAGATGGAGCAGACGAAGAAGGCCAAAATAAATGGTTCGGCGGTACCAGATCTCCCGAACGGCCATTCGGAACTCGACAGGGCGTTTGATCCACCTGCAGAGACCTCTTCGTCGCCGGAATTAAAATCTGACCCGAGCGAAGCGGGCAATCCCCCGTCACAGCCTGACAGAGTCGAAGCGGCCGCCGCAGTCTTCCAAGCCCAAATAGACTCCATGGTTGTGGAAATGAGGGGGCTAAGGGATCAACTTGATTCCTACAGACAGCGCGCCGAGAAGGCAGAGGCCGAACGGGACGCGAACCAGACGACCTTGGCGGAATTGGTGATGCAGATTCGGAGACGAGACGAAGAGGAGAGGCGGGCAGCTGAGCGGAAGTCGCGCTCTCCCTCAAAGGGTCGGTCGCGTTCCACACATTCTGGCCAGGACAAGGACCCGGAAGAGACCACCTCCCTTCCAAACGGCATTGTCGCAGAAGACAGTGTCCAACCACATAGCACCACCGAAGTCCTCGACGACGAACCAACACTTTCCAGGGCCAACACTATGAAGCCGTCGACGGGAGCGCTCAGTAAGTCGACTCATGATCAAGCGTTGATACAAAGCCTCCCTTACGCGTCGATGATCGGTGTGGTGCTCCTCGGCATGGGGTTGATGGCGTACATCAACGGGTGGCAGCCTCAATCTCGTCTAGATCGATAGACACCACGAAACCCCGTCTCGTCAGACCCGGCGAAGAGGACGGTTCGACCGAAATCACTCCCGGCATTGCTTTGGTCAGCCCGTATGCTGGTTATTCAACACCACAATACGACACTCTTTTCATACACATCTACTACCTATACCATGGCACTGCTTGCCATTTTATTGTTTCCTTGGTCATCATCCCTCTTTCACAAGGTGTATGAACCCGCATCACATACAGCCTTGGTTCGCGGTCTAGCGAAATTCGGAGTTGGAAGGTTTTCGACGGAATATGAGGGCTTAGCGTTTTTCTTCCTTTCTCCCTTTCATCATTCCATCGCTCATGTTATGCTCACTACCAAAAGCTCCTGCAGAGGGCAGAAGGCAAGGCCAGTGGCCCGCAGGCAGCGGGTTAGGACGAGGAAGAATGATCTTTACCGTGGCATGGAACTGAAACTTGCTGGAGATGAGCACAGACGGGGAGGGGAGCATACATATGGAGCCTCTCTTGAGGCGCGGTGGTGAAGCGTGCAAAGCGGTGCATTATGACCGGACGGGTAATGGTCAAGGGCTTTCCTGCCATCATTTGATCCGGGATGGACAGTGGCTGCATTTGCAACAGTTGTTAGGTTGTTTGAGTGTTTGCATACATACTTAGCAATACGTAGTTTGTATGGCATCGCATCTATGAGAGCCCCTTGTCTCTGCTTGTGCTTACAGAGAGAGGATTAACTGCCTCCATCATGGCTACTTTCCTCGACACGGCAACGGCCATCTACCTCTCTGAACACCCTCATCCATCCAACCCATCCACCTACCTATATAGGTATCCTCTCCGCATCCCGCTTCTGCCCCGCCGCGAAGATCAGGTCCTCATTCCCCACCACGGACTTCAGCACCGTCCGGGCGTCGATCCCCTGAACAGCCCCGTCGCCGCCCTGCATGATGCTCGCGAACGCGTCGGCGACGATTTGGATGCCGCTCGAGAACCCCAGCCCGTCGAACTCGCAGTGCCCGCCGTCGGGGGTGTTGTCGACGGTCTGCAGGGCCCCGAGGCCCGCGGCGCCGAGCCCGGCCGCCGTGGCGCCGAGGCGCTCGTACGCGACGATGGCGTCGGGGATGGCCTGGCGGAGCGAGTCGAGCTCGCGCAGGGTGCTCTGGAAGTGGATCCTCGTGTTGCCCAGGAAGGAGGCGCCCCCCACGACGGGGACCTGGGGCTCCAGGGCGCCGCACATGAGCAGGACGCCCGTGCCGGCGAAGTTGGCCATGTGCGCGGGCACGAAGAAGCCGCTGAGGGTCAGGGAGCCGCCCGAGACGCCGGTGAAGAAGACGTCGGAGGCGTTGAAGGCGGCGACGCGCGGGAGCACGGTCTGGATCAGGTCATTGACGGCCTGGGCGTGGGCGGCGCCGTCGATGCGCGACAGACCGCTGGGCGGGCCCGCCGACTGGCCCCAGAGGAGCTGCTCCGAGGGCGCGAGGATCACCACGCCCATCAGGCCGCCCTGGACCGCCTGGTTGGGGAAGTCGAAGAAGCTCTGCCCGCCGTCGCCGTGCAGGAGGACGTTGAGCCCGAGAGTGCCCTGCGCCCCGGTCCGTTGGGTCGCGCCGGGGACGCCGGAGCGGGTGGTGAATTGGTCGGCGGGGCCGCTTATCTTGAAGCGAAGCTCGAGACCGCTTGAAAGAGGGGAGCGTGAGTGTTAGTATATACGGCTTCTGATCATGGGATACTGGGCATTTGGAGGTATTGCAGAGGACATACTTCACCGTCGCCGTGGTGTCTAGGATGGTTGAGCCATCACTAGCCTGCGAGATGCCTTGCGGGATCTGCGCTGCCTGCTGTTGAGGGGTTTGGGCAACAGCGCCGCCATTTCCGCCGCGACCACCGCCGCCACCACCCCTATTCCTCTGAGGCGCCGCTTGAACGCCGGTTAAGGCGCTCGAGACAAGCAGCAGGAAGAAAAGAACGGGCGAGCGAACGGTCAACATTCTGCTTCACCTTCAAGAACGGGGGAAAAGAGGAGAGGAAATTTTGAGAGGATACCAGGGAAGGACGAAGGTGGAAGGGGGGTTGAGGACGGGGGGAAAGGATACAAGAGATAGGAAGGCTTCTGCCGGGGAATACCAGTCCCTGGCGAAAACGGAAAGAAAGGGGAAAGACAGAAGCTTCGAAAGAGGTCATGACAATCATCATGGGAGGGGAGATGCACATCCCCTTCCTCGGCGATCCCCCATTTCTGGGCGTTCTCGGGCGATACAGCGAGCATCGACTGTTGCAACAATTGCCGGCAGGCAGGGAAAACCCAGGCTGTCAACATGTTGCTTGTCTGCGACAGTTTGGATGGGTCAAACATTGCGGCTCGCAGGTTGTCGACCCACTCGGTCTTGGCCAATGTTTTGAGACAGGGGCGCGGACCGCGAATGCGCCCTTTCTCAGGTGCAGAGTATAAATACCCGGGGCCGATTGCCGATGGAGGTTCCATTGGCGAGCCTCACCCCAGCAATCCCAAACTATGGTGGAAACGTTAGCCTGGTCAGCCCTGGCCTTGGAAAGGCGGTCGAGGTTGTTACTGCCAAGGTACTGTGATTCCCCAATCATCTGCACTCAAGTTTGTCCGTAGCCAGTTCTACCAGGTTCATATTGAGAGGGCTCACTGGGGATTTGACGTTGGTGTTTCGGGCTGAGTTTCCACATTGTATGCATCTGGAATAAACCCCGAATATGCAGGTTTGCGGAGCACGACGATCTCCCGATCTCATACGGAGTACGGATTACATGTGTTCTGGTATAAGCTATCCAACGTATTGACAACTAGCTAGATCAGCGCAAATGGTGACTTTCATCCAGTGTCCTCCGCTCGCTATACATGTCCAACATCTCTCTTCCTCATAGGTCATGTCAACAACAAGGCCGGCCATGTTGTTGCCCTGGGGAGCCATGCGGCCTGAGCGTTACAACTTGGCACCCTTTGCTCGTCTCGCCTCCTTCTCCTTGTCGCGGAGCAGCCGCCGCAAGATCTTGCCGCTGGGGCTCTTAGGTATGACATCGATGAACTCGACCCCACCCTTCAGCCACTTGTAATGGGCCTTGTGGTCTTTGACATGCTTGATGATTTCTGCGGCAACTTCGTCGTCCCCCCTCGAGGTCATGTTCCGCGGCTTCACCACGAACGCCTTTGGGACCTCGCCATCCTTCTCATGAGGCACGGCGATGACTGCACAGTCATCCACGGCGTCGTGGGCCAGCAGATGAGCTTCCAGTTCGGCGGGAGCAACTTGATGGCCCTGCGATTGGCGTTAGAAATTCATCGGCACTAGGATGGATGACCAACGAGGATGCCACATACCTTGCACTTGATTAGCTCCTTCAGGCGGTCGACGATTGTAAAGTGTTCGTTGCCCAATGGCGACTTCGTCACTACAACTTCATCTCCTGTGCGCATCCACCGTCCATCTTCATCCCATACGAAGGCCTCCGTCGTGGCCTGCTCATTGTTCAGGTACCCCAAGACGACCGATGGCGACTGTATCATCAACTCTCCCCGGGTGTTCTCCTGGGTGATCTCTTTCCCGTCTAGGTCTATTATTTTTGCTCGCGTTCCCGGGAGAAGAGATCCAGACGTGCCCTGCACAATGTCATGCTCGCTCGTTGAGATCACGACCGTGGCAGTTTCGGTCATGCCTTGGATAAGGTCAGCGTTTAGATTGGGATGATTGGGGTTCGTGCGGGGGCTGCTGACCATAGCCTTGACCGATATGCCATTCAGGATGCAGCCGGAGCAGCCCTTCGACCGTCTCCTTCCCGGCTGGCGCTGCACCGGTGAAGAGAAGCCTGACACTGCTCAGGTCATACTTGCTGCACTCCTCTTTGCAGCTCAACATTCGAATCAGGATCGGGGGAACCTGGCACAGGTTAGTGAGTCTGCCGGCCAATCCAACATGGCAGACAACATCCCAAGCTTACTTACCACGAGGAGATGGTTAATTTTAAACCTCTCGATAGCTTCGAGGTACTGCGTCAATTCGAACTTTGGCAGCACTATAATCCCGTCGCCTCGCCAGGCTGCGGAATGGGCAACAACCACCAAGCCATAGATATGGCTGAATGGAAGCAAGCCAAGCACAACCTGCGTCTCCACGCCAAGTATGTCCCTACCCTTACGCTCGAATAAGGTGTATTGCATCATATTCGCAATCACATTTCTGTGCGATATCATCACTGCTTTCTGGCTCTCACTCAGCATCTCCGACCATGAACGACGGCCCTTCCACCACGGTAGGATAGACTCACTGGAAGGCCGGAAGTGCCACTTGAATAGCATAGGAAGGCAACTTGCCGAGCTCCCTGGCCCTTAGACCACCTCAGAGGCTCGAGCTCGGGCAAAGTGCGGCCCAGATCAACCAAGTCTTCAACCGTCTTGAACGAAGATGGCTTGTCGTAGCCTGGGAGGTCCATGATGAACACTTTATCTTCTGGGATCCCGGCGGCATTTGCTGCCGTGAGGGCGGTCTCCAGGACGGGCGCGCAGGTGAACAGGACCTTGGCGCCAGACGACTTGAGCTGGTGCTCCAGCTCCTGTGCCGAGTAGGCAACGTTGGCAAGGCTCGCAATGCCGGACAGTTGGTGGATCGCGTGCGACACGGTGAGATAGTCGATCTGCATGCAGCTCGATTGATGATCAATCAGCCCCAATGCTCCTCCAACGCCATCGACTCGGAACCGGGAGGATGGTATGGTGGCCACTTACGGTGTTGAAGGAGTAGACGCAAATCGCCTTCTCCCAGGGGGTTTCCTGGTTTGGCTGCCATCCTGTTACCTTGGAGAGAGCTCTTGCGAGGAAATCAGTCCTCTGGTGGGTTTCGGCATTTGAATATGTCTTCCCCGTGATACCACATGTAAAGGGATTTCGACTCTTGGATATGGGGTGTCGACCGAAGCGATCGCTAAACATGAACTCCCCAACGGTAACAGAGTCCGGGGGGTCTAGTGCAGACAGATTTTAGCATCGCATAAACAGCAGCAAAAGCCGTGGCAAGCTCAATGGTGTATGTAGCAACTTACCAAATGGGAGTTTTGGAACCCATGGCGGCGGATAGAAAACCATCTTCAAAGGCTGATAAAGATACCCGAGTTATACAGTCAAAGCATTGAAACTGTCCCGACAACCGAAAACACGGCGCATTCTGCTTCTTTAAAGGATTCGGTCAAATAGTGGTTTGCCTCGGTCTCGACCGGTCAACTCTCTCCAAGAGGACTTCCCCGCCCCCATTTCCCCACATCCCACACCCAGAGACCAGCATATCCCGGCCGGCACCTGACACTAGGGCCGCCCCGCCAACTCCAAATCAATAACGAACCAGCGAGGTTCCAGCGTGCAGAAAGGTACGTACACGTGTATAGTCAAGCTCTAGGGCGGAATGACCAATCCAACCTAGGGACCCACACCGATTTCTTCATGAGACTTTCTATCCTTTTTTATCATCACAGTAGCCGTTTTGATGCACCTGGCAGTACCGCCGCAGCTAGATGGTGGGGATAACCAGCTTTGCCGAGAGTAACAGTGTGACAGGCTATCGGGAACGGGGCACGGCAGGCAAGGAACCCACTGTGTATATAGTAGCCACGTGTGCCACCTTGCCGGATTTGGCGGTCGGGTCTGCCGCTAATTATCACCTCAATGACATCAGTCCAGGTGCCGACTCCAGAGATGTCGCTATAATAGTTCGGCAAGCTGGCAATTATCTTTTATATGCAGCTGAGACCCGCCGGCCACTAGAACCATGGGGTTATCCTGGGAGTCGCTAGTTTAGCAACTCTTTCCGTCTCAGCCCTTGGCGTACTGCCTTGGGCAGAGTATCTCTAGAAGCAGGATTCGGCCATGCCATTACGGTTGCTAATCAGCGCCGGCTCTGTATCAATGATGCCAACAATGCTGATGTCGTAAATGGACAAGCACCGATGTCGCCCGTGAAACCCTTGTGTGCTGGATTCTTCCCACGGTTTCGACCGCTGGTATTCCTCGCGCGGTACTCGACGATGCCTACAAAGAACCAACCCGACGTGGCCGTCGAAAAAGAGATCATGCCTGGCTACGATGCGAAACACTTCCACCCAACGAATCCAGGAGATGCGTTGGACGGGCGCTACAAAGTGTTGGCAAAGCTTGGATGGGGTGCTTCGTCGACCGTGTGGCTGGCGAAGGAGACATCACGGTAGGCACCTCTGATCATTGATTGTCGGGCGCTCTTACGGGCCTTTATAATGTTTTCACATGGCTTTGTCCGATTTGTCACTGTCAAAATTGCCGTTTCTACCGAGAAGGAAGCAGCAAAACATGAACTCATCATGTCCCGTCGCCTCGAAACGAATACGTCACATAAAGGCTTCAGATTTGTGCGTTCTGCAATCGACAACTTCGAGATATCGGGACCTCACGGCATGTATCTGTCCCTTCTCTACGAGCCGATGTGAGAGATCATGGAACGATTCAAGGTTGAGATACCTGAAGGGGTGGTTTAGAAGGAAAGCAGCTCTTCTGGTACACATGTGTCGCCCTAGCCGTATGCCTTCCCGTGTTAAGCGCAGAAGCAACTCATACTCTTCGAGAGTCATGCCATCAGGGCATCTCGGAACTGGCGGGGATATATAGCGGGAGGTCGCCTCGTCCTAGTATAGCTGCCGCCCTTGGCCGAAAGAAGGACGCGATTGATGGCGCCTTTGATGATATTGAACTCCTATGTCCAATCTTTATACTTGTCGTATGCCCCTTGGGCAGCGGCATTGGGATGCTCCGATCCAATCAGCATGTACGCGCCGTATTGTTCGACACGGCGATATGCGTATTCCTCGCGGCTAATGCGAAGGCTGGGGAATTCGAATGCTTCTGATGGCATTGCCATTGTGCAAAATGAAACGATAACAAGCGTGAGTCAATGTAGTATGAGTGGCAGATGGATGCATGATGGATATGAGATGGATGGGATGGATGTTCAACCTCCCCTCTTCCAAGCTCCCGAGGTCATCCTGGGTGTCGGTCGGTCGTATAGTGCCGACATTTGGAACCTTGGTGTGCTGGTACGTCTCAAATCATTGTCTTGCGTTGCCCGGGTTATTCGCATTGGCCCTGATGCGTGGTCCTAGGTCTGGAATCTCCTCGAGAACACGAATTTGTTTCCAAATATCCGCTCAATCGGGCTATGTGATCCTCGAACGCACCTCGCCGCTATGATCGCCTGGCTAGGGAACCCGCCTAAGGAACTGCTTGAGCGGGAAGAGAAATGGGCCAATGTGCCCTGGAAGTGTTCGTTCCCGAATCCGCAGGGCAAGCCCAGCTGTACCGCTCCCGAGTTCATCGGAGGCCCCTTTTTCGACTCGGAAGGTATGCGAGGGCGCCATCGGGTGTGCTCTCTGCTCTGTCGTCGCAGTTCCGGTGGCGCTGAAACGTCTGGGTAACCTTCCACGCAGGTGAATTCCTACACACAGACCTGGTTCCCACCGACTTAAACATTCGCGACTCTGTCTCGTCCCTACAAGGGGATGACAATAAACTATTCCTCGACTTTGTCGGTCAGATGTTGAATTGGCTGTTGGAGAAGAGAAAGACGGCGAAGGTACTGCTAGACCACCCCTGGCTTGGCATCTCTAGATAACTGGACGGCATGGCACCACCGTCTGTATGTATTTCCGCATTTGAAGTAGTGGTCATGGAACAAATAGATCATACAGCTGATATCGTCCTGCCTTCTGACGAGGGGGGAGGTGATTGTCTTCCTCGAGATTGCATCCAGGGAGCTTCCGTTTCTACTCGGCCGTTGGAAGGACAAAGGCGAGATGGCAGGCAGGAAGAATGTCAATCCGCAATCGAACGAACGCCTGAAGACGTGGACTGAGGATTACGAAGGTATTTTGCGATCCATGCCTTGCATTCTCCGGGATTCATGTTGTCTCGGGGAAGGGCGGGGCTTGGTTTGTTGGTGGCTCCCATCGAGGACGCTGCGGGCCAATCAGCTCAGCCGCTGAGTTTGGCATCAACGACATCGCTTACGGTGGGCCATAAGGGGAACTGTCTCATAACCGCTTTTGGTTGTTACACTTACCCTACGTGGGTCAAGGCATATATAGGTTAAACCAATTCGACTTGTATTATGCATAGAGGTAATTGCATTAATCTATGTAGTACGATAGGGTACACACATATTTTTAAATTATCTGCGCAGAAGTCTGTTTTTTCTCGTCCCACCTTGCATCCATTTCGATCAACGTTGAATATGACTGATCAGTTTTGCCTTGTGGATAGTGCCTTGCACTACAAGACTATACGCAACCATCTAGACTAGAACTTTTGCGCACAATGCTGACTTAGGCTTCCCAAACCTCCTGCATTTGCAAGCAATAATGCTGAAAATGCAATCGACTTGACAAGCTCCCTGCCACAACCTATTCGACCTTAGACCAAACGTCCTTAGGCTACCTCAATGCTAGCTTTAGCCTTGTTTGCTCCTAGTGCATCGACTACGCGCACCTTTGCAAGGCCAAGAAGCCTTGCCGAAGCTACCGAAATAGCTGTATGCGATTGAACACGAAGCATTTAGAGACTAGACAACCTTGGCAAAGTCTTACAACTATGATCAGCCTTCTGTTGTATATGTCTAACCATTTAACCTAGGTGATTGGTGGCTTACTAGTCAAAAGATACCAGACTATTGTCTAGTTTAAAAGGTACAACCCTATACAATTTGCATTTAGTACTGTTTACTAGTTATATGCAAAGTTTATTGGTTAGCTTTTTGGTACTTTTAACATTGAGGCTAAGGCATGTGCAAAAGATTGGCAACTGTGTTACGCCTTAAAAGCCTAGGTCAATATTGGCCTAGCCTCCACGCGCGAGGCTTGGGAAAGCCTAGTAGCTGAGGTAGCTTAGTCTGCCACATAAAGTGGCTTCGAGTGATTAGCGCAAGCGTAGCCTTTAATTGGAAGGCCTTGTAATTAGTATAGTCCTACCCTGCAGGGTAGAAAGGCTTAGCTAGCCTAGTCGATGGTTTTATAGGGTCCTTGCGGGGGGCTTGCGTAGAGACTGCTAGGCAGCTCTGAGTTAAAGACTGCGATAGACTTGCCTAAAGGTTTACAAGGGCAAGCTTTAATATACATTCTAGCCAAAAGGCTACTCGAGATAGTTTCCTACCTAATTTACTAGCAATACTGTCGTGACTGCCCTTTCTCTTGAAACCTGTGCCAATTAGCTACCTTGTATAAGTTAGTCAGACTGATTACCCCTATGCCTCTGTTCTGCTGCTAACCTAAGTCTTGCAACTTGTTACAACTTTGAAGCCTCTTTTAACAAGCTTGCTATACAGCATGCTTTTGCCTTCGATTCAATACACTAACCTCACTAGATTCCACAATGTCAAATAATAACAACAACGCTAGCGCGCCTAATCAACCTAGCGTTGACTCTGCCGCTGGCTTTGCAGTAGACTCTCTTGCCACTACCTTACTAGCCAGACAAGTAGCCCTTACTGCTACAAACCTAAAGGGCTACCTAGCCTACAATATCAACCATGTCTACTCCTACTTGCATAGGCAGATCTAATACTATATAAACAGCGCCTATATTCTAGGTAACTAGCTAGCTGCCTTTGTTAAGGCAGTAAAGCTTTGCAATAAAGCGTGGCAACTTACTAGCCTAGGTTTGGAGATTGACGACAAGTTGTTGCGACTTACTAGTATGCCAGGCTTAAGTATAGTCTAAGGGAGCCAACAAGCTACCCTCTAGCCTAAGAATCTGGCTGCAAATCTAGCTGCAAATCTAGCTTAGAGAGCCTGCCAAGAGCCTAATTAGAGGTTTTGCTAGGCCTCTAGTCAAGAGTCTTACCTAGAACCTTACTAGCTGTCTCTTGACAAAGACAGCAAGCCTGACAATTACTTTAAGGCCTACCCTGGCTTAAAAGGCACCTATATTGACAAGATTACCATACTGAAGGCTAATAAAAGTCTTGCCAACTACTACGCTTAGTTTAACAACCTTGAGACTGCTTTTATTGCAGACTTTAACTAATACTAGACTGCTAATATATAGGTTGCCTTTGCTACTAGTTACTTTGACTAGACTATAAAAAACTGTTAGCATATAGCAATTGACGCTTACTTATACATACGCTGCTACTAGCGTAAATTTGTCTGCTAGGTTCAACAAAACCACTCTTACATGCAAGCCAACTGTCAAGACAATCTTTAAAAGTAGTTCAAAGCCTAGCAGAAAGATAGTGAAAGCCTAGTTGACTTTTATACCTAACTAGAGTCTCTAGCTTTCAAAGCTAGCTAGACAATTAGCTACAACCTCCTCTTACACTGATTTACTAGCTAGCTATATAATAGCCTTGTACAAATTGACTGCGTCAGCGTTGCTACTAATCAGCTGCTTAACAATGCCTAGAAGGTTTGGAAAACCTATAATACTAACAAGCCTTAACCTAACTAAGACTCTACAGGCAATAACTAGTCTTACAGCAAGAACTGCAATAAATGCTTAGCTAACAATAACTGCAGCGGTAACTATAACAACTATAGCAACTGCAGTCAAAGCTTCTAGTCACAACCTCCTAGCAAGATAACCAATGCCAAGAAGCAACACTGCAAAGACTAGCGCTTTTGCTTTAAATGTGGTAAGGCAAGGCATATCTCAAAGGACTGCCAAGGTTAGTATAACCCAAACCTACCTGCCAATACTACCACAACAACCCTCTTGACAGCATCTGCAGGCGCTGCCCACAGGGCTAAGGCTTAACTAGCTACTACTAGGAAGGTTACAAAGCTTGACAATGACACTAATGTCAACTACGCTATGTTTGATTCTAACAGGCATGTTGCTAAGCACTGAAAAAACAATTAAAAAGCTGCATAGTTTCTAACGCAAGCTTTACTAACTACCTAAAAGCAGTTAAGGCAGTCAACACCTAGAGAAAAGTAGCTATCAATGGCAAGGCCAAGAAGGTCTTGATTAGCCTAGATACCTATGCTAAGTTAGACCTAGTAGCTTTTGACTATGTTAAACTAATAAGCTTAAAGCTCTGCTAGCAACGCAAGCATAACCACTTAATACTAGAAATTGAAGGTGCTAGCAAGACTGTAGTAAAGACCTATAGGGTTTACCACCTACGCCTTAAACTTACCAACTGCTAAAAGCATAGCGTTAAAGTAATTAGGCTTTTTGTAGCAGTTGACTGCAATCTATTCAACGCTCTAGTCTTAATAGGCTAGCCTATTTTACAAGACTTGAAGATTAATATTTGCAACACTAACGCTATGTAGGAATACTCTTGCCGCCTGCAAATCTAGCTAGTAAAGATTAGTGAATTTACCTGAAAAGACTTTACGTAAGTAAAGGTCTGCGTCTTTAAAGTCTAGGCACAATACTAGCCTTTAGTTGCCAAAGACAACAAGGACAACTTTTTAAAAAACCCTAGTTTCCTAAACCTTTAACAATTACTATAGCGCCTAGCTGACTGCAATAGCAATGTATTTGACAATTGCTAGGCAAAGCTACTGCTTTTTTACAAAGAAAGCAATTATGCAATTAATATAATATCTAGTAAATTACTACCCTTCTAGCATATATTTAACCTTTTCCTTGCAGAACTGCAAGTCTTAGAAGACTTTATCAACAATGCCTTGGAAAAGGGTATTATTAAAGAGTCTGTCAGCTTTGCCAAAGCTTTTGTACTCTTTGTCTCTAAGAAGGATAGGACTTTCTAGTTGTGCATTGACTACTAGAGACTTAACAAAATCATGGTAAAAAACTGTTACCTACTGCTTCTAATTAGTAAGCTTTTAGACTGCCTAAACAGCACTATAGTTTTTTTGAAAATTGACTTACAAGTAGCCTACTACTAGATACAAATCTAGGAAGGCAACAAGTAGAAGACTGCTTTTTGCATGCGCTATAGCTACTTCAAATTCTATGTGATGCCCTTTAGGCTTACCAATGCGCCTGCAATCTTCTAGGCCTATATCAATAAAGCCTTGCAAGGCTATGTCAATAGCTTTTGCATTGTTTATCTTAACAATATCTTTATTTTCTCCTAGTTAGAAGAAAACTACTAGCAGCACTTTGATTAAGTCTGTAAACAGCTATGCCAATTTAAATTATTTGGCAATGCAAAGAAGTGCTTTTTTTTTCAAACTAAGGTCAAATTCTTTAGCTTTATTGTCAATACAAAGAGTCTCCAAATAAACCCTAGCTGCGTGAAAGCAGTATGTAAGTGGTTAAACCACCTCTCAAAGACTTACAGAGATATTTAGGTCTTTCTTGGCTTTTGCAACTTCTACTAGAGGTTTATTTTTGCCTTCTTACGCGTAGCTTAGCTACTACATAACCTACTAAAGGGTATAAAGAATAGCTAGAAGCTAGGTTAAATTGGTAACAACTAGGGAAAGCCTTAGCAGCAAGCCTTTTAGGCCCTAATCGACGCTTTTACTACAAAGCTAATACTGCATTACTATAACTCTAACTAGTTACTGCGTGTAGAAACTAACGCTTCTAATTACGCATTGGCTAGAATAATTTCCTAGCAATTTGACAATGGCTAGCACTTTATAGCCTATTACTTTTAGAAGTTCTCTAAGGCTAAGGTAAACTACCTAGTCTACAACAAGGAGCTAATAGCAATAGTTATAAGCTTTTGGCACTAAAGGCACTATCTCAAAAACGCTACTAAAGTCTAGGTTTACTCAAACTACAAGAACCTTAAGCAGTTTATAGATTAGACCTAGCTTAACAGTTGTCAAGCTTGCTAGTTGATTTAGCTAGTGCTATACGATTTCTAGATTTTCTACTAGAAAGGCATGTTAAACCTAGCAGACAAGCCCTTGCAAAAACCTAACTACATTAGCAAAGACTGCTTTATCAACAATATGCTAGTCACTTAGCTATTACCCTTGCTATGCGCAAAGCTAGTAAAGCCTACTAGTATAGTGAAAG